TCTACATTTACTTACATTTATTAGAGATGAATGAAAGTGCTACTATTGAGAAGAAAAGCAGTGTGATAAATTTTTCCACTTTGGTGGTTGGCAGAAAATTAATCTACAAATACAAAGACATGATTTCATCCACTATGTAATCAATGTACATGTGAGGCATAAAGACTTGTTTACAGTATTTTCATTGGGACCCATATGGCTTATTCACGATGAGCAGAAAACGGCGATAATGCATCGAATCATGCAAGGTCATGTTTTCCTTTTGTACTTGCGACATCTGTCAAAATAGAGAGATTTATTGAAATTAAAATGTATAACAATAGATGGATTTTCATAATTATACATTTTTCCTAAAAATAATAAAAGCGTCATAAAATTACATACATTTTGCTACCGGTATATTTTAATGAGTTCAAATTTTGGGCATCCAAGGGAAAATAGCTTGGATCTGCCTGCTTACAAATGATGCTTGCCAAGGAAGCTAGCATATCCACAACACATTTATTGTTAAAGAATAAAAGGAATATTTAAGAATATAAAAATAAAGATGTATCTGACTTGTAATGGGTAATGTGGAAAATTTGCGTAAAACTATACCCAATGCCACTGAAGACGCCTAAATTAAGATCGAATGTAGTACTATATTGCAGTTCTATAGGGTATAACAAAGATTCTGTAAATGGCGTTAATGCCATCCAAATTTTAAAAGATAGATGTATAGGAACGGGGGATGCTAGTCGAATTTTGAAAGCAGGTATCGATGCCTTGAATAAACACACCGAAGTACACTTTTAACCATTTCTACCTGCAGTTTCCGTCCATACACGCTGGTCATATTTGTCCAGTGCCAGTGTGTAATTGATCTTTTCCTGTCAGAGTCCTACACTCTCCCTAAAACCTCTATATTCTTTCATATCTCTGCTGAAAATATATCTCCAAGAAAGATAGGGAGGGAGAAGGAGAGAGAGACAAGATTATTATTGAAAGAGGAAATGATAATGTGGTGGCACAGCTAGTGAGTCACATGAAGGTGAAAATCACAGAATATTTTCGCCTTGCTTCTTTTTTTTGTATATTTGCTGTCGTAGTAGCATTGCCCGAGTTTATAGCACGTCCGGAGATAAGATCATGCCGAGGATCGCTATTTATCTTTCTCCCATATTCCTACTCATACCCTTGTCGTATAGTGCTTGTGCATGCATGAAGTATGCTATCTATATACATGAAGGTGATTCATCAAAGGTGCTGAAACGGGCCATATTTAGTTTAGTTATTTTGTTACTTGTTATTACTGAACTTCTTTCATTTGAACATCATCTGAAAGTACATGTATATTCTTTGTTTATCATGGTTTGCTTTAGCGCATCTTACAGGTTTATAAACAGTATAGATGCAGATCCCAATTTGTCTCTGTTTCTCTTCCACTCTTAGTCTCTATAACTTTAGTCATATAATTTTCTCTTTATATCTCTCTCTTTCTCTTTATATCTCTCTCTTTCTCTTTTTATCTCTCTCTTTCGCTTTGTACTTCCCAGCAGTGACATGTGTCTCCCTTTTCTCTCGTAATGAATATTTATTTTTCTCTCTCCCTCTCTCTTTATATCTCTTTTTTTGTTACCCTTCTCTTTTTCTGTCTCTTTGTCTCCTTTATTTTATATTGCATGGTCAATATGAAATCCCAGAGAAACATAGTGATTATATGAAGAAAATAATACTAAAATCAAGCATTCTAGTTTTTTAAATCCCTTCTTGTGGCATGTATATGAAGCTAAATGTATCTGTAAGAAAAATATGTTTTATGATAATCTACTAGATATTCTAAGAAAGGAGAAAGAGAAAGACGTAAAGAAATAGATATCTTGAAAATATTGGAATTACTGCTTGGATAATTGAACAATGTTCTGACAAAGCACTTAGTGTAAATCAGTTCTCAATCGTGATACAAAGATATTCCTTATACTGAGTGGCTTTGACAGAAGGAGGAAGGCAGTAAAGATATTGAACTGTGAATTCAAATGAATATTGTGTGTACCAATCACTTTAGGAACTCAACAGAGAGGGAGGGAGAAAAAAAGAGAGAATAGCTTGAACAAATTAATGGGCTTCCTACCTCTGAACTTATAAATCCATCCCAGTTTCAGTATGAATCATGATGTATGCATTTCCTTAGTTATATCTCAATCTAAGAAAGTAGGAGAATGGTTCAACATCAGGCTATTATATTATAACCCCCGTAGACCTCCTCTTATTTCACTTTCCCTCAGACACTGAAGATTTTCACCTGTGCCGTACTTTCTCCTCTGTACCTCTTGGTTTATAGACTCAAGATCTAGAGTGTATGATGGAACAATAGAAGATGAGATACATGTAGCTCAGTGGTATAGAGCAGTGTCTTGTGTTAACATGAAGGCCTGTGGTTCAATGCCAAATCGATGCACTAGTGCCTTTTGTACTGAGGTATTAATCCTAAAATGTGAATCCCTCAGATAGGATGCAAGGCCATAATCCTTTGGTTGATTAGTTTCAGAGATACACTTGCTCTCTGTCAAACTGGGTGCCTAATGCATAGTTTATATACTGAATTTTGTTGTGTTAAAAATTAGAATCTGCTTTTTAATGCCTATTTAAACACGCAGAAATGTGTTGGCCATGTTCTCCCACGCCCTATGTAATGATAATAGAGTTGCAAGCAGTACATTGGAGAGGACATTGTGCTAAAATGTGAAGAATGTATTTCCCTAGCTGCATTCACCTGCATGGCAGTGCATGGATTTCTATATTTCTATTAAGTGGGAAATGTATTTTATTTCCTTCCTGCGATGATTGCAAGGAAAGATAAATTATCATTTTTGTCTGGATGCCCACTTTGCTTGTGACTTTACAGTTTTTGTGTATATACATTGTGGATAATAGGCTATGCTTGCTTCTCAGTTCAATGCATGTATTGATAGATTTTCTGGACACAAAAGAATCTGATGATGCAGTTGGCACGTTGGAATGATAATGACGTAAACCACCCCGAGTGACATACATGTAATTCCTTTTCTAAAAGGAATTAAATTTGTAGGTCCATACAATGTATGGAAGTATCTCTCTCAGAGCTTTGTGTGCATGTGACAAATTAATTTTCATCTTTGATGTGGATATTTAATGTCATTACATAGAAATGAAATCAAATTAAATCAAATGGGGGGGGGGGGGGGGGCTTGTTTGAGGTTTTGCAGGTGCTGACTTTATAAAAAACCTAGATCTAGATGGAAGAGGAATGAGAGGTTTGGTCTCCTTTCGCTCGAGGTCACGTTAAGCCCCGCCCAGTTAGTTACACTAGTTACACTCCCCCTGTCCACACATAACATTTTCCATGATTAGGCATGATTAGGCGTGATTAGTTATTGAGTTTCAGTTCGAAACGATGCCCAAACCTGCGTTTCGTTAGACTAGTTTCGTCATACGATGTATCGTTAGTGAGCGTCCACACACACAATTTCATCTTAAAACTATCGCGAAACGGTATAGCTAATCACGCCTTATCACAGAAAATGTTGTGTGTGGACAGGGGGGTAGATGTAAAGAATTATTTAGCATCTCATAGATGGATGTTGCTATCACAAACTCCTGTCTATTACACAAATGTCAAACAGATGTACACGATGGTACTGTGAACCATCCTTTGACTGTCCTCCTTATTACAAATCATGCATTCTCATCCTAATAGACTCATTCTCTGCCTTTTACAAAATATAAAAATACAAGAGACAATAAGGAGGGGAGAACATGATTTATAGACGGGATGGAAATATTAAAACGAGAGCGCACATGAGGGTATGATTCCAGAGCATCCTGGCAGGAAATATCATACTCGGAGATGATGCTTGAAATTTGATTCATCATTCAGATATATATATTCTAGGAGATGGCAAAATAAAGACGACTTGAACTTGGGTTAGTGATTCAAATCAGCACTGATTCAATTTGCTGATTTGAATAATGTTGTGGGGAGAAATCAGGGATTTTAATTTTTTGATTTGATTCACTTCATAGTACTTTCAAATGTGAGTCATAACTTTAGGATCACTTAGAAAAAAAAATCTCAAACCTGGTTAGGAATTAGAGTTCATACCAATCCTTTGTTTACAAAGTAAAACTATTTCTTAAAGAAAAATATGAAATGTAAAAGCATGAGTGGAGGTGTAGCCATATTTCTGAAATATTCCATCAGTCTTTATTTACTATAATTTGCTTGTTGGAAGAAAAGTGAGGATGGGCTGTGAAAGAAAGACCATATGTCATCATTCTGTTGCCTCTAATTAGTTTAGATATAGAGAGAATCAGCATGAAACCTGAAAGTATCTTGTTATACAACATAACTTTCCTAGACACGTAGTTGAATGTATTTTCCTCTTCCCTAGTAGATTAAAGTGCAAGTGCATTTTGAAATGATTGTTCGAGTTATTGTAAAAGAAAATCATGCATGTGTGTGTTGTTATGATTCAATTTCTTGTAGAAGAGGTGATTTAAAAAAAAAATAGTTTGTTACCTTTAGCCTTGCATAGAATCTCTCTCAGAGCATGCTAGGTTGAAAAATATAGTGCATAGTTTTTTTTGTAATGTGAACTTTTCTTCTTGCAATTTTGATCCTTTTTATTGACTGTTATGTTTCATTTTTTCTACTTTGTGGACATTTCTCTCTCTATATATGATATATTTTATTATTGGCAGAAACGAATCAGTGAAAACAGAAGAACAAGGCAGCTGCGAATTAAATTAATTTATCTGTGTTGTATTTAATTTTAAATAAATTGAGCTGAAGTATAATAAAGAAAGTAAGCAGACAAAAACGAAAGAAAGAGAAAGAGAGAGATGACAAGACTTGCACAAAGGCAGAGGAGACTGTCAAAGAGAGAAGTAATCAGCATGTAATTCAGATATTTTAGTCAAAGGCAAGACGTGCTCAGATGAAGAATACAATCCAAGCTTCCTTTTTTCTTATCACCTTGTAGGTGGTGCCAAGACCGGAAGAGGGCGAGGTCGAGGTAGGGGAAGGGGACGCGGAAGAGGGCGTGGCTCATCCCTCCTGAGCAGAGGCACCAGCAGTACCACCACCTCCACCACCACCAGTACCACCTCTACCAGGGGTAGGAGAGGTAGACCCAGGAGGGTAGAGTATGCACCCCAGTACCTGTTTGGGGACCCTGCTGCCCTCATGATGGGGCTCAATGGGTCGCCCCTCGGAGCGAGCACCAGTCTCGGTTCCTCTTCACCACTCTCTCTCCTCGGGACCAAAGACGCAAACTCAGTCATCAAGGAATCTCCAGTGAGTTCTAATAGGGAAATAGATGGATTTTAGTAGGGAATTTATTAATTAGAGTATATTTAAGGCACCTCAGTTCCTCAGGTAAACCTGGATGCTTCTTAAAAGTGTAACCATTGTACTTCCTTAATTTGTATGGAGGTAAATTAAAGAGTGAGATGTGTGTTTATTCTGGAATAGATCAAAGAGGAAAAGTATATATACTTCTTATATACATATTAGAACTCATTTAATTTACAACTTTATTTGTGAAACAGTACTTTTTTCTTGTTCAATGAACATGTATAAATTTAGAGATTTTACAAAGACTTTTTCAAATATTGGGCTCTTGTGATGAGTTTAAGTGATACATGAAAATCCCTTTAGATTTCAATGTTTGTTTATTGGTGTAATTATCATTATTATCATTAGTAATTATTTGGCATCACCTGTGCCTTCTTAATGTACGGGGCCTCCTTTTAACGTCCTATCCGAGGGACGGAGCGTTTTCCACTTAACATAGCCTCTGTCTATAAAAAAGAGGTGGGGCACATTAACACACAACGTAGGCTTCAGTCATCCGCCAGAGTTGGATTCGAACCCATGATCTTGGTTCGACAGGCAGACGCTTTTACTGACTGAGCCAACTCTGCGCCTCTTCATGATGGATACTGATCTACCTTCAAGCTAACCACGGCATTATCTCTCTTAATACCTCAGAGCATGTTATTGAAAACACCGCCCCTGTCTCTGAGTCGGGAAAAGGGCACCCCGTCGCCTTCCTCCAAGCACAGCAATAGTCACAGTCACAGAGAGAGGAGCGAGAGAGGAGCCGCTGATGAGGGGAGTAGGTTAGAGGAAGGGGGCCTGACCGATTCCGACGGAAGCCTGTCGGACCTGGAGGCAGGGATCCTGAGCTCCGGTGGGAGCCACCCGGACAGCAGCAGCGGTGGCTCCATCTCGGATTCGGAGTCGGAGGATAAGGAGATGGCGGCAATAATGGAGGTGGGTGCACGGTGTGATGATTTGCATCCAGGGTGGTGTATGTGTGTGGATGATGTGAGCGACCATCTCAGTCAGTGCCATCTCTGGCATCTGCGTATGAGCAAACAATGTTGTATTCTCAGTTTCTACCCATAAAAGGGATCCAATTGCCTATAGATCACGTGTGTATTGGTAAGAGACATGCAACCCCCCCAACCCCCCAAGAAAAAAAAAATAGCAAACAAACCAAACACAAAAACAGTATGAGCAACTATATGAGCTCTTTCCAATGAGCACAAGGGGGAAAACAATTATTTGAAATTAAACCCGTCATGGCCATTAACAAGAATTAATTTCTACATCTTCTTGTCTCCTTACAAGTCTTGATGCCCCAAACAAGCCAAACAAATTATTTCCTTGACTGGGCTTTAAAGTTAGATGGGAAATTTATCTTATGCAACTGCCAGGCTCAACCCATGTTCCTGTCTTTCTCCCTCTCTCTCTCTCTCCCTCTCTCTCTCTTTCTCTCTCTATTTCTCTCTATCTCTCTCTCTTTCTCGCTGTCTCCGTCTCCTCCATCCCCCCTCTCTCTCTCTCTCTCTCTATTTCTCTCTCTCTTTCTCCTTTCTCCTTCAGACCAAAAAGCAGCTGGAGGCCAAGAAAATGGAGCTTCTTCACCAGCAAGAGCAGCTTAAGAAACAACAGCACAAAGCTCAACAGAAGAAACACAAGGTCAGTTCCATATTATACTTTGATGATCTTTATCAATTCTCATCCATAATCCCTGGAATTTTGTGCATGTATTTATCCCCTCGTCAGGAGCAATATTAAAGAGAAGGTTGAGTTCTGGGAAGAGGTGAAAAATAATTTGTGAGCGTTATTGTATTATGCAAGTGTGGAAGAACATCAGAGAAAAAATATTCCCTGAAAAGCATGGCTCTTCAAATGCCTTAGTATTTTAAACATGGAATGTAACATCATAAAAATCGGGACGGATTTTTACACCACATGTTCATGTATTTCTTTATATAATTTGGATGATTCCAGAACCTTGCAGTACAAACCAATACGTATATGCTAGATGATCAACCTTTTCTGATAGATTCCACAGCGTTTCTTTCACAATGCAATCGCTTGACCAGAACTAATCTTTATCTTTAAGGAAGCATCTCTTAACATATTGCTAATGGGAACTGGTGGTCTCTGTATTAAGCCTATGGGAATGAGAGAATTTGGTTGTCAACTGGTTACAGTGAATCTTAAAAAGGAGTTTTGGTTATAGAAATGCTCTTTTTGCATCTTTCAATGATTCTGAATCGTATTTCATGCAGGTGATAGGGTTGTTTGGGAACAGCATGTGAACAAACTGATGGTATTTATCTTAAAATTATGTTTACCTACATGTATATTTGAAAGTACAACTCACATGTGCACACATGAAAACATGTGTTGTGCACATGGTTGCGACTACAAGTTTGACTTGATTGGCTGTCATACATTTCTACCAAAATTGTACCGTCTTGATTATGTGAGAACTTTATTTTCTGTCATTACCACCAAAACTCAAGTTTACCTCCCAAACTCAAGATTACCTGTAATGATTCGAGGGAATTGTCTCTTGGAAAATTAAAATTAAAAAAGAAAAGAAAAGAAACAATGAAATTGAGTTGCATTATCCAAGGTGTCCACCTGAATGGTATGATTTGCATTTTTTCTTGCTAATCAATTGCTTTCCACGGTTTCCATGTTTGAAATACGTTACCCCCCCCCCCCCATCCCTCTCACAACTTTAATCTAGGAAAATCTTTCATTTTCTATCATGTTACCAAATTTTCATTGATTTTGATTGAAGCATGAAAACAATGTTTTAAAAATACATGACATTTATGAAAACATGTATAAGCTGTCATAATGAATGCACCTGAAGATCACTTTTAGTTAAGAGTTTATTTGTGTATGTTATTTCTTTATTTCTTTCATGTTGACATATAATGAATCTGGCTCAATATGATTATGTGTATACATACATGTAGGACTTACAATAAACATACCAGGGGTCAGGGTAGTTTATGTATCTAGTTATACTTTATATTTTGTAGCTTATCAAGGGCAATCCTTAAAGTAGTATATTAGGCAAAGTTCAGATTCAGTGTACCTGGTGTACCATTTGGTTTTTAAATAGTTCAAGCTATCTAGACATTTGTTTTGTTCTTCAATTATGTCTGAAATACTAGTAGCAAAAAAAAAGATTAAAAAGATTAAAAATAACCAGAACTAGTGCTGTTCTTATGGCCAAGGCAGTAAGAAAAGTTATACACATTCATATTCAATATGTTTGCCAGTGCATTCATCAAATATAGAAAATCTGGGACTAATAATCGAACAATAATATTACTAATGGATACAACGTGGTACACGAATGGAGGTATGCAACTGCACATGTTCATGTATATTATGTATCCAACTCTATTCTTATATATTATTTGTTGTCCTGTTTCCTGTTCATGTGTTGGAATCGTTAGTTCCCTATTTCTTTTCTTTTTTTTCTTTAACCAAAAATCTGACCTCTGGCCGATATCCTGTCAGGGAATTATTTTTCAGGACTACAAGAATATATTTAATATGTTCATAACTAAGACTTCCTGTTTTGTCTCTCTGTGCTTGTAATTGGCAGGGGAAATGGAATAAAATTTCTATGATACAAGGCAGGATTTTATTTAAGAGAAAACAAAAAGAGGTTTAAAGTATGGTAGATGCCATTTTGATGGTACATAATTATGGTTGATTTTATTTTTAGTCTGGATTGTTGATCAAAATAGAGAAAAATATGTCTTTCGTTGATAGATATCTTACACACCAAAGAGGATGGTATACAATTTCAGACAAAAACTAATTAATCTTGATTTTTCTTTAAATAACTTCATTATGCTGTACTGAAGGAGGTAACTCATATTTTCCGGAAAATGATGTCCAAATAATTTGATATATTCATGGTCCTCGTGTGTTACACAACAAATAATCATATCAGCACTCAGTACTCTGTACTCTTCAAAATGAATAGATAGGAATAGATTATACCGATTAAGAAAGAAAACACTTTACTTATATTCACATTTACATGAATATACCACCATTTGACGGTAAATAATAAAGGATATCTTTCTTTTTTTATCTGAAAAGAATATGATAGCAAAATACATGTAGCTTACAGAGTGTGATTAAAATAGGGGGAAAAATGAAAAAAATAATTAAAAACAAGCCAACACGTATCTGTCATAGTTTTCCTGTGATATCTCAGGCAAGGAACAGGTGTGGGTATGCCAGGGAAAAACACTAACTGTTTGCTTATGAGAAGGATAACATAAAATCAGTCCCTATCTATTTAGGCTTAGTGTTTTGGGTTAAGGGATGAAAATTAATTAGGAAGTATGAGTGAATCACACAGGAGTTGTAAAATGAATGGCTTGAAAATGTATGAAGATTGAGAGAGGAAGAGAGAGAGAGAGAGATGGGGAGTGAGGGAGAAAGAGATAGAGAGAGAGAGAGAGAAGTTAATATATTCCTGTCATGTTATATGTGTATATGTCTCATTGTTAATTTCAATTCATGTACATGTAAATGTATGTGTCCCTCACTGTACAATACACCTGAATCAGTGTAGAACAAGAATGTTGATCTGTTTCAGGCCATGATCACATTGCATTTGAGATCAAGCATTCAAGACCAAAGTTCATGTTCATGCTGAGCGTGATCTCGATCATGCCATTGTACCACCGTCATGATTAAAGTCAGCCATTGTGCCTTATCGATACAAATAATGACAAATATCCATTCTGACCTCATTGTTGATTGTATTCAATCCTTGTATTCATGTATTTGTCCAGAACCTCCCTCCGTTAGATCATGTGTATATATGTCATCATAATCTATATTCTGTAGATGTATATGTCATATAGATTTATTTTGTGTTAAACTTTCTCAAAGCCTTAGAAAGAGAACCCCCAAACTACTTTTCTCCATTTTCCCAAAGGGTGTTCATGTGGGGCAGCAGTTGTCTTCCCATTTCATTACTGACATCATGCCAAATTAAGAAGAGTTGTAGAAAACAGATTGGGTAATAGAAGTGCTAGCTGTTCAACATGTGAGGGGCAAATCAATGAAAGTGCATCAAATAATATTTACCCTGTATGACATATATGTATGTCATTGATCTACATTTGCCACACTCAACCCAGGTGATGTAAATGGGTACCTGGCAGGAATTAATTCTTTGAAATGCTAGAGCGCCGCAATGGCAGCACAGCTAAAGCCGGGGTAATAATCTCCAAGTTTAAAAGCGCTTAGTGATTGTAATAAGCACTATATAAAAACAGAGTGTTATTATTATTAGAAATTATTATTCCACGTTCATGTACATGTATTTTATCCAAGAAGAAGAATCTCTCAATATGACCATTGAATAATGGTGCTTTCTCTTATTACTACCATTAGTCGTAGTTGTGTCAAGGTCACAAAACTTTTAAATGGGATGAAATATATTGGTAAATGTCATATGTTGTACAGGAGACACTGCATGGAGTGGCCCTTTAGGTTTTATGCTGGACTCCATTCTTGGGTAGATGTCTGGAGCAGCATAGTGGAGTCCATGTTCTCCAAGCTGCTGTACACAAATTTGGGAGGGTTGTAGTGGTGGAATATTGTATGGCTATGAGTCTGTGATCCATGTTAATATAAAGCATTGTACAGTCAAACCTGCTTTAGTGACTACCTGTCTACAAAGACCACATTTTTGTTTCCCTTGAAATTGGTTTCTCATTGAAACTATACTAAAGGAACCTGTCTACAAAGACCACTTTTTGTGTTTCCCTTGGGCGGTCGCTAAAGACAGGTTTGACTGTAGTATGGACTGCAAGTATGGTGATGGAAGGGGGGTAGAGTCGTTCCTTCTCTCTGAGTCTCTCTCTTTTTGTTTTAGACCATTCACTATACATTCTGTATCTAACCACCCTCTAACCCCCTCTTAGGATGGAGATGAGGAAAGTGATACTGAAACGTCAGAGGTGATTTCACTGTTTGTGACTGTCCTGTGAAAGTTTTGTGACTAAAAAAAAAATATATAGAGAAGTGAAATGTGCTCCATGTTTTCTTTGCATGAAATTTTGTGACATTGTTTGGTTACTTGTGTTTTTGTTAAATCATGTGCTGCTTGTTTTATGCTGTAGAAATAGAAACACATGTTGGTATTTAGAGCTTCTTTGTTTCTTGTTTTTGTTCTGTATTTGATTTATTTTTTTTTAATTGAAAAATGGGAGGGGGCTAAGCTCATATTCTTTTAAGGATAATTTTACAATGCAAGTTGGCTCTCTATAATTTATGCTTGATAGGATCGAAAAAGGATATTCCAGAATCACATGATATTAATGATAATATTAATGATATTATTAATGATATTATTATTTTTATCAAATGCTTAGTACAAAGTTCCTTAGTCGTGCTCTACCAAAATTGACACGAGTCAAATGATTACAATGAATTTAGTAAAACCTTCATAGTCTGCAACTATGCAGTTATAAAAGCATGATTACAAATAACAAATTTCCAACAATTAAGATCCCCAAAGAAAGACCGTACAAATTGGCACGAGTTGTAAAAATCCCAGGAACTAAAGAGATATTCTAAGATAAGACTTAGTTTAATACACACATCAATGATGAATTACAATACCATAACAATTAATTGATAAGAAGAAGTTCTTCTTGCTTTTCTTAGAAAATCCTTTGAAAAGTACCTCTGTTCTGTCGAGTACCTGTATTTCATTTTCTCCTTGTGGTACTAAATGTAAACATCAGGATTTTTTAATTTTAAAGACATGTTGCCATGACGATGACAAGTCACCGAGTCTTCTGATCACCATCAAAACAGATATATTTTGCAATATTCATAAGAGCAAAATTGTACTGCATTAGAAACTTTATCTTTATCCTTAGTTCTTGATCCATGGCAGAATATTATAAAAGCATTTTACGCTTTGGGAATTACCTCTTTTTATTACAGTTATGAAAGGAAAATTTCAAATACATTTCGAAGCTTGTATATTGGAGAATGGCACCAATCTTTATATCTCTTTACATCATCAAATGACAAGTAAAAAGATATTTGTACCATGGAGAGTTACATTGTTAATTCCTGTATCACTTTAACCTTCTCTTTCTGAAAAAGACACAACTATATTACAAAGAACATTGAACCATTCGCGCAGAATTAATGCTTGCTCATACAGTATAGTATTGGCCCCGATATTTTATATAACACAAAGGATTTCTTGGGGCGAGATACACAATATATATATATTGTGCAAATCAATTGTGCTACATATCTAACATATATGATGTGTTGCAACAATGTAGGCTGCAGTATGTGTAACTTAATATAGCAATTTGTGTGTGTGTATGGCTCATAAAAATCACTATGTACTTTGTCCATTTTTTCTAGTGTTGAGCTCTGTGCATTGTTAGCATGGAGTCTCGTTGGTTGTTCATTATCGAATCCTCCATGTTTTTAAAGCTTACATTATAATGCAAGGTGAAATGCCCTTGAGCTGAGTAGCATATGAGTGCATGAGCAATGCTTTTCTCATGTAACCTTTATTGCATGCTTGTTTGTTTGAATATCAGATGTTCCATTGCTTGATGTGTACTGATGTGACGTTAGCAACAAACACTGCACAAAATAAGTTAGCCGTAATGAGATAAGAATAGCTGTGGTATTATAACACAGTTTAACATAAATTGTCAATGTGATATATATATAAGCTTCAAAATTATGAACTTTGTTACTTGGTAATTTATAAATTCTCTGTGTGTTTAGGGTTGGCAGTTTTAGAGAGAAAAATGTATACCGGTAGTTAAAGCATAAACACATTACAGCACAGATACAGAAACTATGAAGACATTAAAATCTTCAGAAGTGGATGTTCAAATGAACAGTTAGCAGTTAAGTTTGGATTGTAAGTCAGTTTTATTTGTAGTCTGTTGTTCAGGTTTGCCAAGGCAAGTTTAACAAAGAAGAGAAAATTCTGATTCAAAATAAATGCTTCCAAAGATTAGTTTGTTTGTCAATGTAAAATTGAATTTTAGACTGGCAAAGGATTTTTTTAAATGTCAGCTTCATTCTTTTTTTAATTCCCTTGTTTGTATAGCTTTATGGAACAGGTGACATGCTTTTGAAATTACAGTTTTAATCAAAGCATAAGATTGTTCTGGTGGGCCTTTCATTTATCCCCTATTCTGAAATATGGCAGTTGCCAGTAATTTTATCTGTGTGACATTTTCAGACAGATTGTGTAATTTGATATTCCTTCGAGCACTCAAGATGAGCACTAGTTTTCATAGCTACATATACGTAGGCAGTGCAAATACTGGCTACAATACACACAAGGATCGTATATTACCTTGTAACAGCCTTCATGGAGTACTATTGTAACCTCATTAAATATTGTTCAAGACTTGGTTAAACTTCTCATGTTTATGGTATAGATTAGATTAAAATGTGTATGTGAAGCTAGAAAGAAACTGAAACTGATAGATCTCTATTACAATACTCATATCTCCAGGGTATATTCATAAACTAGCTAAGGAAGTCCTGAAAATAATTTGATTGCTCTGTTTTTTCCCTTCTTTTAAATCCTTCCTTTTAAACCCTTTGAAGGTTTTATGCCCAACAATGATCTTGCTAATTCTAACTTGCTTTTTATGCAAAGTTGCCTACATTTTTTAAAACAGTTATGTCTTCTGGATAACAGTATGCCTTGCCATGCTAAAGATATATTTATGAATTTGTTTTACTTTTAAACTTTAAATGAAGTTCAGAGGAATGTGTGTTTATATCTTTCATGACTCAGAAAATTTTAAAAATGATATTGAAATGAAAAATTATATTCACAACACAGTATAGGTGTGCTTCCATATCACCTTCTATTTGGCCAGGCATTTTTTTTAAAAGCATCTTTAGGATTTTGATTCAAAGTATTTTTTTTTTTAATTAGATTTTTTTTTTAAACTCTAAATTACGTCTGCTATCAAAAATCTGTTTTACCTATTCTTTAAGGCAGGTTCTGTACGCAGGTTTTATACCATCTTTGAATTGTCAAATTAGGTTGTAATAAGAACAAAATGCTCAGAATATTAGGCCTGTTCTGTATTTGTTGATCTGTTCTCATGTTCATATACATCTGTCATGTTGTATTTGATTAGCTAATTTAAAGGTCTTCTTTTTTTTTAACAGAGATTTTAATAATTATTTCATAGTACAAAAGCTAGAAGGTAAATGGTGTACACATGTACTTGTAAATTAGAAGAGGGATTATAAATTTAGTGATTGAATTATGTCTTATCATTAAGCAGAAAATATATTTGTTGTTCGGTTATATAATATGAATTTTGTATCTGATGATGAACAGAAGGCTTGCTCAATCACTCTATTTATTGTAATGTAATTTAAATTAATTTGCCCTTTTCTTCTCAAGAGACAATATATTCTGGAGAAATGATGATGTAGTGGGAAACAATTTGTAGAGAAAAGTTACATATTGTAGTTAGGACAGGTAGAGGTACTAGGCAAGCAAAAATTGTGTATTATTTTTCATCTCATCTAACAAGTATTGATAGTTCATTTCTTAGCTGGGGAAGGTAAAACCAAAAAAAAATCATGAAAATTTCAGAATTGTAGCACATCTTCATTCAGGGTTCCTCGAGAAAGCAGAATGAATGCTTTGCTATCCCATATTAATTGCATTAAAACCTACTACATTGTACATGTATGTACTGAGTGTGTCTAGCAAAAAGGGGAAGATGTTGAGGGGGAAATGTATTACATGTAGTTGTGGGGATCGACTGCAAAGTGAGCTATATTTCATAAAATATTCACTAGACTTTTGATACTGAAAACTGTACATGTAACATTGTAATTCATTGTTTGTATGAATACATGTATGGTATTGTGTTATCGTGTGTGATGTTATGACGATAGGATATAATAGATTGATTCAAGTCTAGGATTCCAAGGTCTGTTATGATAGATATGTATGCTACATTTTATCATTGTATGCAAATAGGAGATAAAGACAGTTTTATTTCTTTGTGTACTCGATAACTTCCTCTATGTACATGTAATAAGTCACAAGCATATCCTTCATGCATGTATGACTGATATAATATACAGATCTACAACGTGTCTATGTAAGAATGAATGAGCCATTAGATTTGTTTGCAATGTGTATTAGTTTGAGCATTTTTTCAGGTAGCAGAGAGATTGTATTAGTCTGTTTATTTGAATGCATGGTAGTTAGGAATTAGAATGGTCAAATCATTGTCATGACGACAAATACCAGTGACGTCTAATATCCCAGCCCCTATATTAACTACCCAACAATAACTAACTTTTAAGTCTATTTGAATTCATGTAATTTGAGTTACATTTACAAATTTGAATTACCTGTTGGCAATTGCCCCCAGCCCTTCTCTCTCTCTCTCTCTCTCTCTCTCTCTCTCTCTCTCTCTTTCTCTCTCTCTCTCTCTCTTTCTCTCTCTCTCTCTCTCTTTGCATCTTTGTATGCATCTCTTTCTTTTTTTCTGTCTCTCCTTTCCTCATTTCATTATAAATGTTCCAGATATTTTTTAATTTTGTAATCAATGTTTCATGAATATTTGTTAATGTATCCTACGTGTAAATTTGTTAACATTATTGTATCCCCCCCCCCATTTGATAGATTCCTACCTACATTAGGTTACCTCTTTGTAGCTTAGGCAAAATCAAGTTCCAATTTTTAACATTTTTAATTTGTTAGGAGCGAGCCCTGAAAGAACAGCATGCCCACGAGCAAAACGTGCACGAGGAGGAACAGCGGCGCAGAGTGTTGGCCCTCACCCAGCAGTTTGAGCAGCAGATCAAAGCACAGCAGCAGCAGCTCCGCCTTCAAAAGAAGGCCCGGGCGGAGCGGCAAGCTGCCTTCCAACGAGAGAAAGATTACCGCAGCACCGCCTCGCAGGCTGCGGCTGCTGCAGCCGCTAGCGCAGCAGCTAGATCGGCAGCCCAGAAGGCGCAGTCTCCCCCGAGGCATTCAGACCTACTAGACCAACCTCAGGATCTCAGTGTAAATAGCTCTCGGAGATATGAGAGGACTGAGGAAGAACAGACCAAAGAAAGGAAAAAGAGGGTACGTGCCCTGCTGATCTCTTCCCCTCTTCTTTAAGTTAAATTGGAAGTTGATCAGCCTCAATATGAATTATAATCATTGTCTTAATGAGTTAAATAACTGTATTATAACTTGTTTCCTTGATGATTATGCAAAGCAACAAAACAACCTGGTTTTCTTATGGTATATGTAATATTTGTTACTGATCTCAAGACTATAATAAAATCTATGTAAATTGGATGCTGACTTCAACACACACTCAGTGGGTGTGATACCGAGCCGCTAGCTTCGTGGAACAAAAACACCTTATAAAGATATATCTCAAGATAAGATTAGCTCTCAATCCACATGCACTTAAAGTGACATTTCAGTCACTGCGTTGGGTGTGGCTCTTTTGAATCACTAATGCATTGCTTCAATATGGCACGCTTTATCAATGTATGTCTTGTTGTGTTTTTACAAGTTATTGCACCCTATCTTTAATTGCAGCAATTTCAAGGTATTGGCATGAGTTGCATAAATGCGCAATTTGAGGCTATAAAATCTTGTGAGGTTTTTTTTCACGATTCCACTTGCACGCATCCAGTATACATGTATTTTTAAAATTTCAATCTTGACTGTTTCAAGCTATTTTAGTGGTTTTGTGGTTGTTACTTTTGTTCTTTCACTGTCTTTGATGATCAAATCCTAGATATTCATAAATGCTTGTAACTGTAAGACAACATAGATCAAAAGAAATGTTTGTCCTGAGATTTACCACAACCCACACTGCTTTTATTCGGAGATAGAGAAACCTACAGACAAGAATGAAAGACAAATAGAAACAAACCTCTCTATATATTCTCCCACTTTTCTTTTACCAACATGTAATTTTATGTAAATTTCATGTTTGAATACAATGAAGGGTTAGTGTGTTTTGGGTGATGACTTGCAAAATTATCAATAAAACAACCGTTTCTTTACAGAATCCATTTTTCATTTAATATGGAAAGAGATTGATTTAAAGGTATATGAATAGATTTCCATTTTGCCCCCAATTTTCTCCCAGAAATCTGTTTGGGTTTTCCAGACCTTAAATATTTCACTGATCCAGTCTATCTACTTTGATAGTTTAAAAAAATGCTGTGCAGTGTGTGTTTGATATGGAACTCTTTTTATCCATTTGTTTCCATCAAAAAATTAAAAATGATCTTGATCTTACCATTGACTTAAATACGGTAACGATACTAGAGAAAACTAAGTCAGGTTCACAGCTAAAGGTTTTCATTTTTGTTGTTGATGAAACGAGGGGCTAAACGACAAAAATCGTCCAAGGGGGTGTTTCATAAAGCTGTTCGTTAAGTTATGCATGACTTTACAAATGACTTAAATATGAAAAGCCAAATGGGATGCTCATTTATTATTAATTGCATCAACTAAAGTTGAACTGTGCAGATATAGATTAACATTCTTATTATAAAAACATTTTTAATGCAAATTATATTTTTTGCCATAATTTAATTGAGGTTATTGGAAATATAGTCACACTTTGTTAAAACAGGAAAAACTTTAGGCATCCTATCTAGCACTTCATATACAAGTTGTTCGTAAAGTTGTGTAACTTTACGATCAGCTGAAGTGCCAGATAGAATGCCCAAAGTTTTTTGTGATATTTTCAATAACCTCAATTAAATTATGGCAAAAAATATACTTCGCATTAAAAATGTTTGTTATCATAAGAATGTTAATAATGATTGAGCATCCCATTTGGCTTTTCATATGCAAGTCATTTGTAAAGTCATGCGTAACTTTACGAACAGCTTTATGAAACACCCCCTGGACACACGGTATGGAATCACCCTTGAGCATCTATAATTCCTCTCCATCTTCCCTCTGCAGAAGAAACTTGCGGCCATCATCAACAACCTTGCCCAGTCGTCCAGCTACTCCTCCTCCTCCCACTCCATGTCAGCTCTGGATGCAGTCTCCACGGGGGCGGCGTCCAGGCTTGACAACGGGCTGGTGGATAGTGAGCAGGGCTCCCTCAGGGGTGATGGTAGTGAGAGGGGGACACCATCATCGTTTGCTAATGGCATGGATGAAGCAGATTACAGAGGTACCGTAAATCTCTGTGTATAAGACACACTTTTTCCCGCTGATTTTCTTTTTGAAAGTCGCTGTGCGTCTTATACATGGGTACAAAAATATATATATCATTTTTTTTTAATGTTGATTTATGCCCCTCCACCTGGCACTGTGCCTGGCAATGTCTCCCAGCTCAGTCATACTTGGTGTGTTGACTTAACACTACCTGTATGGCCAAATTTCTGTTTGGACTCAGAAGAAAATTTGTCTGTCATCTTTAGTTTTAAAAACGACATTATTTGTGACAAGTGCACAAGCACAAATCGGCGCCTTCAACTGCACCTCGCAGGAAAATAAAGGTCCTTCCCCCGTGTGTTTTTTAACACTGACCTGGCTTGCTGGCTTGCTGGCTTGCTTCGATTATGCACAGATCTTTTTCAACATTTACAGGTGTGTTGCTAGTGATTTTTTTAACAAGAAAGACAATTTTTGTTGTTGTTGAAAGTCATGTATATTTTAAGTATGTTAATCAATTTTAAATTCCTGTTGTATCAAGAAAGCATTTGAATTGACTTCCACCTCCCCTCCTCCAAAAACTAACCAGCGATAAAGAGAATTTTGTACAGTTTCTGTAATTGAAATAATGAATTTAATTCACATGTTAGGTTCTTCAATGTCAGCTGCCAGTGATGATGACAGAGACTGTAACAGTAGTAACGTTGATAGTGAATCCATGACCCTTGACTCAGGAAGCAGTACACCTGTACCAATCAGGATGACCCTCAAACGACCCTCCGACATGGTGCCGCTTTTCACTCAAATGCGTAAGTTTGTCTCGTTTTCCCCTTCTGACTAAACCTAGACAAACACATGAAAAATAGTCGATTACTGCTTAAAGATACTGTTTTTCATTCAAATAAATTGACTTTATTTCCCAAGAACTCTTTTGTCTCCTTGTAAGAATACAGGTCAAACACACAACTGATTGTTAATGAATTTTTTCTTTCACTAATATGTATTTATGTATTTATACATTTATCATAAATTAATGATATACCTAGTTTACATTACGTTACGTACCAGGCCATTATCATATATCCCTCTTTTTTAGCCCAAAACATTCTTGAATTAATTTGAAGCAAAGCTGGCTCTTTTATTTTGCATTATGAAGTATTTTTAAGCATTTCCTGATTGGGTGTTAAACAATAAGAACAGAATTGACTTTGCTTTGTAAAATAGGATGTGTTGGGATTTGTTAATATAAAATGATGAGAAAAATATTATGGGAAAGGAAATACAACATAACAGGAAATTGGCATGATTAAGTTTTGATTAATGGTAAACGGTTACTTTATATGTCAGAACACGGTTTCCTCATTCTATTAAAAGTGAAGTTTAAAATAAAAGAGACTTCATTTATGAGGAAGGTTTACTGTCTATCATAACAAAATAGTGTTTCTTTCTGAACATTGAGTAGTTTGGCATACCTTTCTAATGGTCAAATTTCAGACACACAGGTCGTTTTAAACAAATAAAAACAATTTACGTACATGTATGAATATTGAATGCAGTTTACAGCAGTGGTATACAGATAATGATATGCCTTGTTTAAAGATATGAAAATTTCATCAAAGTATATAAGATTTGCATAAAATGTAATTATTGGGTTTGCAAAGTTACTGCTATTTTTTTTTTATAAATGTAGCTCCGAAATTGAATAATCATGGCTTTCTTGGATCTTATAGAATAAAATAACAGACATCTCATTAGCTTGATTTTGTTAGGTAAGCATTAATGAAATTTAAGGGAATCACACATTATTATATTTCAGCCCTAAGTATCACATTACACAAACCATGATATGGGTAAAATCTTAGGCAAAAAATGTTACAATTTTGTGAAAGAAAATAGTGGATTTGCAAAGTGATGGTCCTTTTGTGAATGAGAAAATGATACATACCTTTTCAACAGTCGTACTCAGTATGGCTAATGCTACGGTCACAAAGGTTCTTACAAACTATAATTTTGTACGAATCTCCCTGTTTGTCCATTGTCTTCCCGAATTTCCATTGTCTGAAAATCGTTTGTAGCAGCTCGTAATGGCATTTGCCTACTTCTTTGTGTTTACCAAAGCATGATAATGAATTTGCAAATTAAAAGTCCTTTGTAAACGTTAGTAGTTGTGCATACCTTATCATATACTGCCAATTTGAAGATTTGAAGATTTAATTTTCCTATTATGACTAGCAATGAAGAGGAAACGGCTTCGCGTAACGGACGAGCGTGCGGTGAGATGGCCCCTAGCTAACGGATGGCGTCGGCAGACCATCATCAGGCAGCTCGGCCCTGGTGATAGGATCAAAGGTGATGTCATCTACTACGCACCCTGCGGGAAGAAGCTACGGACCTACCCTGAGGTCGTCAGGTACATCGAGAGGCGGGGCATCACCAGCGTGGCCAGGGAACACTTCAGCTACAGCGCTAAGATGAGAATCGGAGAGTTCCTCAACCCAAAGCCAGATGGAGACGGGGTAAGAAAGACAACCGCTATGTGATCTACTTTCCAGGGTTCTTTCTGATTTTTAGTGTAAAAGAAGATGTAGCTTGAATAAATAGCAAGTTGCAACTGCATGGAAGGACAAGGGAAGGGCAATGTTGATTTTAAGGAGTTGATATTGGAATAAATTTTGCAAATATAAGGTTACAAATAAAACCAATGCGTGCTTTTTAATACAAATCATATCATGTTGACCTTAAAGTCAACGTTATGGGAAAAAGACGGATTTTGTACAAAAAAATATATTGTATTTTGTGCCACATGCATGGAGATTGTTTAGCACATTTCTAAATACCTGCATTTGTGTGATGAAGGGACTTATTTCATGCCAAATGTGTGCTCCTTGCACAAGAACTTAGTTTAATGAATCCTTCAGGCGGTACCTTTGAGGTGTTTGCACACTACTCATACTTTCTGTTCTTGTTCATTTTGATCATTCAGGGAATCATCTTTGAGAAGCTGTCCGAGGACGAGCTGTACGACCGCATGCACTACGGCCATCGTCGCAGCAAGGCGGCTCGCATGCAACGCCAAGCCGAGAAGAGGCGCATAGCTCAGGAACTTGCCAGACGTGCCAACGAAGCCAAGGAGCGAAGGCGTCTTGAACAGCAAGGTAGGTCACATGATGTTAAAGCTCTCTGGTCGCCGTGTCTTGAAGGTACCGTGTGTGCGTTCACCATGGCACATTGTGATGTCTTTTATTTCGGAAAACGGGTAATTTTCAAGTTAATGCTTTGTGCTCACCCAAGTGCTCCATGTGAACATCTCTGTAAAAACCCTTCCTCACATGCTTCCTCCCAAACTGATGGACTTGACACGCAATTTAGTTGTAATTTAGCATTACATCTTGAGCTAGTGTCAGTTTGCACTTGTATTAGTATTTGAAACATCATGTGGCAACTATAATTGAGTGAAACCAGTAATATATTGTTTAGTTTTTATTGAATCATTTGTTGATGGTTCTAGAGACAATGGGAATGGTGATTAAAATACATTCATTGAAATCTACTGGTTGGTTGGTAAACACAGTGATTACACAAATTTGATATTATCTATATATATATAGAACTACATGTACATGTAGATACATGTAGCTAATATATACAAGTACAGCAGTCAATAACATGTTATCTTCCACATTGGTCAAACTGAATGTGAGAAATATCATCTGAAAGAGTGCATCCAATAACATAGTCTTACAAGACATTCAATCACCAATGTAAAGCAGCTCAAAATACCTCATCGTCTCCCATTTTTATTTGTCTGACACATAAAGAGAAGGAAAAAAAGGCAACTCAAGTCATAGCACTTTAAAAAAAGTTGAATATCATTAAAATACCCTTTTCATGAACCCTGTGCACAAATTTTCATTTCTGATAAAGCTGCAATTTATCAGTGAATGCTAAATGTTAATGGTGCCACCAGGTTTGAAAGGTGTATCACGCTTCAATCATAATAGTCTTTTCTTTAATTTGATTTATTCTATGTTATAATCGTAATCATCATCATTTAATGTCCATGTTACATGATCAATTTTGAATTTCTAGAAGAAATACAAGCTTTTTCTTCTCTCCAAAAATATGAGATTCGTTATCATTGCTTAGCCATTGTAAACCACTTTATTCTGGTAGTACCAAAGGGTTAACATTTGTTGGATATCGTAGAAGACTGACCCTTTTGAGTGAGGTCATGGAGGGTTCAAGGTAGAGGGCATGACCTTTGAAGTTTCTGACCTTGTTTTACTGCTTCACTTTATTATGTAGAGTAAATCTATGACATCTTCATCTGATTCAAGCGAGCCCATTTAGACATATTTCATGACAATATAAAACCAGAAAATTCAGAGTGCGTGAAACGTTTACAAATGGTTAAGATTCACAAAAGATTTACATTTAGCCACAAAGTAGTTCCTCACAATTGGCGTAGCTTTACATTTTCATGATTTTCAAAGCTTTCTTGCCGTGAAAATTGCCATTGTTTACGATTTGTGAAAGCTTGTGTTGTGAACGTTGCTGGTTCTACAGTAGATTTTTTTTTAATTTGTTAAAAGTCTTGATGCAATAGCATATTTTGCACCAACATAAACGAAGAGATTTGATTTATAGCATAGTATGGTTTAGAGCTGTATATGGTTTCATAGAAAAGAACAGTTGCACAGGCCTTTGTGTGAATATTGACATTTTGGATGTACTCTTTAATACCCAGTTTTCATTAGTTATATGCATACATGTAACTAAACCTGTTCATGCGTCCCTATATGTTTCAATGCCAAATTATACTACTGTAAACAAGACCGGAGCCCTATGATAGATATAACTTTATTCTGTAAGTGATATGAGCTGATGACGAAAATTAGTCCTACCAGCATTTATGGAATTGGCTACTTCATGTACATGTACTTGTTACAATTTCCATGGTCATGCCAGTATTTTTAAGAATCATTACCTTTTGTTATCAATTGTCTTGCCATCCAAATAACAATAAAAACCATTGACACTGCATACACTTGTTATATTACAATTTGACATCTGCAATATACCTTCCTTTCTTTCAATGGGAAGAGCCATATAGACAGGAAAAACATGTATATTATTTTGTATGTATGGAATTTACCTATTACCATAATTTTGTGATGTACCGGGAAAGTAACTTCAAACTTCACTGCAAATCACATCTCACATTTGCATATACATGTAGGATACGTTGCTTTATAACAATGTCAGGACAATTAGCTATTGCTTTTTCTTCGCCAATTTACTCAACATTGTCTACCAAAATTGTTTGGCCAATACAATTTGTTCGTAGTCTGAAATACAGGTATGCACTAGTGTGATAGTTTTGAGAATTCATTTTCTGTCACAACCAGCCCTCGCGGTTACTTGTGAAGCCTTATGCAACGTACCATACAAATCTAAAAGTTAAACGTCAAATTAGTCTTCGGTTACTAGATTTGGTTTCTTGATAAACTGATGCCATCCTTTTTGCAGTCTGCTTGTGGCGTGTTGATGTTTTGAAATGAATGTACATGTATGCACTTTTCATGTATCCATACATGTGTTCCATTTATTGTAACAGTTTTCCAAGCTATAGAAGTCAAGTTTTTTACTATGAAATTGGTTGATATTTGAAGCTTTTGATACTACCGGTACCCTTTCTGTTCCGAGCAGTGTGCTTGTGTGTGTGATTATTTTTTTGCCAAAACAGTGACTATTATTGTGTACATAATCATGCAAGTACATTTAGTTTGCATCAAAGAAGAAAATGTGCTTCTATTTTTATTAGCAGGCCATTTATTCTTTTGAAAGTGTAAAGTAAATGCAAGCATGATTAACATCAACCATTTATTATAATTTGATATTCACATAATTAAAATAGCACCATGCCAAACAATAGTACAGCATTTGCTTCCTCATAATCACAGTTTTTATGACAGTTTTGAAAATCAATATAAATAGGAATTTGATATGATAGCAACTAATGTTTTGAGGATTAAGATCATACATAGAGACTAAGACCATACTGAATAAAATTCCATGATTGTTTTGGAAGATCATGTATTTAGTCCCACATACTAAAGTTTAATGCTGGAATTATAGTGGGATGTGTTGTTGTAGGAATGGGGAAGAAGAAGAAGAAGAAGACGAAGGCAGTGGGTATTAAGTTTTAATGATGTAATACAGGAAAAGTAGTTAAATAGCAGAAAGATGAGAGGAGTGGGGTAGAGAAATAAGGCTGAATTGAGTTTTTAACGAGACAAAACTGGGACGGTATTCCTTCATGTTTAAATGGCAGAAATGGCGAGGAGGGTAAATGAGGCTAAATTGAGGCGTAAGATGGAGAGGCAGGACCAACAGGATGGAATGCGGGAGTCACGGCGCCACCAGGGTAAGTCCCGTGGTTCGTTCGTCTGTCTGTGTGTCAGTTAGAACGTGGGACAAGCAAGCGGGATGCTTTCACATTTTAGGGAGGGGGCATTTTGACAACAGCTGGGTATTTACTGGTAGTCATTTTCTGTGTGAAAATAAAGAATGCTAGAGAAATGGGTTTAGTACCATGTAAGTCTACCCTTGTCCACTTAAGTTCATTTTAGATTTACATTAAAGAAAAATCAAATTTTTCCTGAAAATCTTTAGTCGTTCGTTGGGGCGGGTATTGGGGGATGTGTCTATCAATTCGAGAAAATTTGTAATTACAGATATTTAGTATTTAGAGTGGGATAAATTTAAGTCATACATACCTTTGGTAAGTTTTCCTTTATTAAGAAATACATCTTACCATTGAAACATTAAATGGTAATTCTTGTAAATTACAAATTAAATTCTTTTCATTGTAGTTTGCTGATTATTGCTTTGAAGACAAATTCTTGCAAATAGATGGGAAATCAAGATAAAGTCAAATTAAGGATGCTTTGGGGGGCATTTATTTTCAGTGTTCATATGTTGTCTCATTGTTGTTTTGCCTTTTGTTTGCATGCTGTGTCAATGTCAGTGCACACCAATTGTTATGGATAGTCACCTTTTCAGTAAAGAATTATTTAATTTATATAAACAAACAGTTTTTGTATTCTTGAAAAAAGTATTTGATCTTTCTTGATACACTTAATAGCTTTTGACGGAAACTTGTGTTGTGTTTATATCAATGAAGATTTGAACTTATCTTGCATGATGTGCTTGTGTTTGTAATGTGTTCTGCACTGTTTATTTTAAGTTTTATCACTGTGTGAAATGACATTCAGATATGCTTCACTCTTTAATATACAAGCCAATTCACAACAAAAATACAATAATAAACATGTAGGAAATATACAGGTATACACATAAAACACGTAAAAGGAAAAATCTCACCTTGCACTTAATCATGTGTGCTGTGAGTTATTGTTGGATTTGCACATAGTTGGTCACGATAGTGTGACCGCGTATATGTAAGTTTTTATCTCTTGAAAGGGAATTGAAAGGAAATTAACAGTACCTTTCCAGTTTTAGCCTTTGCTATATCACCTTAGTTTCATCCAGTGTATAATTAAAGGTGAAAAGGATGGAGGAAAATGAGTGAGTTGAATGACCTTTGGTCGCTATCATATTATCTGCGGAGAACTAGAGGGGCGTTAACTCGCAAACTCTTACACAGCGTTAATGCCTTTCTGGCTCTGAGCCGACCATATAGCCAGAACCCATAGGTTTAAGGTTTGATGTTCTCTCATAAAGCAAACATGTACTATTGTACTTAACCATGTATGTGGTGTCAACTGTATATAAACGTTGTTTGTAAGATATACCATACTATAATATCGCCTGAACATAGCCAAAAGGCCATTAACTCTGTGTTGAAGTATATGAATCAATGCCCTTTTGGCCCCAAAAGGATAATGTTATACAAACCACAAACAAAGACACACCATTCAATCACATATCATAAATATACCTGCACCTTTCAGTAAATAGTACCAAACCATAGTTTAAAAACACCATATGTTTAAGTACTGGTATTAGAATTCAATAACAAATAACTGAACAGTTTCAATTGAATATTTGTTGATAAATAAGCGCCTGTTTCAAATACTTTCATCTTGAAATACATGTAGGGTATCCAACAACAAAATTAGAGACAAAAAATCATTTGAATCCCCTTGCAATTACCTGAATGAATTTGTTTTCCTCTTTTTTTATTATTTAACACTAATGAGAGATGCCCCCAAAAATCATTTTAAGTCAATATCTTTTGGAAGTTGTTTGAATATTAAGAGATGAACACAATCCCACTCAATATTCTTATCACTGTGACTTTTGTACATGGGGTATAAATTCAAACTTACAATGTGTAACTCAGACTTCAGTCTGTCTGAAATACATGTTTACCCAAAGCTAATTATATCTACCAGTATCCTAAAGCTAATTATATCTAATAGGTTGAGAGAATGCACTTTATACTTATACATGCAGTTCAGTTGTGAAACTGTGGAACCCATGCCCTTTCTTTAACTTATAGCATGAAGAATGAATTTAATATGGTATTTATATCTTAAAACTTGATGGTATTTCAATAATATCAAAATAAACATTGATTACAGGTAAGTATGGCATTACTTAGAGGTTATTGGTTGATTGATTAATGTCAAATATCTGCATGATATTCTATTCTGTAAAGAAATACAAATGCAGGAGTACATTTGACAATGGTAAAAAAATGTTATAAGTTGCCTAATTACTCTCATATGATACTGCCCGCCCCATACTAATTATGCCATGTATTTTATGTCTTCTGAATTGACTGCAATTGAATTAAATGGTAGTTGTTGCACTATAAACAGTTTCACAGACCTAGGAAGAAATTGAAGCAGAGTTTAAAATGATATTTAAAGCAGATAACAACTTTTGATAATATTGCGATGAAGCACTTAATTCCAACATTATTTTGCATATTGATAATGATTTACAATTTGAAAGATTCATTTTGCATTCAGAAATTACGTATTGGCACAGAACATTGTTTTTCTTAAATCATGGACATGTATCCGATCCATAAGAAAATTACTGCATTAGAAATGTAGCTCAAATAAAAAAAAAATTTAAAATTTGGAACAAGTTACATTCAAACTGTACTTTTGGGTTGGAGATGTAAACGATTTGCAATAAAACTGGAGGATGGAAAATGAAAAGAAAAAGGGTGTTCATCTTGAGCTATTCATAACAAAATATTGCAAGGAAATGGGATCTCAGGACTGTTGGGTGCATGCTTCCAAATTATAAGGAGAGACAACTTCACTAAAAAGGGTTTGCCTCTGTCATGCCTGAGAATCATGCTACATCAAAGAAATACAAAGCTGATTGTTTCTCATTGAACAACATCCCTCCTTCCTACATCTGATGATGAATTTTGAAACCCTAAAATATAGTAGATACATGTATGAAGAAAAGAAAAAATCACATACCAGTATTGTTTTTTTCAAAAAGTAATGCAGGCCCTTTGTGTTTCTTTTATTCATCTTGATTTTAGAAATGAATAGGGTCTGCAACTCTGCATCATCCCTAGTAAAAATGTCATCAAAGAAACATTCTTCCAATTTTTGTTCCTATTTACTCTTTTTTCCAGCACTTTTTCCACAAAGCCTTGCAACTGATTTAATTTTGTATAGAATCTTTGACACCCTTTAAAATTTGGCAGCGGATATTGCACAGTGAAAGAAATAAATCATAAAGCAGGCATGTTTAATGTTCAACATATTCGCCCAGAGGGTTTATAAAGCGCTTACTATAGACAAATTGATGATGGAAGTTATATTACTCTCAAGTTTTTGCTTACGGGTACGATAACACATACATATATCAAAACATATTTAGGAGACATCGCTTGTCAGTGAAAAATAAATCTCTTGTTGGTTCTTTTGATACAGCTCTGCAGTTGGCCGAGGAGAAGCGCCGTGACAAGGAACAGCGTCTATTCATGAGACAACAGCAGAAGATAGCTCGTCTACAACAGATGAGAATGGAGCGAGAGGTCCGTACCCAGCAGCTTATTGAGGTATGACCCGTCCCCCTCCCTCTTCCTCCTTCCCCCTTCCTCTTCTCCCTCCCCGAAGCTAACTCTCTCAGTGGTGCTCTGACATAATCCTGATTTCTTTCTTTCGTGTTTTGGTTAGGATTTTAATATATTACATACTATCGTTTTCATTTAGTTAAAGATTGCCTGAGTAGGAGCAACATTTGGCATATATGCCTATAATGCAGGGAAGTATTTGATTTATATCAAAGGAAAATATTAAAATAATGTTCAAGATGAACTGATTATACAAACAAATTGTATTTTTAGAAAACATTTTCGAAGTTAAGTGAAGTATATGTTTAATCTTTTTGATACTAGGCATTTTGGTTTCCTCAACGAATAAGAGGCGATTCCCTACTTAACATATTAGATTAGGTATAGTGATAATTTTCTTTGTAATTCAAGCTGTTTTGAAGGAAAAGAGAGGAATTTGCAATTCAAAATCTGTAGTGCTGTTTTTCATATTGATATGGTCTAATTTACCACAGGAAACACTAACAAATATTGATTGTATCCTGGTAGGGATTTACCCTAATTTTGTGAGAGCAGCCAAAATTTGTTTTGATTTTAAATGTTTTATTCCTGACTCTCTGCTGTAGGCCAAAAATATTACTCTTATCAAATAAAAAGGAACTTCTTGATTACAATCAAAAGTCATCGGCCTCTCTTATATTTACTTCCTGCATGCTATATTAAACTAAGAAAGGAAATTATAACTTCAATTTTCCTGTCGGATCTTTAGTACTTTTGGTCATGAGATTATGACCACAAACTTTCTTCCTTTTATGAAATAATTCAACAATGTATGTATCTACTGCATGCCTGCAAGCTTTCGCATTACGTTGCACGCCGCCCGCTTTTGTAGATATTCATACTTCTACTAATGCATTCAACACTGATAATACCCAATCATGTCTGTTTTTACAAATGAATGTTAAGTTTGTATGTTCCTCCCGAAAGGATATACCTGATTTTTTCTGAGTACACAAATGCATGCCAAAGATTTGATTCCTATTATGATATAAACTCCCAACCACAAACGGGTTTGCATAGATAATTGTTAATTATCCCATAGGCCTGATATATGTATGATTTAAAGACAAAAGTATATTGTTCTAGATTGTTCTCTACCTCTTAATGAATCAGGCCGAACAACTGCATTATTATCTTCTCCTTTCCCTTCTTTGTGTATGAAGTTAGCTTTTGTAATCCTCAGACGTTTCTCTTGTTGATTCGTGTATGGAAAGGGCCAAGTACAAGGTATTTTATCCCACACGTAATACTGACTACATCAAATATTTTTATCCTAACCGGGGGATGATTGCTTTATACCAAATTTGATGTTCATTATGTTCCTCATTCTGTTAGATCTGGGGCCCGTTTCACAAAGCCTTTTTTCAATGACAAATGACATAAATCAGTGACAAATTTGCTGATAACCAATCAAAGGCAAGGATTTCAGTAGCTTATAACAAAAACTGTCATTTGACACTGATGACAAGTTTTGTGAAACACCCCCCTGGTGAAGTGTTTGGTTCACTGGGACAGAATACCTTTGACTTGCCTGCAGATGTGCAACACACACAGCATGAGAAAGTTACACAAAATGAAATATAGCTAGCTATTAAAGTTGCTCTTAGTCTTACGGTTGCATTGTACATGTATGTACTCCTGCTTGGGCACTATTGTGCAGTGTCCTTGCTTAAGATTTGTTTTTATTTGAAAATGTTGACTTGTATCTTGATTGTTAAAAGTGAAGAAGAGGCACCAATGTTCCATGTTTTTTGTACTACCAGGACCGCAAAAAACGGAAAGAGGTGGAAGCAAGTCAGAAAACCATGGATACGATAAGACGTGCTAAGGTTGGTTGACTGGGGTTTAGTTGAAAACAATCACTTCCCAAATCTTCATTGTGTTGTAGTTTTTTTTGTTGCAGTTTGACATCTACATATATCGTTACTTATGAAAAAGTATGTATATTTAGCAAAACATACAGAATTTTCAGTTTACTTTTTCTGACATTAAGGAACAGGATCCCTTTCTCAAACATCTTACAATGAAAATTTTGTGAGCATAATACTGGCTTTTGGAAGGTAACTTTGTGTGGTGTTCAGAAACCAATTTGTAGTGCAATATTGCTGTTGAACCTGAGTTAGTTATGATAGAGGATTCATTTTCAAAACATCACATGGCAAAAGATTGTCACATGTCCTTATCCAGCTATGTTTAAGAATTCTAAACACAGTAAAAGATCACATGACATTTGGGTCATTCCATGGGGGTGGGGTCAATTTTTGTGACATACCTGAAGTGAGACACTACTGTGTGTCTCTTTATCAACCGTGTTTGATCAAACCGAGTTTATCATTAAAAGCATAGCCATCTATGTATAGAAGCACTTCATGGTGATTCAATATCATAGACACAAAGTTTATGTAATTTTATATAAATGCGGTGTCCATGTAACGCTTGTCAAAACAGAGATGCTTATTAAGCTAAAATTTTGAAGAGCAACTGAAACAGGATGATTCTGACAGGGCACTAGTATGTAAACATCTTCAACGGATGATTTCATCTTCTATGTGGGGTAAAAGATATACCAACGTTACATGGACATCATCATTTTTTATTTGGCCTATCCCTCGTGGAATGACCCACTTGTTAATATAATGTTGAACAAACCCTTTTACTCTAGGAAAGAGAAATGAGGAGGCAACATGCTGTACATCAAAAACATCAGGTCAGTTTCAACAGCTGGTCTTGGTTATTTTGTTCTTTCTTGGTTTTGGTTTTGGTTTTTTGAGGTGAAGGAAAATCTATATTCTCTTTTGATGTGTATGTGGTCAATCTAAGCGTTTCTGGGCAGGTGTTCAATTCAATACTCTGAATAAGCAAGAAATTGACTAAGTAAGTTACTGAGCTAAGAAGTTTACTTCAAATCGATTCAAATCATGTTTAAGACTTTTACATACGTAAGACAAATCTAAGTAAAATACTTACTGATTTATAAGCATTGTGACATCACACGGTCAATTTAGGGTAAAATACTTAGCCAAAAGTTTGAACTGAATACCAAAATTTGCTAAGAATTTTATCTAAGCTGAAGACTTAGTAAAATACTCATATTTCAAACTTAAGTATTGAATTGAATACCGGCCCTGGCATCTACTCTAAAAAACACCAACATTTTCACTCATTCGTCTGACAACAGATTAAAAGAAATTAAATCCATAGCAGGGTTCCACGGTCATGAAAAACCTGGAAAGTCATGGAAAATGAAGGGAAAAATCTCTCAAATTCATGGAAATTGATTGTGGGTTCAGGCAATGTGTGGCTATGGTATCCTTCCAGTATGAACTGACAAAGGGCCTGGTATTTTGGATACTGCTTGCGTACCTCATCCCGTATCAAAGAGCTTTTTATCTGGTCATGGAAAAGGGCAAAAATGTGTCATGGACAGTCCTAGAATTTGGTTCTCAAATTACGGTGGGAACCCTGCATGGTTTCAAGTTGGTATTCAACCGTGTCGTTTTATAGAAACCTAATGCTCATGACATGGGGTGATTTCTTTGTACCCTCTAATTACAATGATAAATCAGGATTAGAAAATGTGCAATTTCAGGCAATTTTCAAATAAAAAATTCCTTTTGCCTTCAAACCATTCAAAAAATGTACATCATAATTTTTGCTTCCATTAGTTACCTGGATTTTCCTAAATCCTTTGTAAATTTTGTCTTTGAGGGATGAACTTCTTTAAACTTCTACAAAATGAAATGATGTCATTCTATTATAGAAATTGTCTATTTCAAGTAACTTGTTTAAAAAAAAAAGAATTGCTGGGATGGGTAACACCATTTACAACCTCATATCACGCTCCATCCATGTAAACGAAAAATGAAAACGTGAGGCAAACCAACCATTGAATTAGTAGTATGGGGTTGGTCTTTTTTATTTTCATTACCCTTTTCTTACCTTTTTTTCTTCTTCTCTTTTCAATTTGGGATCCTTTCGTTTCCCACTGTGTTGCATCTTTAATTACAAAAGAAATCTTCTCTATGACACATTGTTGGTGAAAGAGTAGATTTAGGGATATCAATAACAAAGAATTAGTTTCATATAATATTAACCATTACAGTTTGCTGTTCATTTTGTCTGGTTCAAGTGATTCTTGTGTCACAATACTTGTTGCCATGGTTGTATATAATCTCATTCATTCTCCTCTCCATTCTCCAGTACATGGGTTGCTTTCTACATCTTTGCAGATTAGTGGTTTTGGTGCCTTTTTTGTGTGGTTCATCCAGGTTCCTTGCAATTTTCTCTATCTTTCTTGTATTTATTCACATCATTTCTTTCTTCCCGTAGTAGGCTGTCATGAAAATGATCAGAAATCATTTTTTTTTTTTAATATACGAAAATTATTGAATCTATCAAGAACTTGTTCACATTTTCAGCCCTTGTGTTTGTGTGAAGATTGGGTTTATTTTCTTCTCTTCTGTACATCAAATAATGATATAGATATAGAAGGGAATGAATTAATGGATTTTCATTTCATTCTTCATGTACATGGAATGACTTTTATGATCCATTAAACCAACAGAGTTTCAAGTACTTTTTTTTCAAGTACATCTTGCAATCCATGTTAATTGTCATTATTGCAATTTCTTAAGTTGATGTTTTCTTACATCCTGTCCCGTGTTTGTTTTGATAGTGCATGTTGTACAGTAACTTGCTAATCCTTTTTAATACCTTTTGCACCGTAATCTTTTTTGTTTTTTGTTAGCAATGTCTAATGACTATTGTTTTCTCTAACCTAACAGCACTCACCAAAATATTCCCTGCTTGCAATCACTAATATCATATATAATCTTCTCTGCTCTGTTTGCCTTGCACCTGCTTTTGCATCTCACAATGCTAGTATGATTTGAATCATTTGAAGTTGTTGGTGTTGTTTTTTAAATGAAGAATATTGCAATTTTCTTGCAGGAGCGAGAGAGAAGAAAGCAGCACATGCTCCTTGTAAGAGCACTGGAGGCTCGGAAGAAGGCAGAGGTAATCAATTGATCAATCGATCAATCAATCAATCAATCTATTTGTATATCTCTCTATCTATCTATCTATCTATGTATCTATATCTGTCTTTCTGTCTGACTGTCTATCTACATATCTATCTACATGTATCTATCTATCTACCCATCTACCTCCCTCTCTTTATATTTATCTATCTACGTCTGTCTGTCTATTTATCCATCTATCTGTGTCTGTCTATCTATCTCTCTATCCATCTATCTATCTATCTAACTATGTGTGTATGTCTGTCTATCTACATGTATCTATCTACTAATGATAATCTTCCGTAGTTTATGTTTCTCTATCAGAAAAATAACTGACTGATACTAGCTTATGCTCCCCATAAAGATCTCTTTTAATGAAATTATTCATTCAGAATTTGTTATTCTTGTCATCTTGCTACTGAAAGTTCTTTTGAAATGTCTTTGGCCATTTGTTTTGAAATGATACAATATAAAGTAAAATGACAATAGATGGGCAAAGCAGCATCCAAAAGAAATTCTGTAAAACCCTGTCGAGTTGAATATAATACTTTTCTAAACCAAAGTATTACTCTGTTTGTGACACATAGAATTGTTTCTGTTTTTTTCAGGAGAAGGAGCGAGAAAAGCAGGTGAAGAGGACAGAGAAGTACTACCGAAGAGAGAGGAGAATGCAACAGAGGATTCTGGAAAGAGACATGACTAGAGAGATCAAGAAAGCAGTGGAAGATATGAAGCTTGTTCCGGAAGCTCCCGTAAGTTTAAGACAACAACAACAACACTAATGAGGATTTCTAATGCTTCATTTAGACATGAGGAAGTGAGCTGTCACAAAATAACAACGTGTGCTTCATATTTCTCTCTCTTACTTTACACATCAGGGAGTATGTAAATGTAGGGGCCATTGTGATGAGCATTTTTTTAAAACCATGCAACATCCCTTCTTGCCATTCTTTTAATATTAACATTGAATGGTTTCTATTTTGCTGCAGCATTTTTTGAGGCAGTTGACTCCATTGTGTCTGAAAAGGCCTTTCAACTTATAGAATTTTATTCTTGTATTACACTTGAGTTAAAAAAATTATTTTAAAAAAATTTAATAAAAGTTTTAGTCATGTTGTTTTGCAAATCATCTCAAGGCCTGAAGCATTTGTGAATCTCAACCACTCATGAAATTTATCAAAATTGTCATGGTTACAAAGGTTTCTGCTTTTAGAGCCGCAAAATGAGATGATTGATATTGGTCATACAATATACAGTATGTATCATACATGTAATATGTGTTCAGGGATCCATAGTCTTACAAACCCAACAATTTGAAAATCAGTTTGATAGGCCTTTGATCAGTAATTACTGCACAATCATTGTATAAACCAACGATTCATATGAAAATGAACAGCCAATATTATATTTAGAAATGTCTTTTGTTTTTTGTCATATAGGCCTTGCCTGAGCTGGATCGTGTGAAGGGTTTGACCATCTGTGGAGCTGCCTTTGCAGACTGTCTCATGGTCATTGAGTTTCTACACACCTTTGGCGATTCACTAGGTTTAGGTAGGTAAACCTCTTTCGGTTAGGTAATCTTCGGCAGGATTTAAAAGTCTTTGAAGCCATTGAATACTGAACTTGAGATAACTTGAGCAGCTGTCTTTTGAAAACGGGCATTTCATATGAAATCCAATTGCATTAAAAGATTTGCTCTCCAAGAAACCTCATTGCTGCATTTACCTTAAGATCAGCTATTCAAAATCATCTACACTTTTTGATAGTTTTTCGCAAACAAAATTTCACTGCAAGTAGATAATTCTCTTTAATACCTAATCAACAACCCCCAATGAAAAAGTTGATGTTACTTGATGATACTTTATCCTGCTGTCTCTAAACAATAAAGACCTCCTTTAGTTTCATACATGTAGCTCTGAGATACAACACCTGTAAAGCCATGCTTCTCATTTTTCTCCTGCAAATGGTGAAGACAATCTCCAACATGTCCATCCTCCAAACAATGTCATACGTATGGTTACTTGATGCCATGGTCCTATACAGAGTATCCTTAAAAAGGCACTTCTAATTTTTCTCTTGCAGATTATGAAGACATCCCCAACCCAACCATGTCCATTCTCCAAACAAAGTCAAATTTATATTATCAGTTTCTTTGTCCTGGACCCAAAACCTTAATCCCCACTGCACTACTTATAGGTACTTGCGTCCTCCATATAGCAAACAATGCCTAAGCGGTACCCGTTGGTCCCCCATATTCCCCTTTTTCTCATGTTAATTGAGAGCTGTTTTGATGAGATAACCACCCGCCAGTGACCACGGTAGGGAGGTCTAATCCCTCCTGGCCAAACTAGTGCAGACAGGCTTTAAAACCACACTTCATATTTTTCTCGTTTTTCTCCATTAGATGATGACGATGACATCCCGACCATGGCTATCCTCCAGGCCAGCCTGCAGAATGAAGAAGAACATGTCCCTGTCCTTGTTTCCTTGGCGATGAGACTCGTCAACAGTGCAATGGAAGACCCAGGTCTACCAGATGATGACAAAACACCAGATGTACGTAATACACAGGCTTAAAGCCCTACTGCACTACTTATTGCTACGTGCGCCCTCTATATAGCAAACAATGCCTAATCAGTGACCATTGGTCCCCCATGGTCCCCTTTTTCTTATGTTAATTGAGAGCTGATTTGATGAGATAACCACCTGTCCGTAACCATGCAGAGAGGTCTAATCTCTCTTGGCCAAACTAGTGCAGATAGGCTTTAAAGGGAAATCCAACCTTTGTAGAAAAATGAGAGAAAATAGACCGGTGAAGGTTTGAGAGAAATCAGATCAGAAAAAAAAAGAAGAAAGATATGGACTTTTGAAAGATGTCAAATAGGCTGAATTAGTAATGTTACTTTGACGTAGTGCAGGACAACTTTCCCATTGTGTGTATTTAAAAAAAAGTCACCATGCATCTAGCTTTTTCTTTGTTTTGTTGCGGGGGAAGAAAAAAAGCATTATGTTGTTCAGCGTTAACATAACATGTGCATTGTAGCAGCCGGGATCCACTGTCCATGTCATGAAGAGGATTAATACTATTCAACATCCTGCCAATTACATCATCTCACGAAGCCACACTTACTATAGATGTTGTTGGGATTCACTCTAGCTCAAAAAGACCATAGTTTCTGTACTTAAAGGACACTAGAGAGGTTTAAAAGGGAAAACAGGATTTGTGAAGGGTTTATTTATTTAAACACATTGCATGCATATGCTGTGGACCTCCATCTATGTAATACGATAAGATTGCACCAATAGTGACTTTATGAACCATGTTGTAAAGACTACTGTGTGATACCAATTTATCAAATATCAGTTTTGTAAGTAAAAAATACTTGAGTGCTGCCAATTTGAATTTATTAAAACCCAATACAGGCAGTGACAGCTGGAGATCAATGTCTTTTAGATCAGTCTTGTAATTAAAAAGATTCTAGGAAAGTTGCCAATTTGTATTGGGTGACATCTGTAAAGTCTGTTTTGTAATGAAAAGATTTTTCAGTGTTGCCAATTTGAATTGAGCAACATCTGTTAGGTCAGTTATGTAATGAAAAGACATTTCAGTGTTGCCATTTTGAATTTCTTGACATACCACAGGCAATGACAGCTGGTGGGCAACGTCTATTAGAGATTGATGTTACTCAGGAGAACCTATCTGAAGTACTCAGCTGCTACCTCAAGGCTATGAAAGGCTCAACCGATGAGGTAAGTTTGATCTCAAGGTCAAAGGTCATTGTCATCACAGTTTGAGTAGATTCTACATAAACCACCTGCCAACTTATGTATCCAGTAAGAAGTGTCGTAGTCTAGTGGTTTAAGCACTTGACTTGAAATTCAAAGGCCATGGTTCTTCATTTGCCACACTCGACCCAGGTGAGGTTAATGGGTACCTGGCAGGAATTAATTCGTTGAAATGCTTGAGCACTGTAATGGCAGCTAGGCTAAAGCCGGGGTAATAATGAATGTGCCTCGGAATAGAATTTCTAGATAGATGGCGCTATAGAAATGCCTATTATTATTATTATTGCCTTTATAGCAGGTATTTTCTCTGCTTTATGGACCTGTATGTATATAATCAATGAAATTCCTTGCTCTGTCCCTTGTTTCAGCTCGCTGTCAAGCTCCAGACAGTGCCATTCCTGGCCCTCAATCCCACCCACAAGGCCAGTATTCTTGGCTACCTGGTCAATCAGCTGGTCTGTAGTGACCGGGTAGTGGGCTGTATCGACAACAGCATGGAGAACCTCTCCAATCTACGCAGGGACAAGTGGGTCGTCGAAGGAAAGATCCGCAAGTAAGTCACAAATCATTCTATGCACTAGCTGTTCAGACCTGCCAACCAGTATGATTTAGTTGTATTTTGTACGATTTTTAGAAGCAAATACGCCAGTACATTTTCTTCAATAAAATACGATTTTTTGTTTTAAATTTAAATTTGTTTATTTATTAATTAACAATGGCAAAATGCCCATTCTGTCCTGTAAAGTATCCTTCAAGCATCTCACATAGGCAATTTGGGGATGTTTATTGGTTCATCGAACACACCAGTCGCAACGAAATCAAGCATATTCAACCAATAATCCATTAAAAAAAATCTTCCTGTATGTAGGAACTGCAAGAGGCATTGATCCGCGTAACAGTTCGTGTTTATTTTTTAAGAATACAACTTTTGTCAGTAAAATACAACTTTGGGGATTAAAGAATACAGTTTTTGATCTCCAGAGGTTGGCAGGTCTGGCTGTTGTTCATGTGGCCACAACCCATGAGGCCGACAATATACATGCTGGGAGTCTGGGAGCTCATCCTGATTGACTTCACGTTAAAGTGACTCAGTAACATTGTTGTAGGTCGATGCAAAAACTGCGTAATTTTTGTATGAATTGTTACTTAATATTTTCCTTCCACTGTACTAACCCTCTAGCATGCAAAAAATCCTGAACAAATTCTCAAACCACAAAGATATTTATGGATTTCTTAGAACTGAGCGACACCCTCCAACAACAAATTCTCCCAACCATTTTTGAATTTTCCAAACCCTATGGAAAGGTATATAGAGCCAACTCATTGCTTTGTGACGATTTACATTCACCTAAAATGTACCGGTAATTAAATTTTAATAATATAGGTGGGAGAATTAAGGAATCGTTCAGATCACTTTTTCCCAATTTTTGTCATTAATAGTGGGATGTTTTCACTCAGAATTTCAGATTATCTTTAATTGTACATCTAGCATTGAAGTCACTACCTTAGCACCACTATCTCTCATCTGAACAATGTTACCAAGTCTCTTTATTACTTTCTATGTACAGACTGAGAATCCAACAGGAGAAGAAGTTTGGCAAACTCAACGACTCGGTCAAGCGCAAACGGGGGCGCCCTCCAAAGAACCCGGAGGATATGGAAGCTGGAGAGGAGTTCAAGTTTGAGGAGGAGGGCAAAGATGGAGGAGAGAAAGACCTGGAAGATATACCAAGAACGGATGACGTCAGAGAGGAGGAGGAGGGAGAGAAGGAAGGAGAGAACAGAGGAGAAAAGGAAGGGGAGAAGGAAGGAGAGAAACCGATGGAAACGCAAGAGGTGGTGGAGGAGAAGGAAAAAGAGAAGGAGAAGGAGAAGGAGAAGAAGGAGAAGGATAAGGATGGAAAGCAGAGTCCAACCAGAGAACAGCTGGATAAGAAAATTGAGAAGCTCTCAAAGGTATGAACAGACTTTTATAGGTCTCCATCCCTTTAAGGAATGCAGGATGTGTTCCCCTTTTAAAGGCTGAATTTTAGATAGTTGGTACTACTATCATTGAGTTGGCTAAGTTGGTAGAGTATATACCTATGGAATTCAAATTTAGTCCAGTCAGATGAAGGTAGCCTTTGCTATCTGCTAATATTTATCATTTTATGGCAATATCCTCTTTTTAAAGTAGTGTGATTGGGATGTAATACTGTGAGTATAATGTTTTTCTCAAAGTGGATTAAAACTATTTAAACAAAATTGTGTGTAATAATCTTTTTTCCACCTTGTGTATTATCATACTGTTGCCTTCTATCTCAATACTGTGAAATATTAATTTCCATTTCATTTTAAATTTCATCACAGCAACATGGCCAGTTCCGAAACAAGATATTTGAAGCATCGCATTCCCTGCGTGCCATGTCGTTTGGCATGGACCGTTACAAGCGTCGCTACTGGGTGCTACCTCATTCTGGAGGGGTTCTAGTGGAAGGAATGGAGAGTGCCATACCCGACGAGTTTGCTGCCCTCGTGAATTCAAACTGTGATGAGGCCACAGAGCCTGTTGATACCAAAGATAATATTAAAACCGAAACCCAAGACAGTACAGTGCCGACAGAACCTGCAATAAAACAAGAAGCTGAAGAGCAAATAAAGCAAGAGAGCGAAAGGACGCTAGAAAATGAGCCTGAAGTGAAAATGGAAGTTGAGGAAGGAAAGTCAGAGGAAACGAAATCAGATGAAGCAAAATCAAAGGAAGGAAAGTCAGAGGATGTAGTTGAACAAGCCTTAGATTTCAGTGAAAAGAAGGAGAGGGACACTGACCAGGCTTTGGATTTAAGCGATAAGACAGGTGCTATGAGAGACGAAATTGCCAAAGGGTCAGAGCAGCCAGAGGAAATGGAGGTATGTAATGGACCTAAAGCTGACGAGAGCAAAGAAGATGCGCAAAACTTGATGGTTGAGAAACCTGAGAATCTCTCAAAGTCAGGCATCTTCCAGAGCGATGATGAGAGTAGGGATAAAGTTGAGGAGGACAGTGAAGCAGTTGTCAAGGAGATCATCAATGATGTAGTGAATGCTGCCGCTAACGGTGTTGATAGATATGCTGCTGATGTTGAGAAAAGTGCTCACAGTCATGCCCAGATGAACGGGGAGTGTGATAAGGACATGAAGGAGGATGAGAGAGCCAGTACCAACGAGAAATCTCTTGAGGAGATCCCAGACCCCAAGCCAGGATTTTTGAACCTTGAGGGACTAGTTCCCAGGTCGGACTCGTCGTCTCCTTTGATTAAACCTTACAATGGTGGTGAACTCATTACAGCTGATCAGCTTAGTAAACTCCCCGGCTCCAAGCTCAACGGAGTCTCGGACTCGTCCAACACGTGGTTCAGTATCTTGCCTCGCCTTCCTTGTGATGAGAACTCCCTCACCAAGTCAGAAAGCGCCACCTCTGTGGACTCCTCCCAGGTGGAGACGACGTCCACATCGCAGACCACTGCTGATGGCAGCCAGGTCTCTGCCGCTACAGCCGCTGCGTTCCCTGCCGCCGCGTTCGCCTTCAACCCCTACATCTACCACATGCCCATCCCCTTGATGCCTATGGGCCAGATGAACTCTTTCCTGGGGACATACGCTGCCTTTCCCCAGATGGCTGCTATTCCTATGCAGCAGATGGGTCCCACCTTGAACGAAAACGGGACAGAGGCTGAACAGGCTGTGGCCATGGAGCAATGCTATGCTCACAATCTGATCAAGCAGGAGAAGTCTGAAGAGACAGAAGAAGAAGAGGAAGAGAACAAGGCCATTGCGCAGATGAAAGCTGTTCTAGCTCAGATCGAGGCTGCTAAGGTTGAACCCATCCCAAAGAGTAAGTCTTGGATTGTCTCTGTAGATGATAGAACAGTTAACCAATCTAATAATACTTGAAACGGTATATTTTTATCAAGGGAAAGAGCAACATGGTTAAGTACCAGTCCTAGGTCAAATCAGTGTGATAGTACCCTTCGATATGGGTAAATCGTCAGTTTATTTGTTTCAAGCACTTTAATTCTCATAGTTCCTTTAATATATATATATATATATATATATGTCTCTCTTGACTTGCTGTTATGGTACTCTGACTCAAGAGAAGTACAACATCAAAGAACCACAACCCTATTATTGTTTTGGAACAAAATTCTCATCTTGAGGTCTTTTAACTAAATTGGTAAGGGAACCAAGTGGTCTCAGTTTTAAGCCTATGGGATCCAGACAAATTATTAGGCAACAGGTCAAAAGTGTAGTGTTTCTATATATATATATATATATATATATATATATATATATATATATATATATATATATATATATGAACTAAATTATTAAGCAACCTGACAGTAACAGGATTTGTGTACACAGTACAGGGCCCCATTTCACAAAACTTGTCATCGGTGACAAATGACACTTATCGTTATAAGCTACTGAAATCCTTGCTTCTGATTGGTTATCAGCAGATTTTCCACTGATCTTTGTAATTTGTCATTGAAAAAAGGCTTTGTGAAACAGGTCCCAGGACTAAGTGTGTCTTTACCCTATCTGTTTCTGCAGACTTACAGCATGGTTGGTGGTACGTCTCCAACCCAGAGAAGATGGCCGACATCACACGTAACCTCTACGGGCGGGGCTTCCGAGAGAGGAGTCTTCAGAAGAGCCTACAGAAATACACTGAGTTCTGTGCCAAGGCCTGCACTAAAGGACTTCATAAGAGTGAGTAGCAATCTTTAAATTGCAATAGAAATTCAATTTAAAAAAAATGTCATTGCTGATGTACCTTGTACCCGGTGTTCATTTCTCATGGATGGTCCTCTGGGAACTGTGAGTGGAAGTATCACTTGACAAGAATAAGTGCTTTATAGAATTGTGGTTTAGTGTGGAGTGTAGAATTGTGTTGTAGCATGGATTCGTATTATTCGCTTTTATTTGTAGGATTGCAGTTTTGAACATTCTGCTGGATCCAGTGTTTGTATTGCATTACATGTAGACTGTTCCAGAGCATTGCTGCTTTGGGAAAAAATAAAAGAATCAGCAAAGTCTGATAAAGACAATTGAATCATTTGTTTGTGTATTCGCCTGCTAATTTCATTAAACTGTTTTTACATTGTTTTATTAAAACAGCCTTGAAGATGGCAGCGAACCCCAATGTGAAGGAGGGAGGCTACGTGGATCCCGACCCTTCCCACAGTTGGAACGAGGAGCTTGCCTTCAACATTGAGAAGGAGATGATCATTGCTATTGAAGCCATGGAGGAGAAACTTAACCAGGGATTTATGCAAACCAAGGTAGGAATACAGGGTATAGATCTATGAAAGTGAGACAAATGGTAGAGGGGGTTATTTCTAAAAGAATCCAAGACTTTTGTTTGTGTTTTGGTTCGTCCATTTGGCAAACCCATGTAACAAACAATTTGGGTGTGTATATCCTTACTCAAAGCATTTTTGTACAGCTGTCTCTCACCACCCAGGTTATGAATGGGTAACTGGCAGGATTTATTAATTAAATGCACTGTTGTTGTTGTTGTTGTAAACAGTGGTTATTATTATTAATAGTAGCAGCAGTATCAGTGGCAGTATTTCTGTGAGTATCTCCATCAGTGATTTGCACTATTGTCACAGAGGGTCCTGTGAATTGTTTGTTGATAGCAACCTCTGGAGTTCAAATTAAATAAAAAGCTAGGGTAATAATATTGAAACACTCATGAAAGTGTACAAGGACATATCAAAATCTAAATGTGATCTGTGCAATACAAGAACTTTTTTATATTATGATTATTTTTTTATAATTATTTGTCTATGTGCCAGGATTGGGTGATCCCTGACAGAGCCACAGAGAGCCCTGAACTTGTTTCGTGTCAAGCAGCCAAGGAAGCCAATATTGACTTGGTGGACTTTGCCATCCAGAGGCTACAATCCTTTGAGAAAGCAGTAGAGAGGAGATACCTTAGACCACCTCTTGGATTTAGGTAAGTTCCAAGATAATTAAAAATGTGGAATATACAAGAAAAACAGGTTCACATGTGTGTGTGTGTGCGTGTGGTTGGGTTTTTATCAGTTGGATTATTTCCATCGGAGGACCAACCTTTAACGTTGTAATCTGAAAGACAGTACTCAATTTTGAAACCAGGGTCTGTCAAAGTGGGTTTGAAGGCAAAGACAGAGCTATCCATAGTGCTAGCACAACTCACATCTCTTGATTCTCCATGTTTGATATTATCAGGGGAGGGGGGGGGGGGGTTGATTATCCATCCTTCAATCAAGATTTTGTTGTTGATGTTATAAGTAGAAACGAGGTTCAATGTTATGATTTCACTATATATTCTGCCTGTGGAATGTAGAAAAATCCACATTGTAACCAAAAGAAAAACTGAAAGAAGAAAAAAAAATACAAACAATGACTTTGAGAAAAATTAAACAAGTGTGATTCTAAGTATTTTCACTGACTGTTTTATATCTTTTCTTCTTTTGAAACAGGGATCACACTACCTTTTCTGTGGATGCAGCAATAAGGTAAAGTCACTTAAGGTTCTTTCTGAATACTCTTGAAATATTTGAATAACTAGTTAACTAAAACAGATGAACAGATGGACAGAAAAAATACATTTATGCATTAATGTAAGAGGTTGCGTATCCTCACATGTTCTCTTGAGGTTTCTGTGGTAAATGGTTGAAAAGAACATGCTGTTTACCACAAACGCTCTAGTTTGAATTGTGTATCCGATCTAAAGGTCAGAAGAGGATGTAATCATCTTTGAAATAAATTGTAGAAAATACATAGGTCAAAAAGGCTTGTGCATAGATGTACTTTGGCCTGTATTTGTGTACGTATATAATCTACATGTGTGGTTATTGAATACACATACATGTAGTTCTTATCTAGGTATTTGATCAATTGGTGACCTAACTGAGATATATATCCATGTAATTCTTTTTCATTATTCATATGAACAGCAAAGAGGAAAAGAAGAAGGAAAGGGAAAGGAAAGAGAGGGAGAGAAAGGAGCGAGACAGGAGAGAGAAACTGAGAGAAGCAGCCCGCATCAAACGCGACGAGGAGGAGCTGCAGCTGCGTCTTCAGCGACAGGCTGGCATCATACTCAACTTCAATGAAGATTCCAACACCACCGAGTGCGCCGACAAGGAAGACGAAGACAAGACAGAGAGGATGGAGGTCGACGATGACGACAGGACGCTGGTCGTCGACGAGGCTTCCATGGATGTTTCCAAGTCCACGCACGAGGAGGAAGAGGATAAGCCGGAGGAGGATGGAGAGGCGAAGAACGACAAGGATGATGAGCATCATAATTTGGATGACGAGGAGGGAGATGGTTTCATCCGATCCGACGTCCCAAGAGGCATGTCAAGATGGAGGAGATCGGTGGCCGACTGCTCCTCTGCAGCTCAGCTCTACATCTGTATCATCATGCTGGATAGATGCATCGCATGGGACAAGTCCATCATGAAAGCTGTGAGTATCTTATCATACATGCCCGAGTCTTTTCATTCAGTGGTTTGATAGCTAGAGAGAACCCAGTAGCCCCCCAACTCATCAAGCATTTTGTTTCATCCAAAGAACAAGTCCTCTGTTCAAAATAACATGATGCCACAGCAATTTAATGTATTATTGGGTAAGTTATGAATGAAAGCAATACTTGTTTGGAATACCCAGACTTATTGCTTTAATACTTAAACCAGGTGGCCCTGTAGAAGTCACATGACTTTGGGAGAATTCAGTAGTCAGCCGGTTTAGAAAACAAGCCATATGGCTTTGGTTTTTTGCATGCTGCAAAAGACGCATGATGCATATTCCAATCTTCATGACCATGTAGATATTTATTTCTCTCATTTTAGTTGTAGCTTCAATGTTTTCATAGCTTTTTCATATACCAACCTTATTTTTTCCCTTTTTTGTTAGTTTGTAAAATTTAGATAGTAAAAGTAAACATGTGTTTGGGCAGAAATTTTGTGTTTAGAAATAGAAGAAGTAGTAGAAGCCATTGTAATAGAGGTTTGAGTTGTGAAAGTAAATTTTGTCTTCAATATTTTCAACTAGTTGTTTGTGTATTCGTACCAAATTAGTATTTATGCAAAGAGAAACTGCCTTCATAATGAGTTGCTCTCAGTTCTCATGCAGTAGTTGATTATGAGATCCATGCTTATATTCTTGCATTGGTTAACAGCAAGCATTTGTAGTTTCCAATGGAGTAGTTGCATTATAAGCCATCCACCCCCACACACAGGTATCCATTCATTCATCGGTAATAGTAGTGTAATACATTACAGTAGATCAGTGCATGCATGAATGATTTCATCCCACAAGATTAGTCTTGAATACCCAGCCTCTTTGACGAAACCCAAGCCTCCCTCTCCCCCTCCTTCCCCTGCATGCAGTCTTGTAAGGTGTGTCGGCGCTCCTGCGATGAGGCTAAGTTGCTGCTGTGTGACTGGTGCGACAGAGGCTACCATATGTATTGTCTCAAACCCAAAATAACAGAAGTGCCAGAGGGAGACTGGTATTGCGACAATTGCACCCAAAAGGTAGAATCTGACAACAACAAAATTACTTGCAAAATGTACATTTTTTTTGGCAGTTTTTTTTTTTAAAGGAAAAAAATAAACACAACAAACTTAACAGAGAAAAAAAGAACGAGACTGATTTTTATATACACCAGCTCACCAGAAAAGAAGGAAATGGCGACATGTTTGGTTTTGGTTGATGTGACAGCTAATATTCCAGTGAAAAAAGAAAGTTTTGTTTGCTAATATTCCCTCTGTCCTTTACCCTCTCATTTTCTTGACTTCATATCTTAACACTAACAGTCCTTCAGTCTTTAATTTTGCAATTGAGAAACCTTATAGTTCTCATGGATTGATGATATTTTTCAAATAATCACTTCAACAGTAAATAACCATAATTTCTAACTAATATTCTTTCACTTTACATTTCATCAAACATTTTCCTCTTTATTTATACCTACATTACAACCATTAACTCTTTTTCGACTTTCATTTTTTAACATCTAATTTTCTAACATTCATTTCATTTTTGGCATTACATGTATATGATATTATTTCATCTTATTTCCTTTTTCGGGAGATGTACTTGACACACTGCTGCATCTATTCAAACATTTGGAATGATTAGATACAAAGAAAGGAATGTAGGGAACTGTAATCGTCATATAAGTTGAACAAATTTACATTAGTGTAAAGGCCAAGATAATGGTGATGTGTACGAGGCATTTTGCTCAGATGTTTGTTTACTGTATCTTTTACCATTTTTCAGTTTAAAAAACAATTATTGTTCTCTTGTATATATAGCTGCATGATGCATGATATTAGAATTTGTTTTAGATGAAGATTGCATGACTCGGTTTGTGAAGAAACTCAGTATACATATATGATATCTGAACGACCTTGTATAATGTTACTTTGTTTATTTTGTTCGATAGAGAGATGAGAAAATAATGCTATGTTCAAATGATAGGAGAAAGCAAACATAAGGACTATTGAAAGAATAATGAGAGAATGATATTTCCTTGAGATGTCCTCGTACAATGCTCCATGCTCTAACACAGTCCATGATCCATTTATTTATATATATAGATATGTTTGTGTATACGTTCTTTAAAATATTGTGACCTGCATGAGCAATTCATGTGATGTGTCTCCAAATTTATCATCCTGACGTTAGAAGAATCCAACATACCAACTTCCCAATCAAGAACGTAAATCCTGAATCCAGCATCTCTCCATTATAAATAAGTTCAAATATATTATTAACATCACGACTAGTACGTTATCTCAACCATAACCTAGCCTTTGCGTGCATAACTTGTATACCATCCACGAGGACCGCATCCATTGAAAATTTCTCTTTTGAAAAATCATGCAGCCCTCATCGCAGCAAGCCAAGAAGGAGACACCCAGCAAGAAGAAGAAGAAGAGCAGTAAATCCAAGAAATCCTCCGAGTCCGGTCGCAACACGCCGGTCATGGATGCGGCCGGTAGCCCTGCAGCAGCAGCCTCCTCAAAGGACGAGACGGACAAAGCAGAGAAGAAGTCCGAGAAGAAATCGGAGAAGAAATCGGAAAAGAAGTCGGATAAGAAATCCTCCAAGAAGTCGTCTTCAGTGCCAAAGGAACTCCAACCTTGCAAGTAAGTTATGAAAAATTGCTCCAAGTAGAATGGTTTAGTTTGATTGGGTGATGAAACAAAAGTTGGATTTGTAGGTAATTGTATATGTAATATATAAAACTAATGAGAGATTTTAAGAGCAAACAAGGCCCTGTAATAAATGTAAATGTTCAATATTTGTCCTTTGTGAAAAGTTATTGCATCTCGACATTTAGAAGCCACAATTAAAGATATGCATGAAGACTACAATTAACAAAGAACATTATGTTATAGTCATAATCAAGAGGTTGGAGTCTTTGACTTGACCATTATTAGCTTAGACCAGGCATCTTGGAGTTGTTCCTTCTTGTATAGTATTGGGTACCTCAAGGGATATATTTCTTATAGTGCAGTGGCACATATTATCGCTGCTGGGGTTAAAGTCATAGCAAGGATGTCCGAAAGCGAATCTACAAATATTCTGTAGTAGGTTTTTTTTACAAATGCTGCATATCATAAATAATAATATGATTATTTTTTTTTAAAGGCAAATCCTTGGTGAAATTGAGAAGGAGCAAAACTCATGGCCGTTCATGGCTCCCGTCAACACTAAGCAGATTCCTACATACCGTAAGATCATCAAACAACCGATGGACTTCAGCACCATGAAGAGCAAACTCAAGGAGAAGAAGTAAGTCATTTCATTGTCTGTGGCATTTTTAGTGTCATTGTCATTACCATCATCACCATCATCATTGTCATTGCCATAGGCATACCCATTGTCATTGCCGTAGTCATTTCCCTCTTTCAAGATTTGGCAAATGAAATTTAAATATGGATTAGATATCCATTAGATAGCTCAGTCGGTAGAGCAGTGGTCAGTCGAACCAAGCCTTTGGTAAGGCATTAATCCTCATTACCAGGTCCCTCAGAGAGGACCTAAAGCCGTCGGCCATCTGGTTGCTTACTAACAAGCATTTATGCTTTCTTAGCAGTCGGGTAAAATAGCCACCACCACATCATGTGGCAGATATGGGTCAAGTCAGAGAAATATAACCAACCTCAAACCTCATTGTGACCAAGCAGCATACTAAATTTTAAAAATTAATTGAAAGAGAGAAAGAAATGAAATCAGATCAAGTACCCAATGAATGGTGTGTTCAGAGAAATCTCAATGTGATAAATTTACTTTCATTACAAATTGTTATTAGAGAGAACCTGACAAACTCCACTATTTGTTTTTTGTCATTGATTTATCTTTATACACTTGTAGGTAAATAATGTTCACAGTCTTTTGAATAATGAAAAAGACCTGTGTCTTGTTTACTTTCAATGTTGACATGGAACTCATCTTCTTGTGTCCTCCTCTTCTTTGTGTACAGATACAAGACACTAGACGAATTTGCAGGCGATGCACGTCTCATTTTTGATAACTGTGAAACGTTTAACGAGGACGAATCTGAAGTGGGCCGGGCCGGGCACGCAATGCGTTCTTTCTTCGAGACAAGATGGATGGAGCTTTCGGAAATGTCATAATACTTTTCATTCAAGCAATCAAGAATTAATATAAATAAACCTTCGCAATGTCCTCCACGTACGAAACAAAGCTCTTAAATTATTGTATTTCTGAAGAGTAAGTTTGACAAAAAATGTTATTTTGGAATAATCTATGCTTGATAATAAGACGTTCGTGTATTCAATGTTTGTTCGTTTCTGTGACTGAAGTTTTCATCATTATTGGTATGGTGTCCACCTGTACATAGCTAACTGTAGTATGTCATTAGTTGTTGAGTGAATTGTGTTTGATCGGCAGCTGCCTTGTAAATTGATCTGGATCAGTTTCTTGCAAAATTCCTCGTGTTATTTCCTCCACATCAGCTTCCGCGACTACTTGAATGAATTGTAAATGCAGCCACGCTGATTGACTGATATTTTTAGATTTGTTATTGTCGATAGTTTTGGATGCATGATGTTGATTTTAGTCTAGTCTGTAGTCAGTAATAATCCTACCTCAAAACTCTGACTCTCAATCATAATTAGCATTAGAGACAATCTGTGAAGTCATCAGACTCAAAGTATAAATCATGGGTTTCCTTCAATGTAGCGCTTAAATCCATTAACATTGAATGGCCTTACAGGCATCGAAATCACATCTAGGCGTTTTCTCAAAACACGCAACTATTTACCACGCTTTATTTATTTATATTTGTAATATGGATGAGTGTATGTTATTTGAATACAGATTGCAAAATGCAGAACGAAAGAGGAGTCTCATAGTATAAATTCAACTCTCAAACATTGTGGGCATTGTGTATGAATATTTCATTCTGTTTTCAGTAGATTAATCAGATTTTGAGAGTAGTTGCAGGTCCTACTATGATGTTGTGGTTTATACATGTATCGACCAATCAGATGACACCAAAAGAAAAGTATTTATTCATCTAGTTTCTGAATGTGCTGGTAACCCTATAATGAAGCTAATTTATTTACATTAATGAATTCCTTCCATTCTATCCATTGAAAATTGTTATTATTTATTTGATTATGATCTATGGAGTAATTGTATGTTACTATGTAGGAAAGGAAGTTTTGTCACTTGTTACAATGTTCATGCTACTGCAGTATATCCACTTGTTTGTATCAACACGGTAGATTTTCCATTGTACAGTTGAAAAGTCTAGGCATAGTGTAATCTATACGATCATTTTTGTATGAATTGGGCATTAACAGCCTTTAGAAACATGTGTCTAGCAGCTACTTTCAACTTTTTCCAAATGTATGATCGTCCTACATGTTTTTCCTTTCTCCTGCTCATATACACAACCATCCCCCCCCCCAGAAAAAAAAAATCCCACACATGTTTCTTGTATCTTCTTCCTATCATATTTTAGGTGACATTTTAAGAGCTTTAAAGACTTCAATGTTGAACCGATATGGTTGAATGTAAATTGATAGTTCAGATGCCTTGACAATTTCCAAATTTGAGTTTGAGTTTTATGAAATTCCTACATTTAATGCAATATTTACCAGTTAACTTGTACTTGTACCAGGAGGTCTAGGGCAAACAAAATGGGGCAATATTATGTGAATAACTTGCCAGTGGTATTTTTAAAGGGGAAAGCTGAATTATTAAGGTTAAAAAAGAAATGCCAATAATTCATTCTGTGTATGCAATGCCCTTGACACAGAGCTATAAAGCTCTAAATCTATTTTCAGGAATCATGGGATATTTCTATATCTATAGGGAAGGGATAAGAAGGGAGGGGAGGGGGGGGGGTGCAAACAGAACTACTCTCAGACTCTGAAATGTCCTGTATTACATGTATTCACAATTCGGCGGTAATATATAATTTTAAGATCTGCTCATAAAAAGCCCAATTGTTTTAAAGTCCATTACAGTAATGAATAAGGAGATTTGCGAGATATATTTTGCAGATTTTCTCTTTGAAGGTGAATATTGAAAGAATAAGGAAAGGCAAATAAAATGGGTGTTCACAGAATGCCCCTCCATACAAGCCTTACACCCCATTTGAAAACAATTCAAAACTAGCTATTCTTCTTTGGTGGCCTTGCATCTACGTTGTATGTAGTCTTTCATGATTTCATCTCACCTTTTCAAACATTTCAACAAATGTGGGAGAAAGAGAGAGAAGAAAAATGACATGATTGTGTTGGTATTTCCATTTTGTAGCTTCCTTTTTCATCTCTTCCTGTCAAACTATGATAACAAAAGGTGAATATTGTAATAAATTTGTCAACAGACTTTTATTCTCATATTGTTAGACGTTCTACAAATCAGTGAGTACTTGTAGACCGGCCAGATTAGATGAGTTATTTTTTGTGAGTTTTTTATTTTGTGATGATAAAGCTTAAACATTGGACCAAGTATCATATGTAATATATCAGATATTCAGTATGAATCTGTTATTGTGTTGTGAGTGAGAAGTAGTCCGTTTATCTCGATGATGAAGTGCAACAGTATTTTTGTTCTAATAGACATTCTAAGGAAGGAATTGAAACTTGATGTGAACAAGGTTTTTTTTAGGAAGTTAAGAGTTGTAAATTGGTACTAGCCAGCAGTGCACAGTTTTATGTGTTTTGGAAGTATATTCTTAGCCAAGCCTTGTCAATGGAGAATGATACCTGTAAAGGGCACAGAATAAGTGTGGATATTTACTTATTGATGTTAATGTGAATATATAAAGGTGGAAAATCTTTACCATGTACATGTATCATGTGTTACGTAGCATCAGGAGAGTCATGGACTGGCAGACAAGATTTCCATTTTGTATATTAACAAGGCAGCGTTGTTGAGTACTGCATCACAAAATGGACGATAAAAAAGTTTATCTTGATGTGACCCGTTAGTCTGATATGATCCATATGATATATTCTTGATAATTCTGTGTCTTGCCCCGGTTATTTATGAAAATCAATTGTATATGTATTCAAATTGCGGCAAGACGACATGCAATCAAATGCCATATGGAGGCCTCTCTACAATAATCTATTGTCATAATCAAAGAAAGGCCTTTGAATCTACACAATACAGTTTATCAATCATGTGATTTGGATGTCTTCAGTATATAAATACATAAAATCGTCTCTGTACAGGTTGTTCTGTGTTCCTCTTCAAGAGTACAGTATTTTTTCCTCCACCAACCAGTGTAAAACTGTGGATGCATTGTAGAATTCCCAACATGTTTGAATGTACTACGAGACTACATACCATGCAGATAGTTTGCATTTCTTTCCTGTTCTGTGTCAAAGTTTTACATAACTATTCTGTAAATTGCTCAGGTTAAAGCATGAGCATAGATTGGTAAAGTTGATCGTCGGAGTTGCTTTATAGTTGACCACTTGTATTTCATGAACTTGATACTAAAGAACAGCCCAGCTTTGATCTAGAAGCATGTATAATTTTAAAATAATCAATTGACAGCCTGTTTATGGTTTATACACATTTGTGGTATTAATTCCATGCAAGACATACAGCAATATGCAACCTCCAATTTTCAAATTCCACCCCAATAATTCAGTAAATGAAAGATGTTGTACTTGTACACCAATGTTGTACATGCATGAATGTATTCTATAGTATACCTTTGCTTAACTTCAATACTACAAAGAGTGGACAGGAATAGCGCTACCAGCAAAGTGTCCAATCGCAAACCAAGGTACCATCTAACCAAGGTCTGTCAATTTAAAATAACACACCAATGTGTTATTATTGATTTGCTAATACATGCACAACAGGTATGCCATACAGCTATGAAATGCATTTAAAACCTTACTCTTGGTAGGACTCTGAAAAGATTGCCAATACACTCAAACCGTCTTATTAAGGCCACACAAGGGAAACACAGAAAGTGACCACCCTAGACAGGTGACCTTTAAAGACAGGTTCCCGTTATAGACGGGTTCTTCAAGACACGTTTCCTCCTAGAGAGAGGCAATTCAGGCGACCACTTCAGGTATCCCCCCCAAAACCAAGTCTATGTACCTCCCGGAAGATGCTTGTGCAGTTAACTAAATAGTTTCATTCACATTTCTTGCTATTCCTCAACAGAACAACCCCCTACCTCTGCAGATAGCTATTGTGTCTTTAAATAGTTTTGTTAGCGATCATTAAAAAATAAACCGTATTGGCTGGAGCTACTTTACTGTCAAAGAGCCATTGCAACGCAATAGTTCATTTTCCTTTGCTCAATTATTGTTTTTAAACATTTTCTGTTTATATACAGAAGTCAAATAAATGAAACTGAACCTTACAATGTGCACTACCTTGGACTCTATTGAACCGATGTAGTTCATGAAACAGAAACAACTGTACAAGTTTTGATGTATAAGAAAATGTAATAGAACCTTGATTTTATTTTGTCGTAGCGTTATTTTGCTTCTGTGAGATTCAGTGTTTGTGTCATAGGTGCAAAAGCTATGTTTCAAATCGCCCATTATTTTTTTTGTCATGTGTTTATTTTTTTCTTCTCTTTTCAATTGATGTTGTACAGTATGAGTAGTAGATGTGATTGTATAGGAATAGTGATCAGTTTTGTAGCTGGAAGAAAGAAAAAAAAATCATTTGATTGAAAAGTGTCTTGTGAGAAAAAAAATAAAATGTTAGACTGAGACCAAACAAACTCTTGTTGATGTACTTTTTGTATTAGGCAGTATTATTGATGTAATATAATAATGGGTCAATTTATATAGCACTGCTACTATATTAGTATACTCTACTGCCCTTCATACAAGTATCGTGTAATTACTCCGGCTGTAGCTGAGCTGCCATAAGGCGCTAAACTAAAGCATTCAAGGAATTTCATCCTACCAGGTACCTATTTACTTCACCTGGGTGGAGATTGGCAAATGTAGGTTAATGTCTTGCAAAAGGACATTGGTGCTGTGGCGAGATTAGAAACCACAGACATTATTAGGGTGTTAACTCTGTTATTGCCCTTTTAGCTCTACTATGCGTTTTGCAGTTGTCAAATTAAAGAAATGACAGTATCAGGCCAGCCTCTGCATATTACGATGTCAACAAAAGCAGTCATCTCTTGGAAAGAGTCTGAATGATATTGTTATATCTTGAATTTGTTAACCGAACGTCGGAATCTGAATGCAATAACAACAAAATGACATCTATATCAATTAATAGTGAATTTACTCTTGTGCTCATACACAAAAGGCATTTATAAAATTTGATTTCTTTCCAAAATTTACATATATGCATATATACAATTATAGCAAGTGATTATCGAAGACGCATTCAAAAAGTATAATAACACAGATGACAAGCCAAAGTTTGAGTTGTTGCCGCAGACAAAATATTCATGAACTTGATTGACAATTCCATAAGGCTTGTTCAGATATGATGTGGCAAAACTGTTAATTTTTCTACAACGTAAAGCGTAATATGCTCCACCTTCCCAATTCCTTTAACACAGAGCTCAGTGAATACGCAAATCCTTTGTGCACAGTTGTCATTCACTTACAAGTTTTACAAAAAGTGGCGGTTTACCCCACCATATCTAAGCAAGCATTTACAGATAAAAACTTGACTTCAGTGAACTAGAAACTCAACTGGATCTTTTGACATAATACAACAAATTGTTCAAGTTTAGAATAAATTCCAGTTAGAAGCATTATAAGGTAGGACATATTCATATCATATTCAGTGGGCAACAAATGCATTTTCATAAATCCTTGTATGTACTGTAAAACGGAAAATAGCAAACAACATCAGGGTAAATGGAAACAAAAAAATTGGAAAAGTATTTTCGACATAATATTCATTTAGAATAGAGGAATGATGCAGCCCCCTCTTTATTTCTTTAAATGGTCAGGATTGTTTCAGAGGGTAAAAACTCATGTCAAGAACACTTATCTATTTTTGGCACATATTCATCCTACTGTATGGGTAAATTGAATTGAGTCGATTTCCATCTTATATTCAGCAGATAACAATAATGCAGTTGTATAAATATTAGGATTTGGCAAAAGTTATAAGAGGAATATATCATAGAAGAAAAGAAAATGAGTAGAATCATTGCGACTTCTTCACTTTTACAAAATTCATACGGAACCAATCAAATATTTGTTTTAAACTTCCTGTGAGACAAGGGCTTTATGCTATATAAACGGACAAAATACATGTTTTTTAGGTCAAACACTTCTTAGTTTCAAAATTGGTGTCCTTTTTAAAAACGACCTTAATCCTTACACAAACAAAAAAATACATACCTGGTAGTTCAATGTTAATTTGGTTAGAACAAGGACACAAACATATCATTTGACCTTAATATTACTAAGAGACAATTTGATGAATGATAAACCAAGTTCATTTGTGCTTCTATGAATTTTTTATAACATTAACATAACACTAGCAGGACCCGCAGAAACTCCGCAGGATTCTAGGGGGAGGGGGTGTAAATAGATATAGACTTTATAAATTAAAACTACCAAGAATTGTATTTGAAATTTAGAGCAAACCATAAGTTCCCCACTCAACTTTATTTGCCATTAAGAGGACACCATAAGATTCCGATCCAACTAATTATTCTTGACGATACCAACAGTAATCACACATAGCAGACCTCAATTGATTCTCAACATGTCAAACACCACATGTACAAAACTCTACTGATTTCACTCAAAGTCGGTACTTACAGGCATCGTCTAACAATGTTAAATCTGAGATGCACGGCCCTACGTGTTATCAGTGCCTGTGATATGGTGTTATATTGAAGCCCTAAATAAATTACGCTTCGAAATGATCAAGAAGTCTGCACATAAATCATGAAGTCTTCCTTCTCACTTTATACGGTTAAGAAAGATAAATGTAATCTGTTTATTCGCTCTTGTATTACAGAAATGCACAAGGGCGAGTGAGGGAACTAAATTGAAAATATACATACACGAATGACTGAAGAAATAAAACACTAGATAAGTCAATCACATGTATTTTCTTTACCAAGATTTGGCCTTCCTACTTCCTAACTGTAATGAATGCGGGTCGAAAATTACATCTGTAGATGTTTCTGTATTTCTTACTTGATTAGTACTAGATATTTCTTTATTTCACAGTTAACCTTGTTTCACAGTTTCATACTTGCATCAGAATTAAAGACTAACAAAATAAAACAACTTTATCAAACATCAAAATCAAGTGCAGCTAATAAAGACATGTTATATATTGCACCATTTTTACACAGGCTAGTGTAATTACCTGAAAGAAAAGATATTAACTCAAAACATGATTATAAAGATAAAAACATTAACATAAATTAGAACGCAAGATCCTGATCAAGATTGAAAAAGAAAAAAAAATTGGTGCACTATCCATTTGATCAAACATTATCTATTATAATATCAACACCGATTGATGGAAAGTGTTATTTTTTTTTACAATATCAGAATTCCTGGCATTATTCAAACTTTAAAAAATGGTATTGTTACTGCAAGAGTCACCTAAAAACAATGATTGGACAAACATGGTTTAAGATCCTAATATCTTTTGATTTCATTTGATTAAAAGCTCCCACTGCAGAGATCAACATTTATTACACATGTGCGCATATCAGTTAATGTATGTACAAAGCTCTGAACCAAATACAGATAAATGTATACCACACCCATCATGATACAAATTTCTGTATGTCCTACAACATTGCAATAGAGAATGCAGGGGCACAAGAGAATACTGCATATCAGAAGTATTGGCAAGTATTAACAGTAATAATGGTATATAATAATGATATAGTGTTCAATGAATTTTCAAAAGTCTTTTAACTTCTAAATTGTTATTGTCCTATTAAACAAGAAGATCTCGTATTCCCTGGTTCAAATTCTATGTGAAGACTATGATACCGGATAGCCTTGGACTTGTTGAACAGCTTTTCAGGACATAAATGATACATGATTGACACGTGTATGCCTCTTCCTGCAAGAACCTTTTACAACCCTAACTAATGATATAACACCATATTGTCTGTTGAGAGCCAGAAGGGCATTATTACTCTGTGTTAAAGGATACGAGTTAACACCACTCTGACTCACAGTTGACCATATATTGTCTGTTCTAGAGCTAGAAGGGCATTAACTCTTATACTTTCAGACAGAGTTAAAGCCCTTCTGGCTTTCAAAATACAGTATAGTGTTTATTGTTAGTTAGGATTGAACAGATGACATATTGATATGCAATGTTCTGGGCCATTTTTAATTGATCGATTCAGAGCTGTTGCATCACAGGAATAGATTCTCCAATTTGTATTCTTTACAAGTACATACGATGATAGATCCCTCATCGAGGCGGTGGTCGTGCTCTCCGATGCCTTGCAAGGAACCTGAGGATCCACTGGACGATGAAGGGCCAGACCAGGAGGATGAAGACGGTTCTCACAGGGAGGGTAGAGAAGGGCCACCAGGAGGGCGTGGCTGGTTGGGGCGGAGTCCTGATGGGGGCGCTCTCCTTGGGTAGGGGAATCCCCTCTCTCATGTATGCTTGCTGAGTCTCGAGCTAAAGTGGCAAAACAAATAAAATCATTTATATAGTAATAATAATAATAGTTCGTTCTTTTATAGCTTATTTCAGGACCGCAGGCCCTCTGAAAGCGCTTTACAGATCGGATTCAGGCTTACCCGCACACAATGTATGCACATTCTCTACTCCCTGGGGAGCATTCCAGCTGCATGTTACAAGAACACTTGCTCATTTAACCACATTAACTTTCACATCCTACTGGGTACTGGTACCCAGGGTGGAGAGTGGCAAATCTAGATCAATGTCTTGCCAAAGGACATTAGTGCCGCGGCAGGACTTGAACCGCGGACCTTGTGATCCAGTCCGGTGACATATCCACACGACCACGACACCTCTACTATAACACAGCATAATTACGATTAGGATCTCAAGCACATGCATACACATAGGATCAAACAAAACAAAACAAAACAGAATCAATCCTCTCTATGAATTCAAATTTATCTGCATTTTGGCAATCTAAGTTCGGTAACAAGTGTCACTTCACAAAGGTGTCTTTAACCCAGTGAATACAGAGCCTGAAATAACTTGGGCTGTGATCTACAGGAAATGCACATTGTTCTTAGGCACAATCTTATTTTACCACATCCAATTTATGGCTAGCTTAAATTCAATTGAAAAATTCTTTTGGTTGACAATAGGCCTACAATTTTTTCAAAGAAGGGAAACTTTTATTCATGTGAAAAAGCAATAAATGTTCACGAATCAGAGACTGAAAATGTAAAAAAAAAAATATTAATATGCTAGCTAAAAGGACGACAAGATCAAGGACAAACTCTACATGAAAAGGATACCAAGATTTATAAAAAATCAGTAGATGCATACTTTAAATGTGAACCTCTAAGATCTTCTGTTCTATCCCACAAGTATTACATAAATAAATCAATAATAAATAAATAGTCGTGGGTATTCTCAGTCAAACCACACCTTTATCATGCCACATGGACATACTCTCCTCTGTACCGAGAGTAAACAAATTTCATCCCAGACAGTCCATGCGTACCTGATGTCTTGATATAGCGATGGTCTCCAGCGTGTTGAGTCTGACCAGGACACTGTTCATGTCTCTCTGAAGCCTCTCCAGTGAGATGGTGATCTGCTCTACCATTCCATCCGGTAAGGGTGATCTAAGGGGACTACCAGCACCACCGGGTGCCCCCCTACCAGCACCCCCTCCCTCTCCTTCTCTCCTCCTGCCAACCCCATCGGACGAGTCTTGTGATCCAGAGGATCGAAGGTTCTGGAAACTGTCTGAGGATACGTACCCTGAGCAGACATGACGATAGATGAAGAGTAGTGGTTTAAAGGTTGAAATAGTTTTGTTAAAGGTATAGACCAGTTTTGGAAACGCCCCCCTCTTAGAAGCTCTGGAAGCTCTTATTACCAATCATGTGAAAGAATAAATTTTGACTAATATGTGATGATACAAATTTTGCGGGTAAACCGCCTACTAATTGATATATTTGCTAAATTATTATATAGCGTAGTCCCATATACATCTTTCTGTGTTCAGTGCTTGTAACTTTACCAAGACTGGGCCAAATTTCTTATCATTTTGATGATTCCAAAACCTTGCCGTACACACCATATGCTAGATGATCAATTCCACACCGTTTCTTTCACAATGCAATCGCATGACCAGAACTGGTATATACCTTTATGGAACTTTTGCTCAGATTTCTTTCATGACTGTTGAAGCTGTTTTGAGTTATTTTCCTCCTTATGTGAAATATAGAATGAATGAGTTGTAGGCTGGGCTAGATTTGCCATTCCTTTCAGAAAGTTGCAATACAATTCATCAGAAATAATGGAGAGAACATCAAAATATCCAGTATATGTATCTTTAAAATGCTAGAATTAGGTGCTGTATTAACGCTGTGCATTATTACCATCATTTTTATACAATTGGAACAATATGAGTACACATTCAGTTTCCTTCCAAATTTCTTTTCTCTACCAAACCTCAGATGATCTTCAAGCAGTGCCCTTGGAATGTTATCAATCATAAAGTAACCCACCACTTAAATGACCTTGACCAGACTGGTTCAATGCACTGTCTTGACCTTGGTGACCTTTCGACCCCTCAGTGACCTCTCCGCCACCTCGCATGGAAGGTGTCGAAATGGTGGGTGCTGAACTGGAGCTTGAAGTGTACTGAGGCAAGATGACAGCATCAACATCATCTGGAAGAATATTGAAAACCACACTGTGTTAATTACATACATAAACTAGAAAAGGAGATGATGTTTTATCATTTGCAATTAGACAACGGGAAAAATCTCAAATATTAGCACAAACATAAACTTCCCAGATTTGAATAGTAATATCAGTGAACAAAAAGCTTACCTTCCTTTTCAAAATTCAAAACCTTTTTTCTTGTATTGTTTATTTCATATGCTGGAACAATTTATGAATCAAGATGAGCAATAAAAAAGGCACAACTGAAAACTTGGGATTCCAGTAGTGATACATGGCGTAATTTGTAGTAAAAATATGGGTAACAATCCATAGCCTCTTTCATCTTATTTATTATGTTGCATATCAAAACCGAGGAAGCATGAGCTGAGGCCTTATGGAAATGGCATGGTACACTGAAAGCAAAACGTATTAAACAGCTTCAAGTCTATATAATGAGATCCACTCAAAATCCCTTGACACTTCATTTAGAATATTACGACTGAATAAATGATGTATGATTTTGAATGTTGGTATTTTAGGTCAGGCTGCATGGGTCTTTGTCAAGTTTGAATATTACACAACTTTTGAGGTATCCTTAAAATCCTACAAGCTTTGCAACAGATGACGTGATGAGAATTTGGTGACCTGAGTTTTTCCTCTGGCAACATTTGCCCCAGGCTTTATTTCGTCAGGGATGTGAGGTAGGTTAGTGGGGGGTGCAATTTTGGGTTCTACGTTAGGCTTCAAGTAAGGCTTAGGCTTCAGGTAAGGGTTAAGTATCGTGTTTGGTTGAAGTTACGAATTCAGTCAGATACTCTTTTCACACTGGTTTTGCTTAGCCCCGTACTATCCTTAACCCCGGACTATTTTTTTGGCTTTTCACACTCACTGTTTTTAGTCCCGTACTAGCGCCTATTCCGGAATAAGAAAATTCCCGCTGTTCTCACTGCATTTCGTTAACCCCGGATATCGTGTATTTTATGATAGGACATACTTCGCATCTGGCCAGCTGCGATACGCTCCATTGCGTAGTACCGGATTTTTTTTTCGTTTCTGTTCTCATTCATTTGCTTAGCACCGCAATTGCGGGGTTAGCAGGAGTTAGCACCACAATTGCGGAGTTTTACGTTAACTTTAGAATTAGGGTTTGGTTGGGTTTAGTGTGTGGTATATACTTGAAATGAAGAATTCTGTTTGTGTAAATTTAGCAATTATTTGCAGGACCATGTGCCATAGAACCAAAAACTTACTATGGACTTCTGCCCTGGTGACTACGGCATGGTCTCCACTGAATGGAGTTGATGTGAGGTGCTTCCTCTGGTCCTCTTCCTCCTCCATAACAGATGGGAGCGAATCCGTCTTGGATATGTGAGCTACGCTTATCTGTATTGGAATAAACAACAGTCACAATATCATGCAATTAAGCAGGTTAGGAGAAAATGACTAGGATAAAACACCCTCAAGGCTGAAAGAAGAACCAACCAAACATGAGAGCGGCGACATAAGTTCTACATCTCTAACTTATCAGTAGCAAAATTGTTAAGTTTTTAAATCCAGGAGGAAAAGCAGGTGTTGAACTTTAATGTAGCTTTGACATTAGATCAGAATTTTTCAACGACACATACATGCGTCCACCTTTTGAAATGCCTCAAGAACAAGAATATGGCAAGGATCATAAAACATCATATACTGGTATTTTCATTGCTTTGAGAAATGGGAAATGTGACCTTGATTTCAAATGGAGTACAAGATATTGTAATTTAGTGGTGCTGATGACAAAAAAAAAAACATAAACACACAAACAAAAGAAGTATGATGATGATGATACAGGAAATGCTATTTTTTAATCAGATATTATTCCTTTATTTATGATTTCATTACGCGATGGCAGGAAACAATGGGATTACTAATCCCCAATTCCGATGACCCCAAGATAAAAAGACGTCAGTCATTTCTGAATGACCAATAGTTGTATGGGCAAAGCCTAGAAGATGTTCTCCATAACCTCCAAGCTTGAGTGTAATGCCTCTCTGGACAACGGGACCAGGGCCCTGTTTCATAGAACTTAATATCAAAAACAAGTTACAAACATTATTATAAGCTACTGAAATCCTTGCATTTGATCGGCTTTGTGAGTAGATTTTTGTCATAGATCCGTTGTTATTGATAACAAGTTTTATGAAACGGCCCAGATGAATTTGATTGATGTACTTACTCTACTGATGAGAGGTTCATCCACAGAGTCACAGAACTCGTCTCCATCAGAATCGCTCTCACTGGTCGAGGGTAGGTGTTCCTCTGCTGCTTCAAGCTGGCTCTTAGAGATCAGAATGGGATGACTGAGCTCAGCAGAATCTAGGGATAAACAAGAAACATCATTGAATTGATTGATTGATTAAGAATTCTTAAGGGGTGAGAATTTGCTTAACTGGTTTCTTTTTCTTATGTTAATTGAGAGCTGATTTGATGAGATAAATACCTATCAATGACCATGAAGGGAGGTCTAATCCCTCCTGGCCAAACTAATGCAGATAGGCTTTAAGATTCTCATACTTACTCTCTCCTTGGTGCGTAGATACAACCCTCACATAGCTGCTTTCTCTCGTTTCTTCTTTTGTGACCTCCCCCTCCTCGCTATGGCCATTGACCTCCGCTTCGGTACTAGAGCTCTCCAGTTGCTCCGTCTTGCCCTTTGACCTCTCAATCAGGTCATGGTCATCCTCCAAGTAACCATTGGTGTAATCAGAGACATCGCTCAGATCTCCATTTTGAAGGGTTCTGGCTTGGTCACCTACAAGATGGGAATGTAAGGGGAATTGTCAGTTCTAGGAAGGTGAAATACAGAATGAGGAACACTGTTCAAAGGAGGCTAAAAGTGTGCTATTCATTATCAGGTGGTCACTAAAACATGTTAAACTGGTTGTAAAACACACACTCTTGTCACATGGACCCAAATGTTAAACTTTCTGGACTCAAGACCCTCACCATAAAGATAATCTATAATCCAACTGCATATCTGACTCCTAACTAAACCTACTCCTAACCCTATATTCTTTATGAATTAAAGCCCAGAGAGATTGTCTCTGGAGCAAATATCAGATGACCACCCTTTCCAAGGGAAGCAGGAAACACGTTCTTTATAAACAGGTGGTCGTTAAAGCACAGCTGTGAAGAAACCACCCGACACTTGCAGCACTCTCTCACCTCTTTCATCCACTTTTGTCTCTTTCATCTTGACCCCTCCATTGACATGTCCATTGACCTTTGTGACCTGCGGACGAGATGATGCTGGGACATGCTCCGGTTCTCCCTCGTGGACAAGTTCAAAGAAGGGACCCATGACCTTGAGAAAGGTCACCACCTCATCCGTCTGTGGCATGGTCTCTATAATCTGGGTGAAGAAACCAAGCGAAATGTGATTAAAAATAATATTCATTATCTTGAGCATTGGTGATTTGAAAAAAAAGAAGAGATTGAAGAAGAAACTAGCAGAATCATAGTCAATCTACAATGAATATTGAATATCATGTATAAACGATATCTGCTATATAAATTGTCAGTTTACCAAGTTTTGAAATAATTATGAAGCCAAATATAAAGTTTAGAAAGTACATAGAAATGTTCACTTCAATCACTTGCATATAGTTTTGGTCTTGTTGCACAAAATTAGGATGCATGAATGTACCCCCAAATAACAGATTTTACAGGATTAAAAAAAAAAAGGCTGCAGTTTTCAAGAACATCTTATAGCATGCGAAATATAGATCATGCAATTCAAGCAGATGAAACAATTTTTGAATGATAATACTGACAAGGGTAAACTTTGACTAAAAATGCAAGCAAGATAGAAGGTTGGAAGAAAGAAATTGTAGATACAGGGAAAAAAATTTTTTTAAAAACATCACTGGATCATGCTAAACTCCTTTTGGCAAAAATTAATCTCGACGCCAGGCCCAACCTTTCATTCGAACTATACCTGTAAGCTTTAAAGGGCCACTCTAACCCAACTAACACAGCCTTTCAAAACATGAATACACCTGTACTTATTAATATTCCAGCCTCTGATTTTTCAGAAAATCTCTAAATTGACCCAAAACTGATAATAGCCATCCATTTTTCAGTTCTCACGCTTCCCAGGCTATGCCCCTCTAAAAAAGGTAATACGGTCACATGGCTTGATGATGCATTTGACGTCATTACGGGCATGTCCGATTTGATTATTTGATAATATCATAATTAGGAATGACGAAAGCGCCAAAAACGTACTGGGATTATCAAGTGCATATTATTTTTCAGATAAATGTCTTTTTTTTCCCAACTAATAACATCATAGTTTGCCTTTTTAAACACTGCAGTGACATCAAATGCGTCATCACCGAAACTGGGCTTTGTCCTGAGTCATCATGTTTAAAGCTAGATTCCAGAATTATTGATGATTTCTAAGAAAAATCATTGTCATGTTTGGAATCTCCGTAAAAATTATTCTACATGTCTTTTTTTCATTTTTTAGCCCGTTTTGGTTAGAGTGGCCCTTTAATAAATCTATCCCCACTGGTTTATATGGTAAAGAAATGGGTGGTCCTACCTTACCAAAAATACCTAGAAGACTTTACCATTGTGAAAAAGTACATGTAGATTTCCCTTTGGTCATTGTAATTGAAAAAATTTAAGACCAGGCCTGAAGATTTGATAGAACAGCATCTTTCTTAAAAGATGTACACTGTACATATTATTAATTATTTCTTTACTTTTGCAATTTTAGTGACTTTGCTGTAAGTGTAACAAACTTTATTTTTAGGCCCTATAATAAGAATATATGGAGAGTTTAATTTCAAAAGAAGCTAAACCAATTTTTGTAACTACAGAGAAAAAAGAAATTGTTTACCAGATTTTGTACAGGCGTATATTGAAAAGTGATAATAGAAGGTGCATTTTTCATAATTGCTGACAAAATTTAGGTAAATAATTTTGTTGAAAGACGGGTATATAAGTGAACAATGTTCTGATATTAATAACTTGATTTTCATCAAAATTAGATTTAGCTGCTTTTGGAATTAAGCTCTTCATATGTAGACTCACTTTGTACATGTGAGGAATATCCCGAGCTTTGGAATTATCCAGGATAGTCTATGTAAAAACAGAGAATAAACATGCAACATCAAAACAAAGAAAAGAAAAGATGATAGCATATCAAACAAAAAAATATACAGTACGACACCAATAGGAAAATATATTCATACACTAAAGCATTCATTTGTTTTCTCTGAATTTGAAAGGGGACCTATCACCTACACAATTAATAAGTATGCATCTAGTATGTATGTATTATTGTATAAAATAATTTAATCAAACACCAAACTTTACTTTAATAGTACTGTATGGATTAATGGTAAAATAGAATTAATACAATGAAGAATGAATTCAATGAAATAAAACTCTGCATAAGGAATCCAAGTTTGACTTGGCTTTCTGTATGCATTCTCCCCTAGACGATTATTTCTAAGTACATTGACTGGTCTACTACTCACAAGCCGCTTTCACATTCATTGAGAGAGTATTTAAACTTGCAATATTTCTTTATAGAAGTAACCTAACAGGTAGTGTGCACTTTGAATATAGCACGGTAGCCAGGAACCTGTATTTACAGAGAAAAGGATGTGATGGTAAGTGGTCGCCTTAAGATTCTAGTCGATATGAAGGTGAAATCCCCCTTAAATGTTGCTTGAATCAACATAATTTAAAAGGAGAAACAACAGAATTTTACACACAAAAACAATACTCAAAGCCGTACACAAAAAGCAATAAAACCCATCTATTGAGAGTCTGAGACCACTCTTCCCATGTCCCTCCCCCTCCATAGGTCTTCCTCCAGTCAACATTTTAACCCTTCCAATGCAATAGGTGGTACATACCCCAATGGCCAATTTTTAAGGATCAAATATGATCTTGAGAAGAAAAAAAAAATGTGTTTCTTCTTTAAATTCAAAATGGTTTTAATGGGTCAGATGAGAGTAGTTATAATGGTGCACAGTTTGTATCAATTTGAACAATTAAAAAAAGTGCAAGTGCATTTCCCAAATAGTCTTACAATAACATAGTTGCCATACATGCATAACCGACTAAACTGAGCATAGACTTGTTAGCATCAAAGGGGCTAAAAAAAAGAGGAAAATATTTGTGTATAATAAATAGTAACAACTAGAAAGCTATTTGAAAACTAACATCTACTATATATAGAACAACAGTAATGGGAAAGGTGATAAACAGAGATTCACAGAGTAACACAAAATGCCACAATTTCAAAATGACAATGCACTTTCATATTCTCACCTGTAAAAGTTCTTCAACATACAACCTCTTTGCCTCCTCACTCTCCATGCTACCTAACACAGACCATGCTTGCCTGAGGGGAGAGAGAGAGAGGGAGAGGGAGAATGAGAGAAGGAGGAAGACAGACAGACAGACAGACAGAGGGGGAGGGAGAGAGAGAGTGAGAGAGAGAGAAAGGAAGGAGGAGAAGTGAAAGGGAAAGTGACAGGATCATATTATTTTATCAATACAATATTATCAATATTGTAAAATATCTATAGTTGATAAAGAGAAGCAAAACATACAGTTCATGTACAGCTGGTACATATATATATACCCTTACTTGATTTCACTAATTATAACTTTAAAATTATATGTTATGTCCTGAATATAAACTGGCATAACATTTCTTTAAAGACTGGGAAGACAACTGCCCCCCCCCCCCCTCCACCAATGTACATGTACTTCTACTTCTTCATTCTCACAATTAATAGCATTCTTATTCATGTACATGTACCTATCAAAAGCACATCATACTTTTAACATACAACATACAATGAAAAGAAAATGGTCTGTTTTGGACTTGGGTAAAATGTATATACAGTACATGTAAATATTTGTGAGCATCTTCTTCTAGTCCAGGCCTTCTCCAACTCAAAGAGTAAATATTTGATAGCTGGGACATATCTGAGGACCATCTTGTACTTTGTTCATGAGAGTACACTAGGCCGACAGTACACCACACACTATGCAAACAGTTCTAATCGAGTTTCTTGCCCAAATCAGCAGGAAACTCAATCAAAATCTTACTACCCACTTTAATGCACATCTCAAGTAACTGATTCAATGTATGTGTGTAGCTTTTATAAAAGGCACATTTACTAAAGTTTGAATTACCAAATGCCTGGAGAATTTTGCCAAACTATCCACAATGCGATGTTAAGAGCAAAACTTAAGCTGTGCCCCTTTGTTATTTGTTTGGCCACTGGTCTTCTCTCATTGTCCACAGTAACACCCCCCCCCCCCCCCCCCCCACCCAGACTGGTATTTAAGAAGCCTGACAGGCTGACATACACATGGCGTACATAACAATTGTATTTCACTGGATTGGAGCACCAGTATACATGTTTTTAAGAAATAGTAAAACAGAAAATTTTCCCAGTTATACTGTTCATGTACACAATTATGGGCGACCTTGTACTCCCAACATATTGTTCGAATCCCGCCGCGGCACTAATGTCCTTTGGCAAGACATTGATCTACATTTGCCACACTCCACCCAGGTGAAGTAAATGGGGACCGGTATGAAAGAATTCCTTGAATGCTGTGAGCACCGAAATCATAGCCTAGCAGAGCCTGGGTAATATTGGAGCGCTTTGAGCACCTTGCAGGGTGGATATGTGCACTATATAAATATCCAATATTATTATTATTATTATTAGCCTTTTTCTTTCAAGTTTTTATCCTCAAATACATTCCAGCTCTGATAATCTCTCATATATTAAAGAACCATTCATGGATATTTCTTTCATATTTACCATTTCTGTGTCTGTACAACATTCCAGAATGCAGGTTTTGTCTCATGGCATGGGCCCTCTGTAGCCTGTTTATACAGGCCATAGAAACGTTTCATCAGCTCAAACGATGGTTGAAATGGGCCTGTTGAAAGGGAAATAAAGAACACACTTTCACTATAGCAACAGTGATTTTGGCCATAGCCCCACATACATACAGCTAATTTTCTATTTATTAATATAATAATAATATAACTTTTTTTTTTAATGACCAAAATTTGGGCAGTGCTGGTACTGTACATACATACATTACAAGGACAACACTCAATACCTGGGGATAGAAATATTCATTTCTATTAAAAGCGCTCTCCTCATATGCCTAGAACTCTGCTCTGATCTAACCACTTTGTCAAAAAGTTTCTGCTCTATTAACTACATCCATCAAATATTTTTCTTTTTTTGATACACACAACACATTTTATATAGTATGCATATTTTATCTGTCAGTTGCTAACAATAGATCGACCTCGAGTTGGCAGTGTATTAGCATGACCTGCAATGAGCACTCAATTGAAACTTTAACAATTAATTTCATTTGCTCATACTCACAGCCCCTAAAAAGCAAATATTAAAATAAACAAACAACAATGAATCTAGGGACTCTAGCTTAATGTTGATAGATTTCTAACACTAGATATTACATGAAAAATGTGAGGCTGTATGCCCGTATTGTGTTCAGTAAAGATTTCTTAGGTGTACTGTAGGCAAAGTTAAAAAAAAAGGAACGATAAAAAAAAAAGTAAGTGATGTTGTGATGTTGTGATGTTGTAATGTAATTGTTAGATCCAGGAATCTACAGATAGTACAGGTGGCTAGAGTCCCCACGTCTGTGCAGCGCCCTTGCTTGTCTGCGCAATACATACATTGTACTGTACATGTAACTGCTTGATTATGATAAAAACAAAACATGTAATAGACACAAAATAGCTGTCTCTAATTATAACGTACAGCAATACACATTCATGGTTTGAAGATTCTTATTTTCTTACTTTTTATCTGCAAATCTTGATATGGCATCTTTCACATGAAAAATCCCAAACTACACAGACATTGGAACCTTTCTTTTCTTTTGCAGTGTTCACAATCAATGACACCTCTTTTTCTTGAAAATGACAAATTTCAATTTTCTTGAATCTTGCTCATATTTTGACATTTTTGGCACACTTACTGTTTGGAATATAACTTACAAATAGGTATAGGATGAGATCAATCAGAATTCAGAAGAAATTCTTATCAATTTCAATTGAAAAGTTAGGCCCGATAATACGCAAGATGATGCACAGTAGTGCATGCATTCATGCAAGAGACTAGACATGCATAGACCGTGGTCTGCTGGAGCTGTCCCAATCTTGGCAGTGTCGTCGGCCGTAGCCAACGGCGCAAAACAAAGGAGGTGAAGGCTTATTTTCATCTACCATCATCTACCGATTTGTCTCAAATCTGCATGTAATGATGCTTTGTCCACGAATAGATATATCGATTAATGGATTCAATTTGGTCTTAACTGAAATTTCACTTCAAATGGTTATAAAGAATAGACGAACGTACCATTTTTCGGAAGTTTTTTGATGACAGTCACTGCAGCATCAAATTTTTCTCCGACGGACGCCATTGTTGCTCGGGTGTCATGCAAACAGATCGCCAGCATTATGCACCAAAGCGCCAATACAATACCCAATACATGCATGGGACCGTCTCCAATAGATGAGGGGGAGGGCGAGGGGCATGGCCGGGGGTGGGGAGCAGATGAAGGAGGCACTGGGGAAGGGGCAACGATGGAAGGGGTGGGGGCAAGGTGAAATACTGTATTATCATGGGTAAAAACAGATTAGTCAATCCAATCAAATTCAAAAGGTATCATATCGCCATTTACGAATCGATGCACATAAAATAATTCGAATTATAATTATGTTCGAAATGTTTGCCTTGGTAGCCAAACCAAGCCATGCACGTATTTTAGACTTATAACTTTAAATTGTATGGTGTATACTTAATCTTTACCTCATGTTTGTTTTGTTTTAGAAATATAAAAATGTATATATCATGTCAATGTATTTTATTTTTATATCTTACTTTGTTTGATATATCTTTCTGTATTGTATTGTAAAAAAGTTGTGCTCTCATACCCCTGAAGGGGGTCGATAGAGTCAAATCTAAAATCTAAAATTAAAAATCTAAAATGACAATCCATTGCTCTCGATTAACAAAAATTTAAAAGGACATCAGAAGAATATTGAATTTGTCTTGCAATAGCAGGTAGCTGGTCCCACAAGTTAATTTGCTGCAACAGATGGAAATACATTTCTCCTCAGTCACGCTTTTTGGTTATTAGACGTTGAGTATATAAGCCAGACAGACGATGATGAACATCATGCACTATGAATATGACTGACAAAGAAAGCGGATAAAATATGCAGTTCCTGAGGTAAATATATTTGGTACACCAAATATCATTTTCCCCTATATACATATAACTTTCTTCTTTCTCTGTTTTTCTCTGTTTTAGTTGTTGTTTTTCTCGTTCCAGTTTGCTTTTTTCCTCTCGATTCCTTTGTATATATTTTCATCCTCTCCTTTTCAAATTTCAAGCTATCCCTTTTGTAAATATTTCCCCCATATTTAATCATGTGTAGTTTTGATAACTTTGAAACATTTGTTAAAAGTGAAACTTGATGGATTATTTTATATGGGGACCTTGCTCTTACAAGCCCAGCTTTTCTAAGGTCTCTACTTTCTTTCGTTTGGATTATATATCGACTTAAAATTGCACTTAAATTGTTTTTTCTTATGCTGTTTTTTGTTCTATTATTGTATGTAAAAATGTTGTGAAAGAAAGAAATAAAATGAACCTTGAACCTTGAAAGGAACATCCCTTCACTGCTATTATGTAAAAAGTGAATATGCATGTGACACCTGTTCTACACATTTTTACATAATAGCAGTGAAGGGATGTTCCTTTGTCTACCTGAGGAACTGTATATTTTGTCCGCTTTCTTTGTCAGTCAAGTTCATAGTGATGCATCATCAGAATATGACAGGATCTGTATCCCAGGTAGTCTACAGTTTCACGAGTTCCGTACATATGGGATGGGGTGGGGCAACTACCATCATCCAGGTGTATGATACCCCTGGCTAATTATGCCATTAAAAAAACATCACAGCCTCCCCGATCAGTTTCCTATAAAGCTTACAAAATCCATGAACTAATCCATTAAAGTCCAGCTAGAGGCCAATTTTATTTTTGTTCTAAACAAATGTTGCAAACTGACCCCTCCACAGTGGCGTACCTGGGGTACTCCGTCAGGGGGGGCAAGCGACCGAAACAAACAAAAAAGGCAATGCTAATTTTCACTTCTGGCGAGCGAGCGAGCAAAAAAAAAAATCTTTAAGTAACGTTTGGTATATAAACTGGTATTGTTGCAAGTTGGGGGTGGGAATATTCACTTGTTAGTGACGTTAATTTCATTTTTTTGCAAAAGAGTGTAGCGAGCAAGAAAAAAAAAATCACTTCTTTTTTAATAATTGCGACTTAAACTTGGTTCAATTGTCCCATGCAGGACGCGGGAACAATATTGTGTTTAGGGTGATGTTATACCCATTTTAGCTAGCGAGCGAAAATACATCTTTCTCTCAATGAATTGCTATATAAAATTTGTTTCATTGTTGCAGGTAGGGGGCGGGCACAATCGTGTTTAAGGTAATGTCAATCCCATTTTGGCGGGCAGGCAACCCCCTACATTTCTCTTTTTAATGATATTGTAGCAGGTTAGTGGTGGGCACATAATTCCACGAGCTAGCGAGCGTAGCGAGCGAAAAAAAATTACTTTTCTTTTATAGGGAAAATATGGTACATAAAACTTGGGTTCATTGTTCCATGTCAGGGACGTGATTATTAAAAGCGGTGTTATTTCTATTTTGGCGAGCGAGCGAGCGAGCAAAAAAAAAAATCACTTCTCTTTTATAGGGAAAATATGGTACATAAAACTTGGGTTCATTGTTCTATGTCAGGGACGTGATAATTAAAAGCGGTGTTATTTCTATTTTGGCGAGCGAGCGTAGCGAGCGACCAAAAAAAATCACTTCTCTTTTATAGGGAAAATATGGTATATAAACTTGGGTTCATTGTTCCATGTCAGGGACGTGATTATTAAAAGCGGTGTTATTTCTATTTTGGCGAGCGAGCGTAGCGATCGAGCAAAAAAAATCACTTCTCTTTTATAGGGAAAATATGGTATATAAACTTGGGTTCATTGTTCTATGTCAGGGACGTGATTATTAAAAGCGGTGTTATTTCTATTTTGGCGAGCGAGCGTAGCGAGCGAGCAAAAATTTTGTAATGATAATTGGTTCATAAATTTCAGATTTTTTTGTTGCAGGGCAGGGCTTACACAATTATGTCTAAGGTGATGTTAATTCCATTTTGGCGAGCACGAGCACACCAAAACTTCTTTGAATAACGTTTGGTACATAATTATTAACTGGTTATTGCAGGTTGGGGCGGGCACGTTATAGCAGTGTCAATTCCATTTTGGCCAGCGAGCATAGCGAGCAAGCAAAAAAAAAAATCTCTTTTAATAGAAATTAATAAATAAACTTGTTTTTATTGGTGCAGGTCAGGATGGACGCAATCGCGTTTTTACGCGATTCAATTCCTTTTTGGCGAGAGGGCGAAAAAACTCTTCCATTTTTAATGATATTGTTGCAGGTCAAGGGTGGGCACAATTGTTTCCAAAGCAATGTCGATTCATTTTATTCGTGAGCGAGTGTAACGAGCGAGAAAAATGAATTAGTCTCTTTTAGTAACATTTGGTACATATATTGTGTGTTATTGTTGCCATGGTTGCAGGTCGGGGCCCGTCGGGGCAGGCACAATTGTATTCTAGGCAATACTAATCCTTTTCTTTTTCAGGGGGACGAGCAAGTGAAAACATTTAATACAAAATAGGCTAGCAAGCAGTTCGCGCCAGCGAAGAGTTTCAAATTTGTTATATCACTTATATTTTCCTATTTTCATTTGTTTTAATTTTTCAGGGCCGTATGCGGAATATTTTTCTGGTGGGGGAGGGGGAAAGATGCGTTAAAAGTTTTCGAAGAATCTCAAAAGCAAAAGAAGTGAAGGGAGTTCGAGCGACCGAACTGGTCATGAGGGTACTTTTGCATTTTCAAAAGTAGAATTGAAGGATTTGGTATAGGCCTACACTACATTTTCAGGAAAAAAACCGTACGTTTTCAAAATATCTGGGGTCAACTGCCCCCCCCCCCCTGGTGCGTACGGCCATGGTCTTTTTTTTTTTTTTTAATTTCCCCATTTTTATTCCTTTCCTTTTTTTTTCCTTTTTCTTCCTTTTCTCTTTTTCTTCCTTTTTTCTTTCCTTTTTTTCCTTTTTTCTCTTTCTTTCCTTTTTTCTCTTTCTTTCCTTTTTTCTTCCCTTTTCCTTTTTTCTTTTTCTTTCCTTTTCCTTTCTTTTCTTTTCTTTCCCCTTTTTCTTTTTTTCTCCCGGAGCCCGTCAGGGGGGGCACTCTGCCCCCCCTGCCCCCCCCCATAGGTACGCCAGTGCCCCTCCAATTCTTACTCTGAGCCCAAAACCTGTATGATCTTTCATAAATGAAAGTTAATCACATCGTGAAAACTAGCTCTTTAAATGTTTTTGTTTGAAGATGGCTCCTGCCGAAGCCGGATGGTGCTGCAAAGCACACTGTGTGATACCACTTTGTGGTGTTTAATATTATTGTAGGCTGCATGCAGGGGTGCTGTGGAGTGAAATATAAGACATTCTTAAAATGTGATGACCAGTTTAATTGCTATTATTTATTTTTATGGCTAATAAATGTATACACATATAATGCACTCTTCAAATTATAGTCGAGTTGAATACATTTATATTCAGAAACACTCAATAAAAGAGGAGGCATGCAACATCTAAACCCTAAGGCAGAAACGTCAAATTGTTGATCTATTTTATTCAAATAATTTCATAAAGTAATTTAGACACTTTAGTTTTCTTCTTCTTCTTCGTCTTCTTCTTCGTCTTCTACTTTTTCTTCTACTTCCACTATAATAAAAGGCGACCTTGCTGCGGCAGTAACATCCTTTGGCAAGATATTAATCTACTACTTGTTTGCCACTCTCCACCCATGAGTAAATGGGTACCCGGTAGGAAGAAATTCCTTCAGAATACTTGAACGCCTTCTCATGGTAGTTTGGCTAAAGCTGGAGTAATAATAATGATTGCAGGGCCCTTAGCCATAGCCGGAGAACAGTTACCATGGTCATCATGTTGGATGGTAATTTGGACAAAAACACCATGGTTACCATGGTTCTTGTTTATAATGGTATTGATACTCATGAGGCTTCCCTGGGTAAAGAAGACACATTATTATTATGCTCAACTATAATGATGCATGGGTCCGTGTAATTACGCCACATAAAATTGATTACGACGCTGCCGCATAATCTTTATTTGTTTTTCAATGCAATTACATTCGGGTATTTAACATTGACGAAAATGACATATTTAGACCTACCATTAGAATACTTAATTGTTTTTTTCTGAACCGGTCTGTTGATATAATTTGTTTACTCTTTCCTATATTGTTGTGAAGCACCAAGATTAATCTTCATAATCGTTTAAGAAAAACAATCAGATTCAATGCTCTTTGCCTTCACATTTAGCTTTAATCATCCAACCTGAGCTTAACCAAGTTAAAGATTAATTCGTACTTTAGACTCTTTCCTCCTTCGTCTTGTGGATAATGGTGTCGAAATGCATTATCATTATTTTTGCGATAAGCCTATTGTTGTACCAACACACTAACTAACTATACGTGCACAGTAATACGGAGAATTTTCGTTTTAATACTCTGTTTATGCGCTCTACAACGCTACAAGGAGAACAAAATTAATATGCATTTGGTAGTTATATTGTTTTATTAAATATTTTCTTCTGAACCATCGTTGACGACGATGTGGTTGAGTTAGAATTTTACTTCAGCTGGAAACCTAGGAACCAAAAATACATAGGAAGTGAATAATAATTGTCTTCCTTTTGTGTTTATTTTTTTTTTGAGTGCAACATTGCCACATTTGCAAACATGATAAGAATGCTATTAGTTGCCGCTGTTATCGTCAACTCGGTATATTCAGGTGAGTATAGATCTAATATTCTGATTACTTGTCGCATTATGTCCATTGGAGGCATAATCTATTTTTTTTTGTTGTAATTTTGAATGTATTGGTATTGGATCACGTGAACCGTTGAATAGAACTGATTAATTACTAGCATTTGATAATTATTGATTATGTTTGAGATTTTCAATAGATGTTGGGTTGAGTAGCTAGCAAAATATTACTTCATAGTTGCTTTTTTTTTCTCTGTGTGACTTCATGATTCAGGATCAACGACGGAATTAAAGAAAATAATATAGTAGCAGAGGAGGGAGAAGGGGTCATAATAATCATGAATGAATCCTAACAATGATTTAAATCGCTAAACTAATATCAGGACAGAAGATTATCGAAAATGTGGCAAAACAAGTCAAAAAAATGACACACACATAATACAGGGTACTATGAATGTCAAGTATAATGAACTAATATACAAGCTAAGATTAAGAAAGAGTGACGCATACGATTTTATGGGCCATCAGATGAGAAGAGCTGTACCCTTTGACTAGAAAATTAAAATTCGTTAAAATTATGTCTAGATTATAATCGACCAACGTTTAAATCCCCCACACTTTCTCAAGGAGCATGCACATTAAAGAAGTAAATTCTAGAGAATGAAAGCTCAGAAAAGGTTTATCAAATATCCATTTAAAAAAAACTGACCACTCTATTTCTATATACATTCCCCTTACCTCTCAAGGAGCCTGCAGGCTATATAGCATCTAAAGAGCATGAAGTGCGGAACAGTGACAGTTATTGGATTTTGCAGTTTTAAATATCATAGGCCTATTTTCCTTATAGTGGGTTCTAGAGTAATAAAACGTTAAAGGTGTCTTGGTCAAAATCCAGAAAGTGGCTCAACGATATACTCCTCCACAGTAATGCGGATAAAGGGCAGGAGGGGGCATCCGACCCTTGCTGTCCCTTTGAAGCCAAAGTGACACACCGTTGTATACAACTCACAGATTGTGACTTACCTTTTGAGATGATGACCTTTTTTTTGTCAGATAATTTGTGATTAAAGAGGCATCCAAAAAATGTGATGACAATTTCTTTTCTCTTTCCCTTATCAGATCTTTTTTGAATATTATGCCCCTCTTAACCAAAAAAGCACCCTGAATCCGCCCCTCCTTTTCCATATAGTATATAATTGTATTTGCTCAATCCATCCAACTAGCTAACGATACGGACGGAGGAGGCGCATGTGCCCCACCCTGGGTGCAGTTTGAGGACCAGTGCTACACGGAACCGGCTTACACCCCAGCGAACTTCAAGACATGGAGCGATGCTAAAGACGATTGCAGGAATATAGGTGGAGACTTGGCCATCGTCAATTCTCCACATGCTCAGGGTAAGATAATAATATGAATAAAAACGGTGCTTATATAAAGCGCTTACCATCGAAGTCTCTAAGCACTATAACAAACAAAATACAATTATAAACAATTACATATTAAACAAAACAATGCAAATAAACCTACAAAATTAAGATGACCAATATTGCCGTTGGGAAGCGAGTGGCGCCTGTACGACACCATGGGCACTAGAGTATTTGGAGAAGGGACAAGGGCGGGGGGACAATTGACATATTTCTGACCCCCCACCTCCTTCCTGAGGCGTAGTTAGTTTTGAACCAATAACTGTTTATATATATATATAACGGAAACGCGTGGAATATAATTATAGACACATGCTCAAAGATTTGAAGTTTCACCCTTAAATAAGATATTTTTTTATATATTTTAAAAGCGATACACTGCATGTACGGAACCAAGACCATCAATATGTGGTTCTTGAGAGCTGTGTGCGGTCGCCTTATTAAAGCCGAGACGTTTTGCCCACCTGAGGCAAATCAATAGTTTAATGCATCTAACTTATTGGTCTAGTCTCAGGAGGAATCAGTAACAAACGCTGGGACACCTATATTCATACCTAAATTCGTGATTTCCTATTTTTCCTCGGCGTTTTAGGGGGGGGGGGGGCGAGGGGTGATAGGTGATTGGGAAGGTTAAAACGTTCGGAATGTCCACTGTAGATTTTTTTTCTTCTCTTATCTATATCCACTCAAATAAATGTGATTCATTTTTTGTACTCTGCATAATGCAGTATAATGCATTAAAAGGTTATATTTTCTTTTAAGCCGAAATTCTAGAAATACCCCCACCCTTGGAGCCTTTAAAGATACCTTACAAAAGCTCAGCATGGACGAAATAATTGCTAGAGCCCACTTCAGAAATTAAGTATTGGATACTATGCTCAGTCGACTGCGCCTGCATGTTACATCCCAGCTGAGGAGTTTATGCAGTAGCCCACCAGAACCAGAACCAGAAGCCTTTATTCGACTTGGACCGAAACCCCCAAATGCTAGATCGATTGTTATGTCATCTTAACGTGTGCCAAAAAACGAATGTGGCAGTCTCAAGTGTGTTCTATTGTTTTACCAAAGTCGGCAAAGAATTAACTTAATTATATTAACTTTGGTCATTTAATGGTGGGTCGTCACTGTTTGGAACAAACCCAACTTTTGGTACCATTAAAAAAAAAATAGTTTTCTTGAATGTTCTCAATTCGAAATATATATTAGCATAGTGATAGAGATGGATATTCGTATTCCAATGAAGCTAATAATTATGCAGAAGGGGAAAAAATCTGTCTTCTGTTTTTGGTATTTCTTAGCATTTCTCACGGCTGCTATGGAGTATGAACAACAAGATGTTTGGATTGGATTATCAAACGGTCAGTCAAATCCGAATTTTACTTGGACGGACGGTTCGTCACTCAACTACACGAACTGGGGTCGCGAGCAACCGGACGGTTATCCGGAGAGTACCGGGACAAATCCACCGGTATACTTGTTTACTTGCTGCTCCTTTTGTAATTGAATATTAATTATAATGTATATTTGATGTTTCATTTGTATTTGTTATACACTTTGAAATAGTATATTGATTATTTGCATTCTTGATGAATTTTCAATTATTAATCTTATTAATTAATTCCATGTTATTTGTATGAACATTTAGATTGGAGATAATCCAAACTTGTGGATTCTATTTCAACCAATTTGTATTGAATTTGAATTTGACTTTGAACTTGTAGACATTAATTTGTTTATCAATGCCATTGTCTACCTATCATATCTAGATCCGGAGGGAGATAGCAACATAACTATATCCACAGTTTTCGGTCGTGGGCGTATAAGGGCACAATTTCGCAAGGGTAGGGAGGTGGGGAGGGTGACTGTCGTCTCTACAGTATCATTACTATTTTTGTAATAATTTTATCTTCACAAACATGATTGGCAAGTGAAAACGTATCATAAAGCAAAAAAACAAAACAATGAATATAACGAGAATGGCAAATGAGGACAAAAGATAATATTCTGCGAGTCAATCTTGGTAGATTAATGGTCTTGCGAAGTATATCATTATGGGTTCATTATCCACAACACACATCATTGTACATTTAATGAAACTGGTCTGTACACGACACTTTGCATATTCGTTCTTTCTTTTATTTTGAAATTGATTTAATTAGTATCTTTTTGCTGTGTTATCTAGGCATGTGTTGTGATGATGTCGATCAAAACAGAGGCTGGAAAATGGAACGATCAGAACTGTGTTAGAGAACTACCTTATTACTGCCAGAAACCAGTAGGCAAGTCCATGATATTAATACCGGGGCGGATTCGGTATTCTGTTGCATGGGGGGGGGGGGGGGGGGGGGAGGGGGAAAATCTTTTTGAAGTGAATGATAATGAAATGAATAATGTTATCACATTTTCAAGTTCCTTTGCCTTTGCGAGTCTAGAATTCCTTCAAGGGGCACTCATAGGGCAGATTTCGTTTTTTAATTAGTGTGTACTTAAGGTATATGCCTATGCCATATTTTGAGGGGATGGGGGCACATGCCTCCCTGAATCCACCAATGTACTAGTTAATAGAATTAATGATCAATGGAATTGATAGAACTTGAAGTACTCGCATTAACTTCCCATAATGCTACTGACTGCAGACATACACACAACTGAGCGTCCGTGAGAGTGTTCTTAATATACATGTTCTAGAATTCTAGGTTGTCGCGGTCCGAACCCCTTCCCATTTCATTGCCCGCCCAAAATAATCGTAGCCGGGGGAAAGGTGTGAGGAGGCAACCTCCTCGGAGGATAACTTTCCAGGGATTATAAATTCTTGACCATTATTATTCTTGATATTAACCGTACAGATCCCAGCTTGACACCCCCTCCATCAGGCGGCATATCGCTTTGCAGACCGGATTACATAACCTACTTCCAGGGCTGCTTCAAGTATGTCTCCGATGATCTGAACTATGACGAGGCTGAGGCCGCTTGCGCAAAAGACAATACGCATCTCGCCACTATCGTTGACGCGTACGATGAGGCTTTCATCGAGACTCTCATGTACGAAAACGGACACGATTCGGCATGGATAGGACTACGCAAAAATCCGGTATGATGCACTCTCAACCTGAAGTATGAACATTATGATTGCTAATACTTACACAAATCAACCTAAGGCGGTTTACTAGCCTTGTCAAACACTTTCTGGAACGTACAATGACATATTACGTAAGACGAGAATGATTTCTATGAGACATACAATATGGTATTAAAATTGCCCATGGATTAATTTTTCGAAAGTCGATCGTGTTTATGCAAACAAAAATTCTACTGTTGTCATTCCAATCGAGGATATATAGCCTAGCGAAGATTTTTATCGACAACAACGAATCAGAACAACACCAGCAACACAATTTGTTTGGGTGACATAGCCGCAACCCCACGGAGACGCCCTTGCCCGGGGGACGTACGACTTGAAGATATAACTATGTTGAATTTATTTAAATTTATAAAATGAAACCAGACGCGGTTCTAAAAGACTTTTTTTTTGTTAGGGGTGGGGCATGGGTGGATCAAGGATTTTGTAAAAGAGGGAGTACAAATAGGTCATCACAACTGTGGGTGCCATTTTGATTTAAAAAAATCTCTGATAATTATAAAGAGAGAGGGGAAATACCTTGGGTTTCAAAGTGGGGGGGGGGGGAATTGTGCCGCCAAATGAACCACTGGCTTGGGTGTATTTCTAGCATACTTTTACTACAAGTGCCTCGATTAACTTGATTTCATTTTTTTTAATGGGGTGTTGAAGTATTGTTAATTTTGTTGGAAAGGGGGCTTGAGGCTTCCAACCCTACCTTTAGGAACCGCTACTGAGTGAAACTATGGTTTATTTCTGTCTTATCTTCCAGGAGGATACTGTCTACGAATGGAACGACGGTTGGCCCGTCTACTACACCACTTGGGGTGCAGGGGAACCCTCCGGTGGGGAGGGGGAGGGGTGCGTCGAAGCCACCACCCTAGGGCATTGGGATGATACAGTGTGCACTAAGGGACAACCCTATATCTGCAAGTACACAGACAGTAAGAAAAACACGGTTATCTAAATCTCTCGTTACCAAAAGGTCTACCTTAGTATTTAGGCTGCGACGTGGCACTGTGGTTGCACTCAAATTTGCTCTCAATTTCCTGTAAGCCTTTTGTATTACATTTATTCAATTCAACTTCAAAAATAGAATAAAAAATTAAGGCCGACATGAATATCATTTTATTGAATCTTCATTATACTTACTAGCGGCAGAAATCAACCATAATTAATATGAATTAAAGTGTTATCAGTGTTACCCATATCATGCTAATATGATATTTTGTGAATTGAAATTTCAATACTTTCTTCAGAAAAGAATATCAAGAGTAATAGCATTTAAATCGTGCAAGTATAACTCAGCTCCTTTTTTCCATGATCTGAAATTACTCGATACTTCAGAAAAGTTCGCTATTTAATTGTCTTATTTATGTTTGATTGAAGAAATCATTATTGATTATTAGTAGTACTAGTGTCACTATTCTTCTAATTAATATCATCATCATCATCATTATCATTCATATTTTTTGTATTACTATTACTATCATTAATATTAGTAATAGTTAGTACAAACGTGTAGTAGTAGTATTATTATCATTATTATTATCATATATTATTTGTCATCGTAATATTTCTTACAGTATCCATTTTGTCTTTAACTCTCATTCCATAGCGTCGATGCCAGTACCGGGCCCCACATCGGATGGTTACTGCGAGAACGGGTGGATAGAGTACGGTTCGCATTGCTATCTCTTTGTGACGCACATCGACGAAGTGACGCGAACGTGGTCCGGTGCTAGCGTCGACTGCGACACGAAAGACGCAACGCTCCTGACGGTGCACAACGAAGACGAAAACGATTTTATTCTCCGGCAGTTGAGCAAGAGAAGTGCGGCCGGTGATTTGACAGGGCCCCATGTAGAGGCAGAGGGTGACTTGTGGTTAGGAGTCACGAGGAATGACGAAGGTTAGACCGAGAATATCACTTTTGTTTAAATTTTCGTATCTTTTTCAAACTTCAGATATAGTATTTGTTATTATTCTATTATACTTTGTCTGTTGCACAATTATCCCTGACGTAAGATAGCGGTCTTTGACGCTACATTCGAGAGTGACGTTGTAGAGAATGCAAATTGAGCAGTACCCACACTGCATCAATTACTAACTTATGGACACATAATATTGATTGCCTTCATCAGAAAGATTAATAGCTCAGCCAATAGTGCAATAAAAAATAATGACACCTCTGTCAATTGGAATCAGTTGGATTTTCCAAGTTTGAAAATAGGATTTGTTTATATATATTAATTCCCGCTGCACAAGAGGCACCGTGAGGCTGACGTAGTACTACGTCGTCAACTGACGCGGTCTTAAATTACGCGCCACTTATATGCTACAAAAAAAAAATGCATGAACAACGTACACCGTGATTGCAATGAATAACTGGCATGTGGGCTGATTGCCTCAATCCCACAGCACATACTACGATCCGACTACGATCCGATTTGGGAAGAATTTGCAATATTATTTGAAACGAACATTCAAACATGTATAATGTTCTTAATGACTGAGAATCTACGAAATCAAATGATTATGAGGATCTAAATTTCAAGGGATTTCATGCTTTCTTTGAGGAGGAAAAGCTAAATCGGCGCAGAATCGTAGTGACGTCAGACCAGTCTTGTGCGATTGTCTACGATTTGAAGCCGATTCGGATTTTATTCTGACTAGAAGAGTTCAATGATCTAAAATTCTGATTGTTGGTATGCTTATCATTATTTCGAAGCTAAATCAGGAAGGTTGTGTTTGTTGAGGGTTCCTGTCTAATACAATAAGTATTTCTTCGAAAATCAGATCGCAAGACGATCGTGTAGTGTGCGGTGGGCTTTACATGCTTGTGTATAGATTTGTGCAGTAAGTGCAGTAAGTGCAGCAGGCATAATACATGCTTTTCTTGGACTGTTATCTTTCAAGTCATTACTCCATTTCAAGTGATTTTATTGTGCACTTTACACCATTTACATAATACTAATGGCCACTTGACCACAGTTCTACTGAGACTGAAAACAATTACTTCCCCCACTATATAAGCTACTTTATCATCCACTTTATGTATGATTATATTTTGGGTTTATACAGTATATATAGCGCTTAATACTGTGTCTCTAAATGCTTGACAGATATAATATAATTATTATTACCCCGATCATCGGATTCAGGCTTGCCCGCACATAATAATACACATTCTTCACTTAAGCGCCAATAATATTTTGCAGGCGCTCACAATGCTGAGTAAACTACAATGACTTTCACATCCTACCTGATACCCATTTAAATAGACCAGTTTTGGAAACGCCCTCCTCTCAAAAAATGAGATGGAAGCTCTTATTACCAATCATGTAAAAGAATTATGTTTTTACTAATACGTGATGATACAAATTTTGCCGGGAAACCGCCTACTAAATATATTTGGTAAATTATCAGATCGATCCGGCATATATTTCTGCTTTTTTGCGAATTTAGGTTGAAGTATTGCCATCTAAAGTACCCTCTAAAGGCAATATTTAATCAATATTAATGGATATTTTGCACCCAAAACCCTTGAACCGCAATTTTACCACTACCGGTCTATATCTTTAACACCTGGGTGGAGAGTGGCAAATGTGGATTACTGTCTTGACAAAATATGACGTTCATGCCGGGCTATGATACCCACTTAACACCTGAATGGAGAGAAGCAATGTAGATGAAATGCTTTGCTCAAGGACACGTGCAGTCCCTGCATGATTGTGATGCCTTAGTATCTTTTTTTTATTACACAGGAGGTTTCGAGTACTTGGATGGTGAACCAGTGAATTATGTAAATTGGGGTACGGGAGAACCACACGATGGCCAAAGCACTGATTGTGTTGTCATGCAAAGCGACATCGTTGGACATTGGGCGACGTCGCAGTGCGGTGTCGTTATGAAATATGGGTGCAAGAAAGCGAAACGTGGGTATTAATTAGTAAATTACAACCAATGATGTTGGAAATAATAGAAGTGATAATAAAATTGATGGAGGTGGTGGTGATAATGATGATGATAACGATAATAAAAATAATAATAATGATAATAATGATTATTAACAAAAAATAATGAGGATGATGATGATGATGATGATGATGATGATGATGATGATATGAACAATAATAATGATAAAATAATAATAATGATAATAATATTAATGATAATAACAAATAATGATAATATTGATGATGATGATAATAACATTTCTTTTGACACTATGCCATGTTTGACTGCGCATATTATTTTTGTAAAGTACATGGAACTAAAATGTATCTTTAAAATCTATTTCAGTTCCTGTAACCCCCTCGCAACCCAAGACTGGTGAGTGTCACAGAATGTTGTTTATTTATTTCAGTCGATGAGGATAAGCACAAAAGTGAGCCAGATTAATAATCTGGGGAGGGGGGGATTGGTCTTATTTAGTGCAGTCACATCGGTATTTATACTGAGCTTCGTCGGGGCCCTGCAATAATTATTACCCTAAAGCATTGCTATAGGTACCCATTTACAACCTGGGTAGAGTGGGCCAAAATAATGTGGACGGACCACCTTGTCAAAGGATGTAAGCTACGATGGAGTATCGAACCCAGGACCTCTTGTATGAGAGCCAAGGTGTTTTTTTTTAACCAATATACCACAGTGCTCCGACTGAAATTTTAATTGGGACCTCAACGAGTAAAGATCAACATCATTAACATTTTTAAAAGGTATGCATTTCAAACTGTTTCCCTCAACTGGATTATGAAATGGAAATTCTTCATATCTTTTGCAGAAATGAGTCAAAAGTCAAATTAAAGTACGAATGACTTGGATCGATACATTGGAATGTAATGAACAATGCTGTAATGAAAATCAGAATCTCAGGCACCAAAACGGGTCAAGAAATGACCACAAATAAAATGAATCAATCACTGGATAGATAGATTAACAAATGAATGTGGTGGTGGTTATTTTACCTGACTGCTAAGTGCAACCACACGGCCGACGGCTTTAGGTCCTCTCCAAGGGACCTGGTAACGAGGATTAATGCCTTACCAAAGAGCACTAGGGCATCGACTTGGTTTCGAACCCGGGTCTCCGGACCACGAGACCACTGCTCTACCGACTTAGCTATTGCGCCTCCTCCAAATGAACGAATAATCAAATGAGTAATATACAGTACAAGATTTTAATTCTCATGCCCATTTATATTATTCCATTATTCTAATATATGTTACTTATACACTGTTATGAATAAAATGATAGAGCTGCAAATTGTTTGTTTTGTATTCTTTGATGCAGAGGGAACTAAGCAGCCAACAACTAGCACACTAACAACACCATCGATGTCCACAACTAATATTCCCGGAAACCCTTCAGGTAAAAAAAAACCTCGTATACCCATGGCCAATTTAGCGTCGCATTCTTTAATATTCCTATTTAAAGAGAATTAAAGCGTATCTGTCATAGTTTACAGGAGGGATTAGACTGCCCTGCAAGGTCACTGGACAGGTGGTTATCTCATCAACTCAGCTCTCAGTTAACATAAGAAAAAGAGGATCATGGGGGACCAATGGTCACCGATTAGGCATTGTTTGTTATATAGAGGGCGCAAGTAGCTACAAGTAGTGTAGTGGGCCTTTAAACAAGAAAGAATAGGAAAGGTAGACAGACAGATAAATAGACACACATAAGTTAGATAATTAGATTCACTTTAAATCTAAATTCAATTTAAATTAAAATCAATTCGATATCATTCTATCCAATTTCAATTCAATTTTTGATTTAAATATAAATATACATTTCGATTTCAGTTTCAATTCAATGCAATTCAATTTCAGATTAACTCATTTCTATTTAGTGCAACTCATGTCAATTTAATTTAATTTTAACTCATTTTAATTCAATTCAATTCAGTTCAGTTCAGTTTAGTTAAATTAATTTAATCAAATTTCAATTCAATTAAGCGTGCAGGTCACAAGAACACTTGATGACTTGTTTGTGTGTTTGTTTGTTTGTTTGTTTGTCTTCTAAATGGAATGATTTGTTTTCTTTTTCTTTTCATCTAGTCGGCCTATCAGCCGGGGCCATCGCCGGTATCGTCATCGCATTCGTTGTCGTCGCCGGGTCCCTCGCTTCTGTGGTTGTCTGGTTCATCATGACCAAACGGAAGTCTGTGCCACACTCACAGTTCAACGATGAAGCAATTGACATCTCCGGCTCAAAACCGTAAACGACAACAACAACAACAACAACAACACCATCAACTATAACAATACTATCAACCACGACAAGACGAAAAAGAAGAAGAAGAAGGAGAAGAACTACAAAAACAACAACAACAAATCCATTTTCATTTTCATTTTGACAAAAGACAATAATCACGGCAGTGCGTTGATAATGGATGAATTTAAGTGCCTTCGAGTGTTAAAACTGAAATGATGTAGATATCATGAAAATACGTTGACGAGTTTATGAAGACCATAAACACAATTTGACGGTTCTTGGACTCCTACCCACTGGACAACTACCCCTAGGACGACTACCCCCTAGGACAACTACAGCTAACTACACTCTAGGGCAACCACCCTCCAGGACAACTACCCCCCGGACAACTACCCCCAGAAAACTACCCCTATGACAACCACCCTCTAGGATAACTACTCCCGGACAACTACCCCCAGTCAATCACCCTCTAGGACAACTACCCCCGGACAACCATCCTAGGGGGTAGGTGTCTGGGGGTAGTTGTCCGGGGTAGTTGTCCTAGAGGGTGAATGTCATAGGGTAGTTGTCCGGGGTTCGTTGTCCTAGGGGGTAGTCGTCCTAGAGGGTGGCTGCCCTTGGAGTAGTTGTCCTATAAGGGGTAGTTGTCCCGAGAGGGTGTTTATCCTAGGGGTGCATCAATGGGTGGTTGTCTAGGGGGTAGGTGTCCGGATACGGAATGTAACAAATGAACAGGTATATGTACCAGTGGCGTATCCAGACTTTGGCCTCAAGAGGGGCCCTTGTTTGCGTTAATTACAATCATGAAGGCGCGAAAAGGGGGGGGGGGGGGGTGTCAGCTCAAACGACTTTGAGTTGGGAAGAAACAAAAGTAAGTCTTCTAAGAATCTGTCTATATATTTCATGCGTTTCTTTACTTACGAGGCTAACTTCTATAGATGTAGGTTAAACAAAAGTAGCAAAAAAGTGGCTGCATTTCTTTTTCTTGGTCGGAAGGAAGGGCATATTGCCATTCTTGGCCCTCTTTCAAATACGCCGTTAGTATGTACCCATGCATAAACCGACATTTTGTCTTGTAATCTTATATTTTTGACTTGCAAATACATGTATAAACAGAAGATGTCTGTTATGTTTAATTATGTTACAGAATAACATGTGGCCCAGTTTGTCGCAGCATGGAAGTTTTCAAAATATCTAGGCCTTACATAGTTATGGAGGCTTAACGAAGTTTATGGAATACAATTATTATAATAGTGGTGCCAGGCCGGCTGAATATATACAAAATCAACGTAAGTTAACTTCTTACGACATATAAACAATAATTACGAATTTGTATTCCCTCCAACGCGAATTTTTCTGAATATACATAAAGGCTGTAAGCAAATGGCAGAAAACGAGTGCCTATGACTTGTCGACAAATGATTAAAGATAATAAATGTTACCTGGGGGTGTTTCACAAAACTTGTCATCAGTGACAAATGACAGTTTTCGTTATAAGCTACTGAAATCCTTGCTTCTGATTGGTTGTTGGCAGAATTGTCACTGATTTTTGTCATTTGTCATTGAAAAAAGGCTTTGTGAAACACCCCCTGATGTCGCATTTTGTAACCATCCATGGCATATTATGGATGCTCTCTTTGCTTAGCAGTGGAGCATATTGAATGCCTGCGTGGCCTTTAATTAATGGAAGCTAGAATTATAGCTTTAAAACAATGTGTGCACACTGTCGGAAAATCGTTTTGTAATCTAAAATGTACTTCTGAAAACGTAGCTATCTTAAACATCTCTCTTCTTACCACGGAGATTGCATAAGAGTTTATTTTCTAAAATTTTATTCTCATTATCATTGTTTAGGAGTGGTTGTCAATTTCTTAAAAACAATATATTTGAAACCCCTATGTATTTTATGAGGAAATAACATATTCAAGATAATAAAGTATCTTTCTTGTTTTTCGCTTCGCTCACTTGCAACACTTACAAACTGCCCCTATACTTCTAAGGATCGACGCCCCCGATTGTAAGCTGTCATTTCTAGTTTGTTATCAATTTGAGAAATAATTGGTAACGTTTAATGTTAGTCGAGTGAAGATGACGAAATGACATTTGTGTTTTGTAGAAACGTTGTCGAATATAGGTCTTTAAATTCAAAGTAGTTAGCTGTTCTAAGTATAGTATATTTGGAACACTGAAGAAAAGTTAGTCGAGTATTAATGTAAGAAATCTCTTATTTTCTTCTATATTTGTCACAATTTGGATCTCGGAGTATGGTACAAAACGTAAATAAGAGGTCAGTATAAAATCTATTTGATTGTAATCCATGCATTGTTTTTCTGTATTTGATTGCCTTTTTCGGTATATCTGTTACCCAAGAATAAAGATTGTATATTATGGTAACTAATGATTCACCGACTCCGGTTAATTAGTAATGTTTGTAATTTATAAATACGCTATATAATGGGGCTCTAGAAGGATACATTGAACATATATAAATAACGGGCTTTTTATCATTTTATATTTCCCCCCAAAATTCATTTATTTAATTGAATCACATGTATTCCACGTCGAAAAGTGATTTGCTCACATAGTCTTATCACAATCAGTTCATGTGTTCAATCGATTCATACAAACACAATTAAAAAAAATGTTTTTCCGTAATTTTGATTTTGATTTTATTCAATGTCAAAAGAATACAAATAATTCTTCAAAATACGATCCTTTTTCATCATAACATATCTAAAACAACACTGAATACAAGTACAATAATTCATAAATTACGATCGAAAAATAAAAAATGAAGAAAAAAAAATGAATGAAATCAGTTATAATATAAAACAAATCGTAACCCACCCCAAACAAAATCACTACCATTTGCAACTCATTCATCCTCACATGTACACACACTCACATACATGTTCACACCACAATAACATACACTCACTCGCAAGTGCACCCGCACAAATCTATTTGTATATTAAGCTATCTCGAACACCATTATCAATTATCAGCTACATACCTTTGTCTCTTGTTAGCTCACTAATGATTGACAGATAATGTCACGAGGGGAATGAGATCTCGAACATTTTCTTATGGTGGAGCTTAGCAGGTCTGAGAAATTAAAAAAAAGTATTACAAATCTATGAAATATATTTAGATGTTTGAATAACAAAAATATGAGTTGTATCAGTGGCGGATCCAGGGGGCGCGGCGGGGCGGTTGGCCTGGGAAAAAATACAGGTAAAAACACGTTAATGTTACCTGTATTTGGAGATGGGCCCCCTCCCCTGGTGCTCAATGGGGGGGGGGGGGGGGTGCAATTTTTAAATTTTCGAGGGAAAAAGTAAATAAATAGTGCTCTCACCCCCCCCCCCCCCCCTAAGCGAATTGTCGGCCGGCGCGATTTTTAAATTTTCTGGGGCAAAAATTATGGCTCATCCATGAAAAAGAGGGAAGGGGCGGAGTCCTCCTTGGATGGAAGGGGGGGGGGGGGTGAAATGTACCTGGCCAGAAAACCGGCCTTAGTACAAGTTCACCGACACCCCATTTAAATGCAATAATTTGTATACACGCGTTTTAATTAGATGTCGGCGACTAGTACTAATACGATACTTTCGTGAAACGCAGCCTTGCATGCCATAGATCCAATGCAAGTTTGGCTGGGGCTTTTTCTGGGGGGGGGGGGGGGCTGGCTTGGGAGGGGGAGTGGGTTCTTCGACAGCTTTTTATTTCGTTTGATACGCAACATTTACATCTCATGGGATCATACCCGTCTACTTTCACAGACCTACACAGAAGTTATTATCCCATGATCAGCAAACTCACGTTAGCCCGGACTGACAATATCTTGATGAGGCCCAGGTAACCCTACCTGACTGCTTAATAAGCACTATCTCTTGATTCGATTGTCCATTTAGCTTTTAGAGCAGTCTAGGAGTAATACGGTCTATCTATGTTGATTTTCGATACAACTTGACAGGCATAATCAGTGAATCTACCATTGAACTTTCAAGATCACCATGCAACCACAGAGAATCTCGACGTCACACTTTCTTTCCAGGTTTCTTCTTGGGCGAGCCACCTTTAATCTTGACCCCTGGCTTAGCTGGTCCTTTGCCGGGTGGTTTCTTGGCTGACTTAGGAGGAGACTTACTGGCAGACTTGTTTGGAGCTTTTGCCGGTGATTTTGCTGGAGATTTTTTGGGGGGCGCCTTCCCTGGAGACTTTGGCGGTGCCTTACCCGGGGATTTAGGGGGTGCCTTACCCGGGGATTTAGGGGGTGCTTTACCCGGGGATTTAGAGGGTGCCTTACCCGGGGATTTAGGGGGTGCTTTACCCGGGGATTTAGAGGGTGCTTTACCCGGTGGCCCTTTTCCTGGGGATTTCGGAGGTGCTTTTCCCGCAGGTTTTGGTGCTCCTTTCCCGGGAGATTTCGGTGGCCCTTTTCCGGTAGCTTTGGACGGAGGGGCTCCAGGCTTCGCGGCACCGGGAGGTCCACCTGGCTCTTTCTTTGCAGGACTCGATGGTGGGCCCTTCTTGGCCGGTGACATGTCGCCAGGTCTTGGTTTGCCGCCCCGTTTCTTGTCCCCATCACCGAGTAACGGTTTCGCTGCTTCCCTGTCAAAACTTTTATCCTTGTCCAAGTCATCTTCTTCACTGAAGCAGCTAAAGTGTTACAAGATAAGAGCATACATATTTCTAAATATTCTATTTCTAAAATGAAAGAAATTGTATGAATTACATTTATTCAGAGGATCTATATGCTTTGTACTTACATCTGACATGAATTAATCCAATCACGACCGTGTCTAACTATTTCTTGTCTTAAAATAGTTCTTAAAATGTTTTCAATGCATAATGGGATAAACGCAAACATGTATAACTTTGGGCCTTTCCAAATCCATTGGCAGGCAATGTACACATAGACCTAAGTCACATAAATAAATGTTTCCCAATCAACTATATATTCTTAATTATGTATTTGGTAAATAGGCTGTGTCAGACTCCAGTGCCAAAGTTCTGTCGGAAATTAGGCCAGCTATTTGGAGTGTGAATGTATACTTTCTCCGTGCAAAGGCCGATTAATATAAACCGAACTTGGAATATGATAGAGCGCCATCTCCGCTCCAATCTATTTGAGGATTGCTTCATTAACCTGGGAATAAAGCGAGTGAAATTCTAGACAGGAACACCACTCATACCCAAGAGGTTATCAGGTGTCGGTGTCCCCCTTAGGGTGTATCTCACCCCCCCCCCACACTTTTAACAGAGCCCTGTATCCGCCCCTGAAATTGATATTCTTACCAGCAGACACAGATACAGCATCCGATGAGGAAAACGACCAGGACTCCGCCGACACCACCGGCTATCATCACAAAAGACGACCCCGTCGCTTTAGTTTTCGCCATCGCCATCAAGCGTTTGTGCATTGCTGTCAACATATACCAGATAGACATTATTAGTATTCATTGGGTCTTAGCAACCCTGATTAGCCTAAACGTATTACTGATATTCCTATATATACGGGCCCTACAATTATCACTACCCCAGCAGTTACCAGGTTCCTATTTACACCTGGGATTTTGGGTAATGAGGATAAATGCCTTACCAAAGGGCACTAACACATCCGACATGGATTTGAATCCCGATGTCTCCTGGTGACGAGACCACTGCTCTACCACTGAGCCATATCGCCACTATGTAGGAGATCTACTATAAAACAATAAGCCAATGCTGTCTTCCAAAGACACAACACACTGCTTGTCTCAGCGTGACCGTAGGTCAAAATTTAATTAATTTCCTCTTCCTTTGATGTCTGACTGACAGCGCAGGTCATTATGCCGTCAGATTCTTTCCTTGTCCAGTTTAGATGCGGTAAAACAATGCCATGCCGCAGACAGAAATTTAATTTACATACCACCGCACATGTCAGGTGTGCCTCGACTTAGCCGGTGTCTCGACTAGACTCATCAATCACAGTGAAGTTTACTACAGAAAATAAAGTTATAATATTGCTCAGTGGCGTATCCAGACCCTGGCCTCATAATTGGTAAAACATTTCAACTTCCGTTAATCCATACAATTTTATTAAGGAGGGCCCTTCGTGCGTTTCTTGACTTACAGTACTTCCTAACCAGCTTACTACTGTGTACTATCAGTTGGGCTCTATTTCATTTTATTGGTCGGAAATATGTTAGTGGTGACGAACTGCCCCCATGTCTTTCCATCCAATACGCTATCCAGGGTTGTAACTAATGGGTTATGTTTGAGAGCCAGGGCCCCACTTTACAAAACTGGTCATCAGTGACAAATGACAGTTTATGTTTAAGCTAGCGAAATTCTTGCTTCTGATTGGTTATCAGCAGATTTATCACTGATTTTTGTCATTTGTCATTGAAAAAAGGTTTTTTAGAAACGGGTCCCAGGAAAGATCAAGAATGATTACTGAACCACCTGCCTGAACAGCGGGACATTATAAGGAGGCATATATATATATATATATATATATATATATTTATATAATTCAAAGGAGGAGGGTGGGGTGATTTCCTTTCTGTGTGCGTTTTTCAAGATACATGTCCAAACCAAAATGACGACATTAGATTTCATAAAAATTAGCACTTTGCTAGGTGCCAAAACAAGATAAAACAACAAACAACATATAACTCATCGTCTTTCCCGACGGCTATACCTTTTTATACCATAAATTATTTTTAAAGCTAATAGTATTGGGACTGCCCCGGGTGAGGAACGAACAGGATATTGAATTTGAACTCGGAGAGAGTGGCGTGAGACGTTTGTTGTCTTGTAAATTAGGTTTTGCGGACGAGCTATTTGAAGAAAGAGATCGGAATGGTCTATTTTAGGAAAGTTCTTTTCATGATTGGAGGAGAATGAGTGGATTTCGCATCGTCAATCTTCTTTGATTTTTATCAACCCAAGAAGTACGGATGCAGCCAGCATCAGCTCGATAGAAGAGAGGGAGAGGGAGGGGGTAGAGAGATTCCTCTTTTGGAGGATGTTATTTCACATTCGGTTTATAAACATGTTTTGTGACCTTTGTCTCAGTATTTTGGTCTCTCTATATAAATATTATCTGTCTATTTGTAAGGTACGTCCACGAGGAAGCAAAACAGCACTCAGCCTAATAAGAAAATAATTCGAGTCTTCTTCTTCTTCTCTCTCTCTCTCTCTCTCTCTCTCTCTCTCTCTCTCTCTCTCTGTCTATCCTCCATATTTCTTTTCCTTTCTTTTTCTGATTTACGTTTCTTACAATTTATCCGTTCCTTCCTCTCTAATTTTCTCTCCATATCAATATATTATGTCTATTTGTAAGGTAACGAGGAAGCAAAACAGCTCTCAACCTAATAAGTAAAAAAAAATCGAGTAAAAATGTTGAATTGCTATCTCTCATTCTCGCAAATGAGTTTACTTCTTCACAAGGCACAATATAGTTTTCATATACAATGTACCATGTTTAGTAATACAAAAAGTAACATGTTTTTCTTTTGCGGTTTGAAAGGGAGGCAATGAGTACGATGAGTATTGTTGTTGTTTCCAATGTATTCTGCTGTAAGTGGAAACAAAAAACACATTATTTTGTAGAAAATGTTGTTATCATTAACACACATTTATGGTATAGGGGAGAATTTCTTTTATATTTATTTTATTAATTTTTTTTAAATGGCTACGTTTGATAAAAACTGATTGTTAAAAGGGTCATGGTCTCTTACCTCTCTTGGGCAGAACTGGATGGAGGTTGAAGGAAAAAACAAAAGAGAAACGTAACATTGATCAAAATAGAAATGAAGGTCAAGTGGATCTCTGTCTAATTGATATGTCATATCAGTATTATGAGACTAGGCAAAAACATGTTTTTTTAAAAAGTGCAAAATATTTCGAGATTGGAGAACATTTAATTCATTTTTAGAATCAGAATGAACTTAGAATGAAACATATGTTTATAATATAGGAAATGGGTGATATCTTTATGACTTTATCTATGTGTAGATACAGATATAAAGAGAGAGAGAGAGAGGGGAAGAGAGAGAGGGTGAAGGGAGAGTGGGAGACGTAAGAGGGAGAGGTAGGGGAGGGAGGGAGAGAGAGAGAGGGATGGGGGAGATGGGGGGGGGGGGGGGGGAGATGAAAAGAAGCATATAGTTAATTAATCATTTACGTACCTTCCACCTGTGCTATATTTGTAACCCATTGTCTCTGTGAAGAAAAGTGTATCACTACACACCTATACACCCCTGCATACCTCTCATCAATGTTCTTAAAATGTTCGACGTTAACCTGTAAAGAAATTAAATAAATAAAGAATTTAAGAACGAACAAGACTAGAGAAGAGCAACAGTGAAGTTTACACACTTGAATAGATCTGATGAATGATGACTATCCATATGTCCACGAGAAATTAAGAGATCTTTTCTTTTTATTCCTTAGATATTTTGAGTTATTCAAAATTTTAATTCCTGATGAATAAAATTCTTAACATTTTACAGGCAAAATAACGAGATGTGTACAAGAGTTGAAGAAAATGATATTGAAATTGTTTGTAAAAGGACCTTGAATAGTGATGTTTTCCGTTGGGGTGTCAATTGAGGGGAAGGGGGGGGGGGGCTGAGTGGGGCGACCTCCACTCGAAACTGTACTAACCATTTAAAATCTAAGGATTCGTTTTGTTTTTGTTTTGTATGTTTTGATTTGGGTAAACCTGTTGGAAAATTTGCTCAGATTCCCCACTCCACCCGTACACAATGGCAGTCGCGTAGCCAGAGTTCGATGTTTTTTTGGGGGGGGGGCACTTACATGTAATCGATCGAGGTAAAAAAAAGGGGTAACAAAAAATCAACCGATCTTGGAAATTTTAGGGGGGCACGTGCGTGCCCCCCCCCCCCCCCCGTGGCTGTGGCTACGCGCCTGCACAATGGTCTAACAAAAGCAAAAATTGACATTAATTGCACATATTATAGAGACAGGGGGATTTAGTTTAGATCATGGTGATAGCTCTTACCTCTTCGGGTTCAACATCTTCGTAACTTTTGATGAGTTTATCTCCTTTATACCACTGAGTTGTAAAGCCATCAAACAGTAGTCCCAATTGCGCTCCATTACAAGGTATCTCCAAACCCTCAGCCTCATACCCCTGTATGTCTGGCGCCTCGGGTGGTACTGCGCATGTCAAGAAGAAAAGTATACCCAGATCATTTCTTAGTTCAGATTAGATTAGGTCCGTTTACTGTGGCTAGTAAATTTAGCTCAGTCCATTTAGTGCATAATTTATTCAATTTACTACAGTTCGGTCCATTTCGGTCGCAGTTCCAGAGGGTTGGTGGAGGGAGTTTGTGAAATAAGTGGACAGGTTTTATAACTAATTTGTTATCTCCTGATATTAACCCGCATTACAGATTTCAAAACAAAGATATTCAAACATCTTTTTTCAAAATCAAAGAAATCTCACACATGGGTCCGGGGAATTCCTAATACTTTTACTTGCAGCTGAAGTGCAATTAGATAAACTTCTAACTTCTCTAACCAATAATAACCCATGCAGTTACGATGCATTTTATCGATGCCGTTTTCTTTTTATGTAATACAAGGTCCTTGAAATTCGTTCTCGACCTCGACCGAGATGAAACTACTTGCAACCAAAGTCGACGGACTATCGACAAGCTTTCTAATTTGGAATTGCATAAAACGGAGTCATGTTGACACAATTAGGGAAAGGTTTTCTCAATTTTCTTAATTTCTTTCCACAAGCACGTCCAATCGATTCGCAACCTTTCTTCATCAATGTCTTGGAACTCCCGTACGATTTTAATGTCGTCAAAAGCTTTCGATTTAAAAAGAAAGTTTTTAGATTTTATATCAAACGTTGACCTTTTCCTCCGGAACCTACAGCATTTCAATTGTGTATTTATACATTCCCATCATAGTATTTCTACGATCTCATCTTGGTCAAGAAAATAAAAGTTCTAAAGATAGAAAAGAAGGGCATCTTTCAGAAGTGGGATGGATGGTGTAATGGGGTCTCCGGAATAACTCCGCTGTTAAGTTTGCCTCTATAAAAGATGACAAGTAAGCGACAATGATTATCGTATTTTAACATTTTCGATAATGGTATATCATATATTGATATATCTTTATAGGAAAAATTTGAAATACGATAATGAACTGCTCTACAATTAACGCAATTGATTTTGAACAGATTTTATACTTCAGCCATGTAGGTGTGCAAGTCGAGGATTGGCGTCTGCTTCCTAGAATCTTGAAAATACCTATTCGGGAAACGCCCACCTTATATTCGGGTAGAGACTAGAGAGGTGCAATTTTATCATATTCGGGTAGCGAGGTGCCCGAATTACGTAATATCTGTAACATAATATGTGGCATTTTGATGACGAAATAAAAATGTTACCAAAATAGATATTTTAATTTGTCTTGTTAGAAATTTGAAATTGACAATTTGAAATAGGAAATTGAAAAATCGAAACCAGACAATAAGAAAATTAAGAACTATTAAATTAGACATTAGAACCTGAAAATATTCAGGCACGAAGCGCCGGTCTTCCTCGCAAAAACCCCTAGCACCCTTCCCCATTTCCTCTCCCTTCATTTCTCTTGATGAACGGACGAATCCACTAAGGCAGAGAGAAGAGAGTGATCGAAGATTGTCATAATTTTATCGTCATAATTCTAACTTCCTAAAATTCCAAGATACAACCACCGTTACCACACCCTGACAGGCTAAAAGATAAACATTCACCCATTAAACTCAATATTTGCTAGCCATACAATCGATTTTATTTCCCTTGTTGGAGGTTGAATCGAGTGTCGTCCTTGCATTTTGTACTACAGACCTACATAAAGTGGTGTAGCCACAGGGGCATGGGGCACTTTCCCCCATCGAATGGTGGAAAATAAAGGGCAGAAGGAAGAAAGAGAGAGAGAGGTAAAGAGAGAGAGAGAGAGGGGGGGGGGTGGGAGAGAGAGAGAGAGAGAGAGAGACAAAAACACACACACACACACACACACACACAGGGGGAGAGAGAGAGAGAGAGAGAGAGAGAGATCTGAGAGATGGGGGAGGGTATGAACACAGCACTCCATGCTACACAATTTATTGATCGCTTGTCAGGTGTGCAAATTATGAAATGTTATTTATCCACACGCCGTAACCAGGGGCAACAGTATCAAACGGATCGATAATGAATGGGCGATTAGCAGGCGATCCATGTCGGATTATCAAGATCTCATTTCTGTTTGGTTTTATGTTTATTTATTTCACATTTTGTTTCCCGCAAATTTTATTCGTTTGCATCTACATCGTACTGGGGTACTACGCAGTAAAATGCACGTGCTTGTTTGTTTGTTTGTTTGTTTGTTTTTCAAATGTGAGCTAGTCATACAATTTTAAAGCTCTTTCCTCCCTATTCTTTTGATGTTCTTCTCGATTCTTCATGCATTTTTCTTTTTCTTTTTGTCCTAGTTCTATATTCTTTCTCTCTCTGTCGCTATCTGTTATTATTTCTTGTGTATTTCCGTTTGTACGCCTTCACAATTTTGTATTATTTGTCTCATCTGCTTTGTCTCTCTCCAAACCTCTATCCATCATCTCGTCTAACTTTGTATACATGTCTTTGAGTCTGTCTACTTCTATTGCGCTCTCTCTGTGTCTGTCACTCTGTCTGTCTATCTCTGTCTCGGTCTCTGTCTCTCTCTCTTTCTCCCTCTCCTCATTCTTCTCCTTTCTCTCTATGTGTACTTGAAAGAGGTTTTATGGATATATTCAGATGTGCATGTCCTTTCCTTCATCTCCTTATAATCTCTTTCCTTTATCTCACTAAGATAATCCTTTTGCCCCCCCCCCTCTCTCTCTCTCTCTCTCTCTCTCTCTCTCTCTCTCTATCTATCTCTCTATCTCTCTGGCAACTGAGAATGTCGCCTTCTGGCTTCTTCAAATCCATCAATCACCTCACTCACCGCCTAATGAGGGCAGATAAATATGTTTTTCACTGCCACTGTCATTAGTTTCCCTCAAGCACCTGCTTATGTAAAATGTGTCCATTAAAGTGTTGGCATGTCTCTCACATTTTGGGTAGTTGTTTTCCGCATTTTCCGAGTTTTCCAAAACGAGCAAAAATCAATAACGCACAAAGATGAATAAAGATATATCAACAAAGTTCTGGGAAGATGTAAACGGTATATATTATTGAGTGTAATTTTATTGTCACAACCATTTCGTGGAAAGAGTTAAGGAAAATTATTCCTATTTTGGGGGCAACGGGAAAAATAAATTATATCCCCAATGTTGATATGAATACGACACGATATATTACGAGCTCCGTCATTCAAGGTGGGGAAGTGTGGACAGAAATGTAAATGTCTACGATGTTAGTACGGGTACAGCACGATATAGCACTAGCTTTGCAGACAACACCTGTTTTATCGGATGTGTTAAATGTGTCTATTGTTTCTCTCACATTTCACATAATTGGGGTGGCCATATTTCAATGAGCTATAATGCTAATAATGGTGGGGAGGGGGGGGGGGGAGCTTGGATAAAATGCAGTTTCTACTGTATTGGTACGAATACAGCACGTTATAGCACGAACTTTGCAGGCATCATCTGTTTCATTGGCTGATGTGTAAAATGTATGGATGTGTATATATAAGCTTCTCTCACATTAATTTTTACGAAGTTGGGTTGGCCGTATATCTTTGAGCTATAATATAACACGATATAGCACGAATTTTGCAGACATCATCTGTTTCATTGGCTTTGTAAAAATGTGTCTATTGATGAGTATAAGCTTCTCTCACATTTTACGAAGATGGGTGGCCGTAATTTTTCGAGCATATTATATTCATGTATGGGGAGCTTGGAAAGAAATGTAACATTGTAACAATGTAACGATTTTAGTGCGATAAAATCTTTTCTGTTTAAATGGCAGCAGAGAAATCCGAAATCCACGTGAAAGACGTGTTTGGGACATCCTGACATCTTAATTTTCATTAGCCGTCCAGTCAATACTAGCCAATACGAGTCAGTAGTAATTATGCTACGTTTAATATCCGAGTTATTTCAGATTTTCTGGGTCAATACTAATCCCGTCAGTACGAATTATGCCTAGATAGCCCGAATTATTTTCGCGCTCTCACCGACTTGTACTTGGTGTCAACAAAAAATGTGAGCGAGGTAATTCTATGCGAAAAGAAAGCTCATTTCCTGTTTGCCTTCAGAAAATCATTATTCAGTCAGCAATTACAACCAATCTCATTTCAATGCTATTCCCTCGGGATTGTTAAGTATATACTTGTTTGGAAATAAAATACGATAAGTAATTCTCGTTTCCCTCTTCACAGTTCCACTTCTTTTTCGATGGCATTTCGATGAGGATTTCCTGTTATTACGAGAGGTAAAGCCCATTTCACATTCTACCAAGTTGGGTGCTAAGTTTGACCCAACCGAGCTCGGGACAAGTGATACACACACCTCATGAAATAACTCGGCGTAAGTCATAAAAATTCGTACCGACTCACGATCTTTTGTAATAGATATAAAGTACTGTTTAGCCCTTCTTACACTTTGCCAAAACGGATGTGCTTCTTTCCTGAACTCAAGATGCGTCCAATGCGTATGAGCTTGTAAACAAGTTTAAACGACGCTTCGAACAATACGAATAACTACGAGGTGGACCGAGCTAGCTACGACTGTGTGCACCCAACTCGGAAAAGTGTGATTACGATTTTGAATGCGTTCTGCCAAGATCTTGCAGATCGGGAGCATCCGGGTTTCGGGGAAAGATCGGAACCAAGATCGGCAACGTCTGAGAGCGAGATCAGAGAAATTACATGCTTGAAATGCTAATGAGTGCGAATTTCCACGAGTTCTATAGAGTTATGTCGAATCAATTCCAAAGTTATTCGAAGCTGCCTCAGGGCGTCCAACTCGGCACCCGTTCGTTGTGAAAGTGTGAAAGACGATTAATGCAGCACGATGTCACAAGCTAGTTAATTAACATGACTGACTATGATTTAATGACAAAGTTTTTGATATGCCTTTCAAATGAACACCCACCTGCTAAACTGAACACAGCTAGGATGACGTTTTTTACGCCTCCAGCTTCGGCTTGGCAGGTGTACACTCCGTTGTCTCCAGAATTCACTGCTTCGAAAACTGCGATAGTCAAACACATCGATGAATTAACACAAAAAATGAGAGTTATTTATACCTTAACTACTGACTAATATTATGGATTGGAAATAATTTATTGTTCACAATGATAGGGTGGGGCTTATCTTCGACGGTTAATTGGCACGTGCCCCCCCCCCCCTGATTGTAGAGAAAGAAGTTTTTTTTAAAGACGAGGAAGGAGCGAATTTACAACAATCATGTTCCCAATTTCAATTCTCTTTCAAGTTAAAAAAAGTAATGCACATTTCATGACTTTTGGCTGGCAAATGAATTAAGAAAAAACCCAACATATCGGGCATACAATTTTTGAATATCCCTATTAATCATTCAGCCGATAGGGGGGTTCAGCTTAAAAATCCTGACATCCTCCCCCCCCTCCCTTCCCCACTTTTCTTCCCAATAAGGGGGTCTTAAAATATTGATTATTCTCTACCCCTCCCGTTCCCGTATGTTTTCATAAATAGATGATCAAGGGGCGTTTCATGCCATCGATCTGCCCATTTTATAGGTAGCCCCTGACGTGACTCACCCAGTCTGCCGGTGTCCAGCTGTATCCGTGCACCGTCTATGGCAAGACGTTGTCCGTTCCTTCTCCATTCTATCCGAGCATCTGAATAATTCTGATGCACGATGCGTATAGCTGCAGTACAGTCCATCAAAGCATTATCCCCTGGGTCTCTCCCTAGATTCACATGACTCTCTGATGAGTGCAAGGAGAAAAAGAATTTTTTTGGGGTATGATTTGATATTTTGCCTAAAGGTATTTCGTTGGCTGGCTATCACAAGAAGACCGTAACAGCTTTGTATCGTCAACTGCAGCTACGGCCTTCTTGCCGGCACACGACGAACATTGTAACCTTTAAAAAATCTGGTCCACCGGCACACGCTTCGACGAAAAATGTTAGCAGTCAACCCGAATTCCCAACTTCATTCATGGACCAAACCGGGACCAAACCCCAACCTTAAATCTTAGTTGTTATCCCTTGCAACACTAAATCTTTGACTGAATAAAGCCAGGAGCAAACATTGAGTCACCAAATTAGGTGGGCCCGTTCGTTGGTTTGTGTCTTTTAAAAAATATATAGTATAGACAGGCAGATCTGATGGTTGAAGAAGTAATAGCTTCATTAATATTAATTACTTCACCGTCCATCCGGGTCCCGTTATGACCTTTGCCCTCTTGCAAAAGAGATTGTTGTAAAAATTAATGATATAATATGAGATTTGTACGCCTCCGAATCCCCTTGAAATCGATTGCTCAAGGCGCACTTGTGAAAAAAACAGAACTAAATAGAGATCACATTACAGCATCTCCGTTACAAACAGAGGAAAAAAGGTAAGATGGAACATGCAAAAATGACAGATCAATTAAATATATACCGGAAGAATCATTACGTTTTAAGAGTATTTTAAACACTTCAACCGATCTGCTATTACGAATCTCTCGTGGGAGAGCTAGCACTCCGCAGCGAAAGCCCTAATTGCCAAATGACTTTGAAATAATTGGAGTGGTTGGGTTTATTGAGGAAAATAATATTAATTGCTAGTTTTTATATAGCGATAAGTGTTTAATTTTTAGTTGATTTCTATTCGTCTTTTCCCCATTGTCTCCTTGGGAAATACACCTTGGTTTGAGTATATTCAGTGTCATGTGTAGTATAAAAACCTGATCAGAATGATGATCAGGCGACAGGTGTGTCAGGATTTAAAGACACCCCACAATTGGACTTTAAAGTCCGGATAGTTTCCAAAGGAGGAAGTCGCGAGAATTTCTCAAAATAGATATGTGATACAATAATTATTTTATATTGTCGACTTACCATCTAGCAATTTCCTCAAGCCGTTAGCAAGTGCTGTAAACAAAAGAGAACACAAAACAGCATGAAACAAGGAGACATGTGAAAAAGAGGAATCTTACTAAATCCTTCTTAAACTGGCCAACATCAAGTTGATACAAGCGTTTGAAGGATTTGTTTCTGTTTTGATTTGTTTAGTATTCGAAGATAGCGCTCAAACATACAAAATCGTACACATTCGAGAAAGAAATGGGAAGTTTTGTCTTTTGGACTACTCCGAGTGAGTTTCAATTACTTCTGCTTCCCCCATTCATTTTCTTCCCTTCTTCGTGAGCGTTCTATTTCTTCTATTCCTTGTGCTTCTTTAATTTTCCATTTCTTCTTCATGCGCCTTTGAGAACTTAAGTCGGCTTCTTTTTTATGTGGTTAGAGCTTTTAAAAAAAAAATCCTGCTCCGTATATTTCCTTTCTTAATCATTATTTTCTCATAATCATCCTCTTTTTCCTCCTTTTCATTTTACTCCTCCATTTCTAACTTTTTTTCCCCCTTCTTGAGAGTTGAACATAAAGCAACACATCCAGTTGATCATGATATGGCTAACGATATGTGACATAATACTCCTCACGAGTTCACTCTAGGAAGCACGGCTAATACGGTAAGTATTACAATCCCTATTCGGTTTTTATTACGCACTCATTGGTGATTTCACCTTCAATAATGTATCGGTTTCTTTATATATGTGAGTAATTTGCCCGATCTTGACTTGATGATTTTAAATGGAAGATTGAATTTCTACTCAAAATTGTTAAGTGAGAAAGGGCAAGAAAGAAAGCTTCCAACATTACAAGGCATCGATATCAATTTCTGAATTTCAAGAACAGTTTGAAGAATCTTATTGTTGGAAATCGTGGTGAACATTATCTCAAGTTGATCAAAAGGACTTGACGTCGTTACTCTTTAGGCAAAGGAATTATGTTTTATATCGATAACAATAACAATGGATGCTGGTATTCATAAAAGCATCCTAGTTTAGTCCAAGTTTTAACTGGGTAAAACCAGTATCACAGCCAGTTTACTGATTTATAAAACGCCAAGTGTCGATTTTTCAATTACGATAAAACACCAAAATTATGTAAAAAGTAAACACAATCATGAACAACAATAACAATAACAAAAAACAAAATCATGTCATCGTGATATCTATTTCACGTGAAGTCTGGATTTATCCATTTTGTTACAGAAACACGACAACGTGCACGGAATATTAAGTGTATCATTCGGCTCTCCATATATAATTAGTCAATCCAGTTAAGCTTAATTAATTTAACTAATTTCATCTTTGTCTTTACGGGCTGATGGCCGCAAGCAAAAATACATCCCCCCCCCTCCTCTCGACCCCACACATTCCCAAATTGTTTACCAAAAAACTTACAATATATTTATAAGAATGATATGTATTTACTCCCCAAAAAGAACACTAGATACCCACCGGGAGGAAGAGTAGCATCTGGGCAATCCTCAATGTTACACGGCAGCTCAAAATTCTCAAAGTTCCCTTCGCATGGTGTGCCCCCGTTTCTAGGAGGGGTACAGGTCCGGTTACTGTACCCCGACCCTCCCCCACAATCCTTGGAGCAGTGCCTGACTGGCGCCCACGGCTCCCACTTCCCATCCACAGGACACGGAACGTTGATCGTACAGGGCATCGTGTCATTTGCTTTTCCTTTACAATCTGAAAACAAAGAGAGACACAATACCAGCAAGGGCATACCAAGGATTCTGTAAAGAAATTATTAAAAAAGGGAAGGAGGACACAATTCAACAAATTATCCGAAAAGTAACATAAGGGTCGAATGACGTCCCTTAAATCCGCCGATGTATACATGAAGGGGAGAGGGGGTGGGGGGGGGGGGGAGGCTATAGCGAAATATCCACCATCCAAAGTGATTGGGACATAAAAGCAACCAATGTAGTTGACGTCAGCAAAATAATGTCTATTTTTTAGAGTGTGTATGTATATCAAAATCATTTACAAGTATGTAATGTTAATATGATTATAACAATTTTGTACAGTTTATTGAAACATTTAAAATAACATTTTACTAGCAAAACAGAAGAAGATCAAAAGAAGAAAGGAGCACCCTCCTACATGTATATACCCCCCCCCCCGAAAAAAATAGTTGACGTTGTTTTCATTTATATTAATTTATATCGTTTATTGGCACACTTCACTCATCACATTGTTTCTTTTCTGCCATCGATTTAAGGCATCATGATACATCGCATATGGAAATGGAAATGGAATCTTAATCAATATTATGGCTACCCCTAAAAAAAAACCTTGTCAAAATCCCTTTATCATTCTATAAGTTAGGAGGGGCTAGCATACGTTTAGGGGATTCATAAATAATAACTAAAATGACATTGAAGTCAGTATAGAAAGTATATTGAGTAGGTCACATCATTCTTGCTGAAACGATCTACATCATGGTTTCTGCGAAGCATAGACGTACTAGCCTCATTTCGCAAGGGAATAAGAGGGGAGGGGGTAACAGGGGGGGGGGGGGGGTTGTTGCCTTTCACCCCATTATCAACTTTCCAGTTCCAGAAACTTAGCATGCTTAGCGAGCGAGCAAAATTACAACATTTTGTAATATTGTGTCACCCACTGGTAGTGAGCTAGCTGTACTTGTTCATTTTTTAATAAGATTTCGACGTTGAAGTATATTAACTGATGCATAAAACAGTTTTAATATTCAGGAGGGAACGCAATCCCCAAGTTTCTCCCCCGCCTCGTACGTATGCGAACAACGACGAGAAGGGCAGCTCGCATTTCTGTTATTGCAACGTACGAATAAGCGCTTGGTTATTTTTGGATGAGGGCCTATTAGGTATCCGTTTTCCCGTCCACTTTCTCGTCCATATATCGAGTTAATCCTCGCTATCAGTCCATTAATCGCGACGACATCTTCGATTTTATTTCACTCTAACTCCAATTCCACCCCGCCGCGAGGTATAAAACTCCATTTTGGATCCTTACGTCTTCCACACGTCAGAGAAGAGCTTCTTACCCATATCAGTATCCTCCTCTCTTAAGTCGTTCTGTCGGCAAAATGTCAGTCGATGGTACAGCTCCCGTTTTCACCCGTCAACCCTTCCCCGCTTTTCTTTCGCGATGATGTCTATTTTTAACATCCCAACCTTCTTCTCGAATATTTTTGTCATGTGGAAGAGGTGTTTTACTATTTTTGTAGAAACGTAATTCGTATAAAATTTCAATTTTCTGAAGTGCCTTTTTTTTTAAAGCCTCGTAATTATGTTACAATGCGCAGTGTTTCGTGGGTTTTTCCACCATGTTAATCCTTAAATGCCTTCTGTAATTCGATCAAACTTGTAAAATGTTCCATTCTTCTTTCTCTCTCTCTCTCTCTCTCTCTCTTTCTCTCTCTTTCTCTTTCCCTATTTCAATTCATATTGAAATATTTCGCAGGATACGTCACTGTTTAGATAATGTTGAAAACACGATATCAATTTTCTAAATGGAATCTGCATTGATTGGAATTCTTCTTTTGTGAGGGATTTCTGCCTAAATATTTTCCTTCTTGTCTGAAGATTTAACTTTGGTATTTCAAGAAACAAATCCTACCAGGTTATTGAGAACGTGAAACAACGTATTTTTAGAAGTCTTTTCAGAAAAAGAGATTGATTTATTGTCCACTGACCTACACACTTCCTGGGGGCTCAGACCTTACAGAGAAAGCTAATTGTAACGTATGGGTTTGTAACTTGATGATTTGCAATGTATTTTAGTTCTTTCCAAGACCGGTACACGTTCCAAAAGGAGCCTTCAGTAAATACTGCTAAACTTCAATAATCGCAACCGTAAATTGATACCACTAGCGCTTTGTATTGAGTCGTCCATTTTGTTAAAAAAATGATGTCTGTTCTTGACAATTCCCGATAGGTGCCAGGGGAGGCCCCTGCCCCCCCCCCTCCTCGTTTCGTCCCTTCATCCCCTTCTTTGCTTCTATGCCATCTCATTTCGCATCTCTCTTCGTCCCTCTCTCTGTATCTCTCTTTGTTTCCGTCTGCCCCCTCTCTCTGTCTCTCTGTCTCTTTTTATCCGTCTGCCCCCCTTCTCTCTGTCTCTGTCTGTCTCTCTCTTGTTCTCCGTCTGTCTCCCTCTCTTGTATCATCATCTCACCTTTGCCTACGCCTGCTTGTGGAGGATTGTTGCATTTTCTTTCCCTGACCCTGACGCCTCGTTCACAGGTCACACTGCACCCTTCTGTCCAGAAGCTCCACATTGACCACTTCCCATCGACTGTGCAGAGAAAGAGAGAGAGAGAGAGAGAGAGAGAGAGTGGGGATAGGTTATGGAGCAAGAGATAGAGGGAGGGAGGGAGAGAGAGAGAGAGAGAGAGAGAGAGAGAGAGGGATTAAGATTGCAAAAGAAAGAGAAACAGAAATAGTGGGTTTAAGATTACAAAAGAAAGAGAAACAGAGAGAGAGAGAGAGAGAGAAACAGAGCAGGGTTGGGAGGAGACAGATGACACGGAAATAGCCTATACTTGAAGACTATACGTAATATGATCACAATGAAAGGTGTAAATGGGATTGAAAGCGATAACACAACATTTAAAAAAAAAGGTAAATATATAACTATAATACTTTTAATATCACCTGCAGCTGTCATTATTTATTTAAAAGCCTTTCAGGTCATCAAGCGCTAGAGCCGTGGTGCTCTTGACCTCGGTCATTCAAGAGTAAGGATAGAGGCTAAAGCCAGACCTTCATGAATCTTTAAAACGGCAATATTATTGTATTAGATGGCCTGTTCTTTATTCGGCTTTGAGAGCATTTGATTAAAACTGCGCTGTCGGTCAAAGGATGGTTGAATAGAAATAGCCAGGGTTAAAAGTGGAAACAATATCGAGCTGTAATCTTGACCCTATAGCCCGTGAATTAAAATCGTAAACGAGGAAAAACAAGCAATACAAACAAATTCTGACACTCGTATAGAAGATACAACTGCCTAATCAGAGGCGATGGTGACACTGCCGAATTATATAGATGTCATTATTCATTAAGTAAAGGCCTGAGTTTTAGCTGTACCAGGGCCTTCTTACCTGGGGGACAGAGCTGATGTCTCGTCTGATCCAGGCACCGTTTTGTCTCCTTAACTTCCCCTTCACAAGGCTTTCCTGTACCCTTACAGTCTCTCGTTCTCTCTCTCATAGCTTGATCACACGTCTTGGTACATTGAGTCCAGTGTAGCCATTCACCCCATTCTGAGATTTCATCAAATCAAAATAAAATTTAAATTTAAAAAAATCGTACCAAACCAAATCACATCACTGAAATAAAATTACGAAGGTCGAAATTTCGTTTGGGAAGCGTGCATACAATGTATTACATGATTTTAAAAAAAATACTTGCTGATATCCTAAAAAACGTGTCGCTAATTTTTTCTTGTACCTTTTGGCAAACGTATCCGGAAATCATTCAGTGAGCATTTACTTTTGTCCGTTTTATTACAAAAAAATTGGTAGTAATACCAATGACTAACACAATTTGTTTGCGTTCTTAGTGGAATTGATTTTGTGTCATACTTTTTCACTGGAAAAATATTATTAACTTGATGTATTATTCTTTTTCACACACACAAAGTACGGGAAGTCTCAATGTATCCCCATCTGGCTCAAGTACATACAGGGAGAGCAGCCCGAAGGAAATAAAGCTTCAATTTTCTTTGTATTCGCTGGTACAGGTGACGCCAAATGATTCAATAATTGTTAAACGTGTTGTAGGCATATATTTAAATTTGTGTAAACTTAATCAATACTTTCAGAATAATGAAAAGAAATGAATATTTGCATAACATAATAATTTGTCCATGTAACAGGTGTTACGTCAATCATTCAGGAACACATATATGAAATAACAACAACAACAAAAATATCATTACAATGATATCATGACGGAGTACAATCATGTGAAGGACATTATCAATATAATAATCATGATGATACTGCTGACACTGGCAAAACTAGATCATCCGTATATTAATTAATAACACTATTGCCGAAAGAAAATATGTGTATCTTTGAAATGATGTGCCCCTGGCTTCTTTTCTGACATAATAATTATTGTTGTCTAAAGAAGATGTGAACTTGGTAAAATTTGAATATCATGCAAAGCATTTAATAAAATATGTAAAAATACATATTAATGTTCACATTTGAAGAAAAAATATAAAATGTACACATTTTAAACATAATGAGCGCTTTAAAACATATCAGCCATTCCATTTCGTGTTTATATCAGAAGTCCTTATGAAAATTGCATGCACAAAATGATATGCACGTATTCGTGGAACCAAGGTTTTGAAAAAGAGTGGGCTTAATTACCTTAACATTGGCGTACATTAGGAGGTACCTCCACATTAATACAAGGGGCGCATGCCTCGAGTTTCATTGTTCAGTGTTTTGATACAAATAATAAATCCCTAAGAGATATTAAATAGTGGCATAGTGGTGTGGCTGTGGATGGGGAGAGGGCATATGTCAAATCGAATGGCGGAAGCAAAAGGTAGATAGAGATAGAGGGGGGGGGGAGGAAAGAGATTACGTTTGCTGGCCTTGGTCTCTCAAAATTCCCTCACCTAGTAAAAACGATGCTGCTGCCCCCATCCCCCCCCCCTATGACTGGAATTACGCTACGCTCTGACAACAACTTACGTTTTATACATGACTCTTCACAAGGAGATTTTTCTGAAGACTCTCCAGGGCAGGAGTAGCCTTTGAGTGGTAAGGGGTTATTGCACTTTCTCTCACGACTAGCCTTCAATCCAGGCTTACATCCTTTGGTGCATGCCCACGAGGTCCAGTCGCTCCATCCGCCATATTTATCTGTCGAGGAGAATGCATACGGTAAGGTTATTAGGTAATGATGGTATTCTATGTCAGTCCATTCTTTCAAGACTTCTTTTTTTATATACAGAGATTAAGACAGAGACAGAGAGAGAGAGAGAAAGAGAGAGAGAGAGAGAGACAGACATAGACAGAAAGGGGAGAGAGAGTCAGACAGAGCTAGACAGACATAGAGAGAAACAATGTGTTTGTCTGTGAGGAGGGAGATTGATAAACACGGTAGCACTTCTGTACACGACCATTGTCTCAGGTGGCTTTAGCGTGTTTCCCTCATTAAATAAATGTATATTATGTAACAATTCCACATAATAATGAACACATATCACAGTAGTTTAGATTTCAATCCATCATAATATGAACGAACAATATAACTGAAAGTTATCAACGACTACCCTGTATGAAGAACACAACATAATGAATAAGTAAATATTAGATAGATAATGAAATTAATGAATGAATAAATGAATACACAAATAGATACGAAAACAATCAATGAATACTGGAAAGTAGGAGGGAAAAAAATCTCAACCTACTGCAGTGAGAATAACTTTAAAACGATAGATATCTTCAACCAAGTAAATGTCAAATAAATTACATTCTATGGTCACAAATCTTATTGTCTCAAATCTTAAATATTTCTTGGGGTAACTTTCCGATGTCTGTGGAAACACTCTCAACCAGTTTCTCAGTTACCACACCTGGGTAGAAAGTAGCAAATATAAAACAATGTCTTGATATCCTCTCAGGGATCCGAACCTCGGACCATTATGTTATTGTAATGCGACTTATTTACCAGACTGAAATACTTATTTGTCGAGGTCGTAGTGAGAAGAAACAAATCCTGGGGAGTGTTTCACAAAGATCCTAAATTGAACTTATCTCTAAGTTGGGCTTAACATTTATGGAAAGCCGTTAGCATATATATATTTTGTAATTGTCTTTTTTTAAAGGCATAAAATGTTGATTCAAATCTTTCATGTTTTCTATTATCAAGGAGATTTCATCTTCTTGATGTGGAATTTATAAAAAGTCTAAAATACTTGAATTTTCGTTTATGAATATATTTTATTTTAAGGCTACAAATGGCTCTCCATAATTTTTAAGTCCAACTTAGAGATAAGTTCGACTTAAGATCTTTGTGAAACACCCCCCAGGAAAAACGTGTCTAATACCTCAATCATAATCTCCTCGATTACCCCGTCAAAATCTTCGGCGCTGTATGGAATATATTTTGTAGGAGCGAATTCAACAACTTATGTCACGCTCTCCAAGCAAATACAGGATCATTAAGATCTAGATTTGTATGCTAGTGACAGGTGGTCGTGTTTGGTAGTTCAATAGACCGATCGTGCTCATTATCTGTGCCAGTCTAAACATTAAGCTGTTCTTGATGGGCTTTCGTAATCCGATGTCCTCTTTTATATTAACCAGATGAATACATAAAGAAGAAACAAATGCTGTCGAAATATTACACATTTAATGTTGGAAAATTTAAAACAACGAGGGCTATTCTCTTTTGCCACATTGGGTCTGACCGCCCCTACCCCTCCCCCCTCGCCATTTGCAATTGTCTGTCGATGCCAAATACCAATCTTGATATGACAATATGTAAGGAGAGATGCTTGAGAAATGAATACATTCTTCTTCACCAAGAGCAATTTTTAATGCGCAAGCAACATACTGTAACTTTATACACCCAAGAGGAGCACTCAGTACATTTATTTTAAGTTACAAATGGCTGGGAGGAATAAGTAATGTATTCATTCGACCGGTGACCATGAATTATGTTACCGCCGCTGATGGTCGACGTTAAGATAAATAGCTTTATCTCAGGCGAACAGTAGAGAAACTGAAACACGACCTATTATATCACTAACAGAATGAAGTGCCTCCCACTTTACAATCGACAATAAATTGCCTTGATCTTCTACCTATTCCTGTATGAGCCACTCGACAAGAGAGGGCTGAAGCTGTCACTTTAATGACATATGACGTCATCTCACATCTGTTCCAATCTAGAGATGTCTTCTTGATAAGGCGGGGAGCAGCTAGTGCCACGCAGCTGACCTGGGCTAGCAGGTGACCGGGGGCAATAGAATAGTAATTTTATAGTGCAGGGAGGGAGGGAAAGATACATAACATACAGGGAAAGGAAGAGAGAAAAGAGAGGAAGAAAGGTACAAGTAGAGGGAAGGAGAGAGAGGGAGAGAGAGGGAGAGAGAGAGGGAGAGAGAGAGAGAGGGAGAGAGAGAGAGAGAGAGAGACTGATAGAGAGGGGGTGGGTGAGAGGGGGAGAGGGGGAGAGGTTGTGGCGGAGGAAGGAAGGTGAAGGAAGGAAGGATGAGATGGGAAGAGACAGAAGAATAATCAATCAATCACACAAACAAACAAAGGGAAGATAGAGGAAAATAAAAGGGGCGCAGAAAGTAAACTAAAGACGGAATATGACAGACAAAAACAGGCAGATTTGAGAGGAAATGAAAAAAAGACATGACAGGTATAGAGACAGCTTGCAGATATGCATCAGTCGTGGGATTCATGATTTTGAAACATTATGAGAGAAAGAGACAATTTGAGAGGAGGAAAAAAAAGAGATAAAAAGAGAGAGAAAGAGAGAGAAAGAGAAAGAGATAGGGGAGGGGGCGCACGAACAGAGACCATCGTTCCCCCATGCTATTCAAACCTTGATGGATTGGATGTTATGTATGTTCAACTTGGTTAAAGATAGTATAATCTTTAATCTAATGAAGATGTGAAACTCGTATGAAAATTGTCAGGACGTGGTCAAGGTCTATTTTATTCCTAGAATGTTTATATTTGTAACATTCTGCTTTTTTCCTTTTTCATTATATGAAACTATGCAAAAGAATGTATAAAATACCATTGTATTAATAATCTCTTAGAATATTCAAAGCAAGTTGTAAGAGTATATAATCTTGTAAATAGTTTTTAAAACTAAATTTGCCATCAGGAGTTATTCTTATACCGTCACCTCAAGCACGTTATCTTTACTATATACACTAATCATGATTAATAATTGGTCGAAATCACAGTCACCTTAGCTTTTAAACAGTGTAGACATGATCTCGAGGTCTCATCTGTAAAATTGATCTATAGGTTGTGTGAATGTAATCGGGGCATTACTTCATGGTACCGCCATGAGTATATAAGTTCGTCGACATCTATTGACAAAAACATGAGTTTAAATCAACATGCGTTTCAATGGTACGTCGGAGATCATGAACTTATGACGGTTTTATGAAATGATGCCCACAATCGCAGAAAAAGGATTGAAATCAAGAACAAAGCGTATTATAACTACTTTTAGAATGATCGACAGCTTTAAGGAAATAATTCTACAAATAAGCAATTTGAGTATTCAGAAAAACGTCAAACACGTGAGAAGTTCAAGGCTTAGCTTAAAGCAGATTGGAGATCAAATCCTTTGCAGGTGTTCTCTAATGACACCTATAAAAAGCCACGAGGCAAGTCAGATCTTGACTTTCCTTTGGCTTCCAATCTTTATAATATTTGTGATACTTTCCATCCATATTATGTGTTCAATATAATGATTATACGAGCTTTTTGGAAATAAAAGGGTACAGAAATTCTGAAGAGGAAATTACCTCTTGCATCATCACTAAGAAGAACAGGAGCGCCACGGAGCCATATTATTTTGTGTGACATTTAGATTTCCTACCTGTTAAGTTGCCTGTGACCCCCCCCCCCCCGCTCCCCCTGTTAAGACGGAGTTCCCGATTAAATCCGTCCATTTTGCAAGGCTTATTCTATGGATTACCATAACTTGTTTGCATTATATAATATAATCCGATTAAAAACAAATGATGGCTTTACAACCCACCACATGAATAGTTTTATTGTTTACAAAATATATATTGATTTTCAATATTATTAACATTCCGGGAAAAGTCCACGGTATGACAACTTCATATCTTCTATAGATTATAGGCAAATTTTTACTAAACAAACTATATTATACTGAACATGGTTTTGAATGCGCTGAGAAGAAAATTAAGGTTGGTGCCGTCTTCCTGTCTGTTTCCCTATCTCTTCTCTTTCTTTTTACTCCCTCTATCCAACCCCTTCTCTCCTTCTCTTATTATATTTGTCTCCTTCTTTGAGTTATGGTTCTGAGGTGGCAACGTTGCTGATTTTGTAGAAGAATGTTGAGGAATCAGAATGCAACCATCATATCTATAATCTTCTTATAACACCTACAACATACGTCTCACATTATATCATTCAGTTCTGAACGTACATACAACGTGACACTGAGATCACGTTGCATTGCATGAGTATTTCAAGTAGGAAGGTGAAACAAATCAGAGTTTTTCTCAGAAATATTATCATTCAACTTACACCTCTACCGGAGAGGGGGAAAGGAGGAAGGGTGACAACTTTACAGACAAGTTTTCCAACAGTCGCACATATCGCACAAACCTTCCCCCGTTTCTTGAAGAATTGAAAATTTGGCGTTAAAGCTAAAAACAATTCCTCAGATTCCCATATCGACATATTTCATCATTTTCAATCGATGATATAACTTTTGAATTGGTGGAATTTGAACGTTATGCCTATTCCCATGCACCCCCCCCCACCCTCCCCGCCTAAGCGACGCCCCAATCTTGGATCACTGATAAAAATCGGATAGATTATGTAAGTTACATGACGGCAGATCGGCTTGGTTTTTAATAGATCTACATGAATCCACGTATCAAACAACAAACTGTGAAAAGGATCACCGTGTAATGCCGTATTTTAATTATTCTTTATTATACAAAATAACCCGCATCTATCCAGGGAAATGCTCTTTGAAAATAAATTTCCAATCGCTACATGGTGAAACCATTACTTGAATCACGCGTGTTAAAAATATATCACCATAGCCTACTAATGTCTTGATTTAGAACCATGATCTGTTTATCGGATTTAACGCCTTACATGGGGTTTTTGACTGCAAAATATTGACAAATCGTTTCGAATAATTTAAAAGAGACTCATCTTTCTCTAGAAAAAACCGGAATCGTGAACTGTGAAGTTCAGTTTCAAGGAAAAAAACAATGTAAGATAAAAGAAGAAGATTAAGAAGGAGAAAAAGGAGGGAAAACAGAAGAAGAAGAAGAAGAAGAAGAAGAAGAAGTAGAAGAAGAAGGAGGAGGAGAAGAAGAAGAAGAAGAAGAAGAAGAAGGAGAAGAAGAAGAAGAAGAAGAAGAAGACGAAGGAGAAGGAGAAGAAGAAGAAGAAGAAGAAGAAGAAGAAGAAAAAGAAGAAGGAGAAGACGGACCGCAGTCAGATGAAATCCTGTCTCTCAAGATCGTATGTGTCAAAGATACGTGCATGTGTAAATATCGAAACAATGTAAAGCTAATGTACAGAATGCATAAAAAATGCTCATAGTCACGTCAAAACTCTCAGTAGTGCCTCAGTCACACCAGCAAGACCGAAACCAGACCTACTATGGACCGAACAAACAATACCATTACCCCTATGGCCTAGGATTCGGTCGGTTTGGAGTAGGTCTTGAGTTGGTTTGGCGGTCTGACCGAGGTATGACCTCCAAGCGATGTACTAGAGTCGCACAATGTTTTTTTCCTTTTTAAAAGAATCAACACTCGGCGCCTTCGCCTCCATTTTGTCAAGTGACATATATCGACCCAAGCAAGGCAATCAAGTCAATAGCTCATTTTATGGCGAGGCACGTCCATGACTACAGTTCTGGGTTGATGGTAGTAAACCAAGAGGTATGTCACGTACGTCGATGATCTAGAGTGTTACACAAATGGTTGTTCTTTTTCAGTGTTTTTCGGTTGCTCAAGATCAGGATATACTGTATAGTTCTGTGGGCGAAAATACGTTGAAACTTGTTGCACAAGTTCTCACATGACACGTTGTTTCTCTGGTGTCCAAAGATGCATGCGTGAGATATTTTGATATCGCCTCCATGATTTGTCAATGCATTTATTTGAGAGAAACCTAAACTCTGGCATTTATTTCTGTCTGCGCCTAAATAAAAGGCACTACGATTTCACTTACAGAGGCTCGTAACAATCCATCTGCACCCAGCTGTTTGTTTAATGTGAGGAATAAATTACACCACTCATTAAATTTGTTAGATATTCCAACAGGTTGAAATTGTTAGAATCAAGAATATTAATCTAACGAAGAGTTCAGACCCAAACGTTAACTTGGCTTTAATATGTAAGTTAATAATTTAGGCAAATTTTAGATGATATTCTACACGAAGCAAACAATAAAAAATGTATATTTTCTCTGGTGACTGATATGCCAACGACTGCAACATGAGTGAATAGGTTTTTTTTACATGAACATGTCATACATTAATTTTTTGATTTTTAATAATACTTAATCAATCTATTGTGGTAATGTATTTATTGTTCACAAATATTGGAAATTCGCTTACAGAAATCACGTTACTCAATTTTGTTATCAAGATAGCAGGAAGTCATACAAGTGAACGGCAGATGCACATCATTTTTTTTTAAACTCCGCCCTTTGGGAATTTGGAGTGAAATCCGATAGTTTACATAATTTGCGGTGAAAGTATTCAGATAAGAATACAGTATGAAATGAAGTAACATAATGAAGAAAAACAATAGACTGCTTCATAGAAAGTATACTTACCGGCTCTTGTGTTTGCTGGAAAATAAATATGAGGACAAAAAAGAAATGAGTGAAGATAATCATGATAAAGAACTTGTTCGCTTTAAAACATAGCAATTGATATTCAGGGCATGATTGTGCCGCCATTAATTCGCACTGCAGACATGCAATCATTGAAATGTTTCATATACCAAAATAAATGTGGCCGGTAACTGCCGAGGAGGGGGGGGGGGGGGGGGTGAGGCCTGGTCATTCAAACCTTATTATGGTTTGCAGTATTCGTACAATTTGGATTTGTTTTAGCTTTAACGAAATAACCTTTTCTTAATTTATAGGAAATTAAATCCCCATATTATGTCGAGTACAGCTGGTCAAGCGAAAAATCCTGAAATCAATTAGGAGGCTTTGATAATACCAAATGTAGTACATACAAATTGTTGCTATACTGTGGGATTTCTTAATCATGAGATCAAAATGAAGAAGAAAAAAAAATTCCCAATATAGCTGTAAATCACTTGGACCACATGCAAACATTATCATTTTGGATAACAAACACAAAGTCATGTTGCATAATTATAGTTTGGTCTAAACTTTCCAGCTATTTCTCATAATAATTTTGAATATGTGAGTATTAGAGAGCAATCCTTTTTGTGGCGCATACCTACTATACTGATACTCTTCCAAACCAACTTACGAATGAGGAAGCATACATAATGATTATTAGTTATCTTTACCAGAGGGGTGTTTCACAAAACTTGTCATCAGTGACAAATCCTTGCTTCTGATTGGTTATCAGCAGATTTGTTACTGATTTGTGTAATTTTTTAATGAAAAAGGGCCTTGTGAAGCGGGTCCCTGAACCAAATTTCTATTTTAAGTCGAAACAACTTACGGGGACATCTTGCGAAGCATTTCTCTTCGTCGGTGTCGCTACCTTCGGGGCAGTTCTCAGATGCTACCCGCATACTGCTGTCGAGGGATACACTGTCCCCAGCCTTGGTACAGGACCGTATCCTAACGTTGATTCCATCTCCGCAGATACCACTCTTGTAGGTACAGGTCCAGGGCTCCCATGCAGACCAGGTCCCGACGAAGCCCCCTAAAGAGTAAAGCAGATGTTTTTTTTCATTAAGTTTGGGACCGGTTGCTTAAAGAGCGTCAGGACAATTACCCCTTGGCAATCATCCCCGGAAAATTACCCCCACCCCGAGGACAAATACCTCCACCCCTGAAAGTACCCCCTAGGACAATTACCCCCGCCCCAGGACAACAAAGGACTACCACCCCGAGGACATCCCCCCCCCGCGAAAATATCACCCCTCCTGTTTGTTAAAGGGAAAGTCCAGCCTGGTAATAAGTTGGTTTTAATAAAAGCAGATTTTTTTTCGAGAGGTAATTATCCTCAGGGGTATTATTGTCTACGGGGTAAAAAGAGATCGGGTAAAACAAAATTGTACCCATTTTTTAAAACTTATTATAAAGCTTTTCTAAAGACATTGACACCAGATACTGACAAAATGTCATCATGAGCAAATATTGAATAGACATTCTGCGCCGGAAAGCGAAAGAAAACATTATTTAAAATAAAGAGAGAAATGGGAAGAGAGGGGAAGGGAGAGAAAATAGAGCAAGAGGAGAGATGGAGAGAGAGGGGGAATGGAGAGAAGGGGAAAGAAAGAAGGACAGAGGAAAGAGAGAGAGAGAGAGAGAGAGAGAGGGGGGGGGGGGAGGGGAGGAGAGCGTGAATGAGAGAGACCGAAAGACAGACAAAGAAAGCTGTATTCCTCGAGAATGGCGTTGAAAAAACATCTTTGCGTAATCATCTTTACAAGACTGGTATGCCTGCATGGGACATTCAAATTTCACATCATGCGTATAGATTTTCATCGGTAGTCTACCAATTTTACATAGGGGCTTACTTTACTTTAAAATAATTATGTCCAAATAGGCCTTGCGACATACACCAGCACGTGCCCAGGGATGCTGAACGGCCACGTGTTATTGGGGAGGAACGTCATGATTTTCACTATACGACTCGGTCGTCATCTTATCACAGATGACATCATTACCGCGATGGACCCTTATCGTTTCGTGATCATCATCACTATGGTTGGGGTAAGGAGACATATCATTGATAGGAATTCGGTTGATAATAGATTCGTTTCTAAACATCAGCAGATTGGTGTAAAAAGTCATCAAATATTAAAGTAGAAGTCACAAACGATAAATAACACGCGATGCCTCATGGTGAAATTGATTTGCGAAAAAATGGAAATCTATCAGGTTTCCATATTGTTAATTTGAAAACAGAAATATAATTGTCATAATGATTGAATATACAATGTGACCACTTCAAATGGGTTTTTATTAGATAGTGATCTGTTGACACGTTCCTCCCACGTAATTCGTTTGATTTGTTCCTAGATACCAGGGGGCAGTGATTTCCTGTAATGGGGGGGGGGGGGGGGGGCACTTGCAACATGATAAGAGGCATATTGGAAGAGGGTCTATGAGCATACAAAATAATATTATCTGTATTCTATAGTATTTTGACAATCAATCTGTGTCCCACTGTAGGCCTATCTTGTAATACTGTATCATAATTTTTGTTCATGTATAATAAGTTTTATGCAGCCCCCTTATACACCTTTTCATTTTAATACCTTTTTTCTTCTCCCTTTACCCCTCTTTTTCTCTCTCCCTCTTTCTGTCACTCTATATCCATTTAATGTTCCCCTTTGTATAATCATTCGATGGGGGGGGGGGGGGGGGTGGGCACGTGCCCTATTGTCTCTTCGTATCTTTGCCATTCACTGACCTGTTCCGTCGCACTTTACATCATAGCACTCATTTTCTTCAGAGAAATCGCCATCTAGCTTGCCGTTGCATACGGCGAAGGGCTGGATTAGATGTTGATCGTTCGCTGAACGGAAACACACCCGGACGCGTCTGTTGACGCCCTTTGCGCTCGAGCAGTGCCGTTCACACTCGGACCACTGAGACCAGTCACCCCAGTAGACTAGGGCATAATGAATGTTAGGAATGATAGAATGATAAGGTGTATAGGGGCGTTACATTGAAGAGCAAGAATATTACGTGTGCGAGCTCAATTTACAACATGATGCCATACGATATCAAATGTATCGATCTTGTTTCTTTGGAATACTCTAATCCTGGACTTTTCAAATCCTTTCAAAATAATCAATCATAAAAAATTATATTCAGAAAACAGAACCAAAACTTTATAAGACAAAAATATTCTTTTCACGTTACATTTCCCTGTTTTCTTTCTCTCATTTGTTTTGTTGATTATTTTTAGGGGGCGTGCCTCAGTCTCCCCCTGTAGCTACTGATTCTGGATACATCACAGATATATTTATGAAATAATAAACTTATAAAAAGAATTGAGCTTACATTTTTCCTGTTTCTCCCCTTTGAAGAGATTCATCCAGGAGACTCCGCCTTTCATGATGGACGTGAACAAAAAAGAAAACTATGTCACGGTGAATAACAATGACAATACCCTTATAAGATTTTCTAGAGGCGTCATTAGAACATTTTTAATGTTGAATGTGAGCTTGATATTGCTAGAAAAATCTTCTACTTCTACTTCTACTTCTATGGTAATACTCATCAACGCCTGTTCAGCATCTAGATTAGGGTAAAGCATAGAGTTGTTATATACAGCTCTATGCGGTACGGTTCCTGAAAAGGGAACTAAATTGTTACAAGAGCCACCTTGAACTGCTCCAAAGAAGGCAGTTCGACGATGATGATGAACAGAGGTAGCTCGTCCCAGTCCTCAATCGAATTAAGGACGAGAGAAGACACAGCAAAATAGCAACAATATTCATTTAGACCTAAAGCAGCGTTCATCCGAACCCGGCTACACCAATTCACTAGAAGGGGAAAAAAGGGTTAAAAATAATCACCTGTGGCAGAGCTTTCAATCTTTTTGTTTTGTTGTTGATTAAATTATTAAGAACGAGATTTTTTACCTTTTGTTGTAGTCTAGATCTATTTAGATACTTTTGACAAATGAAACCGGAAATCAATAACCTATAGCTATTGATTATACATAACCAGTGTGTATACTTACCTTGCAGCGAGGTTAAAACAATGATGAAAACAACAACCTGCATCTTGATGTAGATAAGTTGCATGGCTTAGCCATTCTGCCAATCGATTAATCACGTTGGTTTATTTTATTGAATTATTGGGTCACGTGAAGAAAAGAAAAAAAAATCCCCTTTCTTACTAGCACATGTATAATAACGCGCAAAACGTGTGCGTTGTAAAGCGCATTTTACAAAGCGCGCTTACAAGACTTGTACGCAAGTTAAGGCTTGTTCAGCTAGCTAGGGCGTGGTAAACCACCCGATTTGGATATATCGAAATATTAAAAGCCACCGTGGTTTTTAGTTTTAAGTGTAAATGATGCCTAGGTCACATTTGCTCTATATGGCTAGGATACGGCGATCGTAGGTCCCTGAAATCGAGAGATACCTGCGGCGACCGCAGAGGATCTGCGGTGGATTCTGGGTCACCCTAGGGCGTATCCCTATCTTTACAGGCCGGACGGGTCGGTCGATACCATCGAAATCCAAGTAAGTAGAAGGATTTTCCGAGACCGCTGAATTGCACCGCCGTGCGCCATCTTGGATAGAACGAGCGTTGTGAAAGCGAACTGCGACTACGTGCTATGTGTATGCTCAACTTTCGTCTGCAAAATGCCATATTGTGCAGCTTTCAACTGCACCAATCGCCTTAAAAGAGGCTCTGGAATAACCTTTCATAGTTAAGTGATCACTTCATTAAAAACATGGCAAAAATAAACAGTTTTGCATGATAATCCGAACGCAGAAAGCCACAGACTAAAGCGTGTATTTGTACATCGGTCCCATCTATTCATTTCCATGTTTGTGAACTTTTTTCGCTCGAGTTTAATGACATCGGCTATATGAACTATCAAAAATATTGAATTCCACAGAGCTGCAAAGTATTATAAACCGATAATATCGAATACATGATATCCAGAGAATACTGTACTGTTTTGTGTGTTTTTTTTTTTTTTTTTGGGGGGGGGGGGGGGGGATCATTGGGGCACTAAGCAGGTCACCTTCTTTGTTTGACTTGGTGAAACTTGGTTCAAGTTACTTTGAAGATTAACTTGAACTTATGAACATGTTGCAATCGCGGCGCTGGTATTAATAGTGACACAATTTCCCGTGAGTCGTCAGACTTTCAAGCATTATTGTAAGAAATTTACTGGAATTTACTCAGAATTTACACCTTAATTTTTGAAATTTAAATTGTTGTAAAACACAAGAAATTTTACTTATCAAAGTTGGTCATTGTGAAAGTTACGACCTGTCAGTCATGGCAGTTAAAGAAGCTACCTGCATGAACCTTCCTACGTCCTCTAAAACTTACTCCTCAGATGAATATGTGTAGATTATGTAGTGATTTCATATGGCCTAGTAAAGCACAGCACTTAATGAAATACAAATCAAGACAAAAAAACACCAGGCAATATTTTGCGAAGCTCCCATTATTCTGGTACATGTATATCTTTAAAGACTACATTTGGGGGTTTGTGCTGTAAAAGGGTAAAAAATTGGTCAATCTTATTTATGTGTATTTTTTTTACATAATATTTCACCATTGATGAAATAAATATACTAATTCAAACAGACTATTTCATCTTCTCCTTCCCACTGAAATGACAGAATGTGCACTACAGGGATAATATAGTATACGATATTTATTACGATGTTTGCCCTATTGGTCTATTTTGTGTTTTATACATCTAGGCTTACCCAGAGAGAAAGGAATTGTGTGATTCTATTATTGACACTAGCCTGTCTTCTGTCTGACAGGTTTAGGTATAGTTTGAATCTGATTGCATAAATTAGATTTGAGATTAGAATTTGCGAAAGAGGCATCAAAGAAATTTAAAAAAAAACTGGATTATTGTCAACGTATTTCAGGGAAAGGGATTTTCTTTAAATTTTGTATTTTTAACTTGACTCTGATCACTTATGGTTCCCAAAGCTTTTTTTACAAATTATAGTGCGTATGTTTCTTGATAATGGATAATGTATTCGGTGATGGCATAGTGCCACATACATGTGTGTACAAACAAATTGTTTCGTCAAATTAGATAAGGAAGTCACTCATGTTGTATGAAAATCTGTATACAGAGGTTTACGGTGTATGCAAACGATCCCTGTTTTGTTATAAAATATTGTCCAATGATTTTATTGTTCAATGTGCAGTGTCATCTATTCTACACTATTGAATTCAAACTGTAGTTGCAATGGTTGTATACATGTTTACCAACTGAAAAAGCTTGAGCTAAATGAAAGTTGCAACTTTAATTTAGAGTAAAAATCTGTTTTAAAAGTTTTCACTGAAATCAGATGAATCCATACATTGCTTCATGAACAAACCAAAGAGAGGGAAATACTGATTCATATGTATTATATCTTGTTGATGTCTATTTTTTTAATGAAGTATGTTCAAGTTTTGAGTGCTAAAAGGGAGAAAATCTTGCCTTTTGTACATTGTAGTCAGTCAAATGCAAATGTACATGTGATTATTTCTCTGTGTGTTAAAATGAATAAGAAATGTGCCGGTATAAACATAATGTGCCATGATTGCTTGCTTGAGGAACGTTTTTTCCACACCATTGAGGATTTTTTTCTTCATATCCACCATTGCAATAGTTCATGGATGTTTTGATATGTACTGTATACATTCATGTAATACATAGCGCAATGCCAAGGTTAAAAAAAAAACTTAATAAAGATGATCCACAATTATGTGGAAAGACATGTGAATAGTTGCCACAATGTGTCATTACTTAACACTTCTTAGACAAATCTTTAAGCCTATATGGGATGAAAATAATATCTGGCAGCTAAATGGTAGCCTCCCAAGGGAAAGAAAAGAAATAATATTAATATTCAGTGGGCCTACTTCTGCAGTGCCAAGAATCAAAGGGATAGAGAAAGAGAGAGGGGAGAGAGACAAAAAGAGAGAGGGGGAGAGTGAAAGAAAAAGGGGGAGAGAAAAGGAGAAGGGGATAGAGAGAAAGAGAGAAAGAAAGGGAGAGTGAAAGAAAAAGAGAGGGAGAGAGAGAAGGGGATAGAGAGAAAGAGAGAGGGAGTAGAGAAAGGGGTAGAGAGAAAGAAGGGGAGAGGGGGAGTGTGAAAGAAAAAGAGAGGGAGGGAGAGAAGGGGATAAATAGAGGGGGAGTGGGGAGAGAAACACAAAGACTGAGAATTTACGAGTGTGTGTAAAGAGAAAGTGGGAGTGATTTATATAGATAGAGCCTAAATAATGTGATATATTCTTTCTATCACAGAAAGAGACAAAACTAGCCTAATACCACAAATGATATTTAACAAATAGTCTAGCTCTTTTAGTCTTTATGCAAAAAAAACCCTAAAATTTCAACTCCCCTACTGTCCAAGCTGCCGCTCTTATTCCAATATTCAAGTCATCAAACATCTGTATGGGACTTGGAAAAGGGCATAAACAATATATGTAAAGATATTTTTCACCAAAACTAACAATAAAACCCTGGTTTCTGGACGTCCCTTCCTCCAATTGCAATAGGAGCTTGTACACAATACGTATGCGCAGGCGATTTCTTGTACTACGCAAAATGGCGGCGGGCGCACTCGAGCGGTGCCATTGCGCTGCGTGAAACGTGAACGGACACAATCCTTCTACTTGGTTTGAGTTCGTTGGTCGATACGGGTCGCCGTGGGATTATAGCGCGGATTTATAACCTTTTTCATTTCTAGGTTCAGCGTAGCGATTGGGCACTGTAAGACACACCGTATAGCCATGCCGTAGAGCGGTTCCACGGCGATCATACGTTGGGCTAAAGGTGGCCTTGTGGCTACCTTGCGTCGCCCTTGGTATTTGTCAAAAACTGTACGGCCGCCGCACGGATGCCCTAACTTCCTAAGGCGACCGTGCGTCATCACTTCAAAGGTCTCCGAAAATATTATATGGTCTCAATGACCCTGCCTGATTCGCTTCATCGGAAAGTAAGAGTGGTATATGGTGGCGTGACCAAAGTTCGCGCGTGACCTAAGTTCGCTATCTCAAAAAATCAGTAAGATTTCGAAAATCTGATATCACCAATGGAAAGAGGAACATAAAATTGCAGATATGAAATTCTCTTTGGAATTGCGTACGAATTTGTGAAAATATTGACAAAAGATCGGCAAATTTTGCAACCTTTTGCGTCCGTTCCGAAAAAATTATCAATTTACCGACAAGGGTCTGAAAATCTTCAATTTGAGAGTAGATTTCCTCAAAATTGTAAGTAAAAAATGGTACCACCTGATTGATTGATGTCTTGCGTTGCAAATTATGATATTACCTTATTTTTGATGCATCACATTTTTGATAAATCAACTGTAAACCCCCGTGCGTGAAGTTAGGTCTCGTTGTTTTTATGACTTTTTGTTTCAGCGCGCACGCACGCACGATCGGACATCGAATTTTTAGATCGCGATATCTCCGAAATCCTTCCACGATAATTTTTTTTTTATTTGAACCAATCTGTAGCAAAAAACTTTGCCATCCATTTGGTAATAATTGAAATAAATAAATTTGTGTAGAATATGAGAAATCATAGATCGACTATCACATTTTGTAATGTGTTCTAAAATGTCCACTAACTTTGGTCACCCCTTCATACGAGCAATTAATTTTTCCCGTATCCGGACACCTACCCCCTGGACAACCACTGAGGGTAGTGGTCTGGAAGATAGTTGTCCTAGGGGGTAGTCGTCCTATAGATGTGGTAATCCTAAGGGTGGTTATCTGGGGGGGGGGGGGGCTCTCCAGGGGGTAGGTGTTCTAGAACCAATTTGTGTCCGTAAGGGAAGTGGCCCTTTCGATCTCCCTGGATCCGCCCATGAATCCAGTGCAGGGGCGGATCCAGTAATTTATTCCCGGGGGCACACGGGGGGTAAGAGAACAAATATATATCTTTGTTTTAGTCCCCCCAAAAATCGCAACGACTCAGCCAGCCGCCGAATAAGCAGGGGGGGGGGGGGGTAAGAGGACCCTTTTTTTGGGGGGGGGGGTAAGGTCATCTTTTTAGGTCAGCCATTGGTATATTTCTTTCTTTTTTTTC